TCTCATATCCTTACGTTCCCGTACGTCGTCACGAACACTTCGTTCATCTTCCACATTACTGTTAACACCTGGACCCCGCACTAACACCCGGTATGGTGACCGCGCCTTTTCAGTTATTGCCCCCGCTCTCTGGAACAAACTGCCCGCCTTTATTCACTGCGCCCCCTCTGTATCTCAATTCAAATCTCTACTCAAAACCTATCTTTTCAAATTGTAAATTGCAGTTGTGCGTCGGTCAATGGAGGTGCGCACCATATTTGTCTTTATTTAGTTGATTGCCACTGTTTTTCTTACCTTATCTATGTTACTTTTGTATTGTTGCTTTTTCTTCTAATTTAATTCTACGGGTTATAGTCTTCTCTTAATCAGAACACTGTGCGCTTAGAAACATCAGTATTAAGCGCCTAATAAATGTTATGTATTATTATTATTATTATTATTAACCAATAGACCACACAGAGCCCCTCCCCATCCGCCTTCCCCCAGCATTTTCATTCATTTCATTTTGTTCATAATTGTTATTTCAAGGACGAAATTATATCTGTACAATTTGTATGTATCTTATCGAAGTAATCATGATCAGAAGATTGTTTTATATGATATTGTGTGGTGTATTAATCAGAGGAGAGGCGTTTCCTATCAAAAAAAGTTTAATGATGATGATGATGGTATATATACGATGATTTTTTTTTCCAATTCATGTTAGTCATTTTTAGTCATTGCATGATTTATATATACACATATATATATATATATATATATATATATATATATAATGCGAAAGGAAATAAGACAATGACGGTTGTGTAGCTTCAAACAAAGTTCTCAATTGCTGTCCTCTTTTTAATTTGTTCTGCAAAGGTTGAAAAAAATGGTCTCCGTCGGGAATCGAAACATTTCATTGGCAGAGAACGCCAATGCGTTATCCACTAGACCACATAGACGGGCGAGTAGTGGCTTCAGCGACACCAAATTCAGTTGACCAACAAATTTGGCAAATCTCGTGAAAAATAAATGTACTCCTGCGTTGGTTGAGAAATATAGACAATTAACGAAGAAATAATGAAGAAAAAAAACCATAGGAGATTTATGAGGCTTTATACCTTAAATACATGCAGTTCTTAAATGTACATTGTTGTTCCATTATTGTACTATCTTTATAGTTCCACGTGCTTCTTAATTTAAGGTTTCTTAGTCGAAATTGATATTACCACGTATTTTACTCAGAAAAATGTACCTTACTGTTGATTATTCATTACCGATTTTATTAAAGTATGCATAAACTTCATTGTTCGTAATGTCCTTGAAGAGAGGAGAACCAAGTTTATCGTTAAATTACTCAATAATCCTGAATTATCTTTGGTTAATCTGCACATAATAGAAAAGCTTATAAATATATATATACAACTTACCTTCATATAGCGCCCAAGGTAAATTATCTCTAGACCCTATACATGATTAACTTGAGAAATATTGTTTTAATAAAGTTTGAAAGGTAGGTAGTAAGGCTAGCCTTTAAATCATTAAAATGGAAGATGAGAATTTCAAGCTTTCCATGATGAGTTTTGATAATTGATATTCCCAAATCATATGTCTGTCAAAACAACTGTTATCGACACGTTATGTCTTAGATCAATCATATGTGATCTAATGATCATATTCTTTTTGTCATATGATAGAAAGGAAAACGAGCTTGTCAGTAATGTACTCATTAATGATACAAATATTTTAAGGATTATTTTGTAATTTACGAATATAAGCTTGCGTTTCTTTTTTCAGAGACACCCTGTATTGTAGCTCGTTCAAATGTGAGATTGCTTAGTTAATTTCTTATCATGCTGATACAACGCATGAAAATTAAAGGGATAGTTGAGTTCTGTTGAAGAGGGCGCTACACAAAATAATTTTTTGTGAGATAATGAAAAACTGAGTGTCAAATTTGAAAGAACATAGTATTCAATTGACAAAATCACCTTTGTTTGATCAAAATCGGTTCAGAGACGGCTGAAATATAACGATTTGTAATACTTGTGTACCACCACAAATATTAGATATTTTGAAAAATTTGAAAAACCGTTGGAAAAAAAGAAATAACGGCTTTTACGTCGTATTTCAGCCAATGCCGATGTTGGCTTTTTTGTTGGCATTTTCATGTTGCTTTTATTACCCCCAATTAGCCGGCTCATGTATTGTTATTTATAATTAAATAACGGGCACTGTTTTTTTGTTTTTTTTATAGTGGAGCTGAATTGGTATGATCGTATTGGCTAAATTTTAAACATTTGGGGGTCTAAAATTACCTTCATAGCAATTTTAGGTTCTAAAAGGGCACTATAAATGTCATAGATAAGAATAACAGCAATAACCATGCACTTTGAAGGCATTTGCGGTCTGAAAACAGAACTCAACTATCCCTTTAAATTAGAACATTACTGTAACTATCACTTGTATCATCGTGCGCAACAAGAAACGTATAAAATCAAGCTTAGTAATAAAGTAAACGGTGAAGGGGAAAGTTGGTATTCACATTGTTTTTATTCATCGTTTTGAATCAATAATGTTCATATTTACATTGCAATTCAAAAACGTATACAAACTGCAATTAATCTTGTCAAAGCTGTCAAAGCTAGCAAACAATGAATTAACAAGAGAACCCCAAATCCACGAGATCAATAGCATAATCTTAAACCAATCACAACACAAACCCCAATTCAAAATGGCGAATCACTTTATATTTTGTGTATGCAGTTCATATCAAGATATATTCACAGGAATCAGGCATTATACATGACTGACCTTAAAGGCCCACTGCACTACTGGTAGCTACTTGCGCCCTCTATATAACAAACAATTCATAATCGGTGACCATTGGTCCCCCAGGCCTCTTTTTCTTATGTTAACTGAGAGCTGAGTTGATGAGATAACCACCTGTTCAGTGACCTTGCAGAGCGGTCTAATCCCTCCTGTAAACTACGGCAGATAAGCTTTAAATCATAAAGTATCTTTATTTCATCACATTTTCTGGACACGGAAAACAATAAACATAATTGGTCCTTTATTGTAGAGGAGAGGAATACCGACACTTACCGGGGTGATCATTTCAGGCCTGTATACTACAGAAAGAAAACTTTTCCTTACCAATGTTTTTAGTCAAATACATTTTAGCAAGAATACCTCAACAACAGAAAAAAATAGAGAGAAATGGCTTAAAGATAAAGTTGAGTTTGGGTCATGCGATTGCATTGTGAAAGACACGGTGTGGAATCGATCAGAACAAAAGCTGGCATGTAGCATAAAAGTATTGGTGTGTACTGCAAAATTCTGGAGTCATCAAAATGATACGAAATTTGGCCAAGTCTAGATAACGTAACAAGCACTGTACTCAGAAAGATGTATATGGGACTGCCGTACACAAACATGAGGCATATAAGTCGAGCCATGCTTTTCGGGTATTTTTTCTCTGATGTTTTTCCACACTTGTACAATAACAATGATTATGTTTCACCTCTCCCTAGAACTAAACCTTCTCTTTAAATGACCCCCCCCCCCCAAAAAAAAAGGACTCTATCCATTTACATAAACGCACCCGCGGTGTCCACGGTCCAGAAACACCGCCGCTAAGACTTTCTAGTCAAAGGCGATTTATAAGAAACCAATTGTATTACCTTTAGAAGTCATGTCGGAATTATGTAACATGCCATTGTAATGCTTGAATATTGAAAAGGCAATGGATATGGCTATAGAGTATATAAGTGGCCTTAGTATTATTCATTGTTATCTTTAATGTTATATCTTCTTTTTTTTGGGGGGGTGAGTCTGTTCGGGCGTGGTAACAGTGCATGGTTGTTGTTGTTGTTTGGTATTATCGACCTTAAACGAAAATTAAATACATCTTGTCCTACTTTGTAATATTGTTCGACAAACAGCAAAATATTTTCTTCCACACTGACTCGCATGGTTTTATTGATCGTGGCCACAGTTTTTGGAATTATTTAAATTTCACTCGCCCAGCGGCGTGGGACATTATGATGTGACTGTAGTATAATTTTGTTTAACGCTCAGTCGCTTTGCTCCAAAGCGTTACACTTATCTTAGTATCAGTAGTAAGTTGACTCAAAATTATGCTACAGTACACAAAGAAATTGCAAACCCAATTCTGAGCTCGGCCGAGTGCCATATCAATTTGAATTTGTTTCTTATTCAATGTTTATTTCTAAATGCTTAACGTAGGGCCTACGTACAGAGCATTAAATAAACACTCCCTAATTCAGTACTGTATAAACTTTTGGGTATAATTTGCCAAACACCATGAAGGTATTTGCAAGATGATGTAAATTACAATATTCGATCACTATTGATTGAGCAAAGGTCGCCCCAGTTGGTTCTGTAATTGTCTTTATTCCAGAAACACAACAATTAACGATAACATATTGACGATAAAATCATTTATTATAATACAAATGATAATAACAATAACAATTTAAGAGCGAGCAAAAACATACAAATGATAATAATACCAATTTAAGAACGCGCAAAATCACCAACCAATGCTTATAGGCTTTGCCCAAAAGAAATTTCATTTTCTGTTTGAGGGCTCTCCTAAGTAGTTATTTTTTTTTCTTAAAGTTACCCCCAGTTGGGGGGGGGGGGTGTGGGAATCATCCCTTATGGAATTGCGACCGTACACGCCTACAAGAACGGCATGTTATTGTTGTTCATTTATGTGGCTGCAATGTACGCTCTGCAAAATGACGTCATTGACAGTGTAGCCCGAAAGTCGATCAAAGTATTTTATTCATATTTCAGTGTAAATGATAAATTGTTATAAAATACTATTTTGAAATTATAATAATGCAAGTATTATAAATATGTTTATATTTAAGTCAAAATTAACATTTTAATTTCAGAAAAAGTATTACATTTCCATTATTTATCCGTGGTTTTAAAATTGGCAATAAATAGGGATTTTCCCCATACTCGTGCGCATGCGTTGTAATCTCGATCTCCAGTACCTCCATTGAATCACTCCGCGTTCTCCAAACCTGGACGAAATCAAGGAGAAGAAGAAGAAATTGTAGCAATCGTAAACCGACATCAACCTCGTCAGCCGGGCCGATAAAGTCATTTGAATGAGTGTCATTTTGCCGAGTTCCTACCGACGACAAATTCAAAGTTAGGCCGATTAACGTAAGTGCTTTAACTGTTGAACCTAGCTAGGCTAGACCTATATTATCATAGTGAAATGTAACTCCGGGAAGCTCCAACACCGGCGCCGCAGGCGTCGGTGTTGGAGCTTCCCGGAGTTAAGTGAAATGTTAATCATGATCATGGAGCCAGGAAGAGTGGAGTACACTCGAGTTGGAATATTATACAGACTGGCATGGGCACACAAAGCTAAGCTGCATTACTATCATTGGCTGTGTATCAAAAACTGTTCTAACTATTGATTCTCAACATTTCAATCACCACTAGACCTAGACCGAATTTGTCTGTCTCTTTCGTTCGTTAATTAGCTTCTGTTCTGTTCTGTTCTGATCCATTCCTGGTCCTGATCCTCAAGAGGGATATAAAGATGACCAATAAGAACGTTATCTCTCTTTAGAGCCGACCCTACCCAAATCAGAGGCTAACGAACGAAAGAGAAAGCCGACCCTACCCAAATCAGAGGCTAACGAACGAAAGAGAGAGCCGACCCTACCCAAATCGGAGGCTAACGAACGAAAGAGACAGAAACATTTGGTCTACACTAAACCTAGCTGTTCAAAACTCAACTGAGCTCACTCGAAATTGGTACTTTAGTAACAATTGATTTGATGACACCTACATGTAATACATATAGCAGTAAAATACATTCTTATTATTATTATTATCTTTTCTACTTACGGATTTTTAATAGAATAGATCTAGTAGAAGTCTAGAAAGAATATTTTGAAAATTAAAATCGTGAGTCTACTGTCAAACTTGCAGATCAAGCACTACGTATTCATTGTGTGCATTAGTGTGCAATTGTGTGCAGTGTGTGTATTGTGTGTAATTCCTGCCTCTCATGCAGTAAGTATACAGTGTCAATACGCATTAGCATTGTAATGACTCTCTATCATATGCTGCTGGAGTGGGCACGGGGTGTAATATAACATTCTTTGGACCGCTGAAAGGAGTTGTATTTTCCTGTAAATGGTATGGACCTCATAGTAGGGAGGCTAATGCCTGGGCAAGGCTTCTACGCCTACGATTTGTGCGCTTGTCGTCCAAGTCAGAAAATTACCAAAAGAAAAAAAATGAAATAAAAATATCTATTGAATAACATACAGGTATATAACAAAAATACAATTTTACACTCCACAACATTACCTACATGTATAAACACGGATCTGTAACAGTTAGATTTTGGCATTGGCCTCCCTACTCTTAAGTCATAGTCATACCCTCATTAATGCTAAAAAAAGTATGGACTTTTCACGTTTCACACACATGTATAAAACAAATCATGCAAATGGGAGAAAAATAATAATTATTGTTGAAATATTTAATTTTATTAATTATATACGATGCTCTAAAAAACTGAACTCAAATGACTGTAATAAATCAGTTCTGTAATTTCCAGCTGATTCACTGATCTCAAAATCATCTTGAAAAACGGAAGAAACTACTGCTGATCTTCCTCGCTGACACTGAAATGTTGGAAAGTTTGTTGTTTTAATTCTTATTTTGTTATATGTCCAACGCTATATAACATCTAATTTTTCAGCTAATGATCGACCAAACAAGATCGACCGCCAAAAACTTGGTCCCTACTTTCCCTTTTGTGCCCACCAAGATTTAAGAGTATTTACGTACAAGCTACATGATTGAGGTATTTTTTATGACCGAATTTGTGTAAATACACAGAGATGAGGGCGGCAACCAAGAAATGGATGTAATGAAAACAAAGCAGCTTTTTGCCAGGATTGACTTAGACTTCCAATTTTTATTTTCAAAATATTTGTTGAATTAATTGTATTTTACTGCTATTTGGGTGTCATCAAATCATCACCAAAGTGCTGATTTGCAGTGAATTCTGGTGAGTTTTGTACAGTGGTGTTTGAAAATGTTGTGAATCAACAGAGGCCGTGTCTCTTTCCCTAAGGCACAAAAAGCATGCCTCCTTGAGTAACTCTCAGCCTAAGTATAATTATTGCAAATATGTTTTTATACAACCCCTGTTATTGATCCACTTTCATACAAATTAAATTATTACAAGGGTCAGATTGCAGTGGCTGTCCTAGAATGAAATACCCCTCCAGAGAGTCTTTGGGGGAGGGAAATATAAGAGCTTGACTTTTCATTATGGGGCGAATTGTGGAAAATATAGAACATGTACATAAGCCCTGTTGCAAGTTGGTCATAAAACTGAAGACTAATCCTGGTGATTGACAACACCTTTTATTGGGTAAATACCCGAATGGTGTTGAATTCAGAATGAGAACCCACTACAAAAAAAATGTACTATGTGTTTTTAAGTGACATTTTCTACTTCTCGCATGTCTTTCAGAGTATAAGCACTGATGAATACAAAGGATCCAGCCAAGCATCTGCCTATCCTGCCTTCATCCGAAGCTGCCTTCCTTAGCTATCCCTGTCATAGCCATCCCCGTCACTACCAGTTGACAGAGTTCCGCCATTACCAGTGGGACCAGTCAGACCTACCGGATTGAAAAACTAATCCAAACTTTGAACTGAACATCACTGCTCAAAATGCAGCGGTTTATTGAGAGCTGTGAGAAACAATCAACAATGCACAGGTAAATAATTTATGTATTTCTAAGCAATATTAAGGCTGGTTCAGATAATATGGACCGGCCTTGAGGGAGATATCACATATATATATTTCCAAAACGAGACTCATATATTGCCCCGAGTCAAAGACGAGGGCAATAAATGTGGTAATCTCCCTAAAGTTAAGCCAGTCAATATTGTTATTGTTATCCAAATCAGACATCTAGAGCAAATACGTAAATCAACCATGACAATCTCAATGAACTAACTTTCTCAAACCAGCACTGCATCCAGTGCTTGACAAAATTTTCGATCCACTGCAAACAGTGTGCCTTTGGTGTGATTATTACGTCACAATAGAGTGCGCGCAAAGTCTGCAGGTTCTCGTACGCATGATAGATGCGCAATAAAAATGACAAAATACGGCGCAGTGAATATGGTTTTATATTTACTGCTTTTCTAACAGGATTACAAGAAGTGGAATATGATTTTGTAAAACCACTGCTCAGATGTCTGATACGGGTAATAATGGGTAGTACACCACAGTTAAAGCCGCCACATTTTTGTTTTAATGTGTAAATGAATAGTGACTGTGCACAACAAAGGACTTGCACATATTCACTGAGCTCGATGTTTATAATATAAGATGTAGAAACGTGACGTCACAAAAACCGCAGTGGTTTTGCCGCGTCATATCTGAACGAGCCTTAACAGTAATTTGACAGCTCAAATCATTGATAAGTCACAAATCCGACAATGGAGTAGTTCAGAAAAATATTGATTTAAAAACATATGTCATTATAGAGTAGTGTAGAACATGATAGTTATATAAGCTTTAATGAAGTAAATTGCAATCACAAAATAAGCTGGAAAGCTTGCATTCCTAGCTTTAGAAAATGCATGATGAAATTTAGAGGATTTACTGAAGATCACTGATATTAACCTACACTTGCTACTCTCCACCCAGGTGTTAAATGGGTACCCGGTAGGATGCGACCGTCATTGTTGGTCGAACAGGTTTTGAGCGTCAAGTAACGCCTGGCTGGAATGCTCCCCAGGAAGTGGAGATTGTGCACACAGTGTGTGCGGACCAGCACTGAATCCAATGACCGGGGTAATAGTATATCTGTAAAGCGCTTAGAGACATTTGTATCAAGCGCTATATAAGCGGAATATTATTATTATTATTATTATTATTATTTGTACCCGGTATGTATTTGATTGGACAATTGATTACCCAATACATACGTACCTACTGCAAATTATTTCTCATAGACTGATACATGTACCTGTTTACATGCTTTCTGTATTAAATAACAAATATTTCATGTCTTAGGTAAAAGTATTCCGACGTAATTTTTGTTGTTCAAATCAAACCTTTCTGATTTAACAGGCAAATGAATGAGGCAACTGATGATGAGAGGGCTTCTACAGGAACTCTGAAGGAAGCAGGAGCTTTTGGTCAGCCTGGAATCCACATGGAGTCCGAGGGTAGCACCCACCAACCTCGTACCAGTACACCCAAGAAAAACACCTTTAATCCTCCAACACCAACTATTCAGAGACATACCGGATCCAAGAGGGCAAGTGGTGATGGTCCACTGCCAGAGGAAGGTGCGTCCGCTTGGCCAACTCAAGAAGGTCTAGAGGAAGAAGCTGAGCTTTGTCTACCAGAGATTCAGCCACACCCAGAAGATGAAGTAGGTGCAGAAGGTCAGGATGAGGTTCATTCAGAAGCTGGTGACCTATTGGAAGAGGATGACCCTGCCCCTCAGCTACCGTCATCCAATGGTGAGATAATGTCTTCCCTCAATGAGGTGATGTCTTCTGTCAACTGGGTGACGGATGCTGCAATAGGTAACACAGAGGGAATACAAAAGTTAAAAGAGGGTCATAGTCGTAACTGTGTGAGAGCTGGGTTACAGCATTCCAAGTCCATGGATGCAATAGAATCGATGAAAAATCAAATCTTAGTTCTTACTCAGAATGACCATAAGAAAGATGAAAGGATTAAATCTCTTGAAGCTGATAGGGAGGTGGCTGATAAAGGTGTAGAAACTTGGCAGATTCCTTTCTCTAACCTGAAAAGAAAAGGGAAAGATTCAATCTCTTCCAAAATCATTCATACACCATCTGGGGGGTGCTTTAAGGCCAAGTTGTTCCTCAATGAGGTCAGCAAGCATGGGAGTCCTTGTTTGTCTATAGTTGTTTCAGAGACCAGCGTGAGCAGCGCTGCTGCATCGGCTGACAAGGCATTGAAATACAAATGTAGATTGCAGCTTGTTAACCTGAAAAATGTGGCTGATTCCATTCAGGAAGAACACGAGTTACAAAGGGGGGTATGCGGCGCAGCATCGGGAAAGAATGAAGCCAAATTTCTCGACTGGGTTACTATCAAGTTGATTGAAGATCAAAGTAGAGGATTTTTAATGAACGGGGTGCTTCTGGTCATACTGACCTTTGAAAAAATATAAACATGACAATGCCTGTGGTAGAACAGGAATAGATCTTTGATGGATGGAATGTCCTTCTTTTACTACGGTCCTTATCTATCGATTAATTTAAACTTTACACTGTGTCCAACTCTAAAATAAGATTGAACAAAAGGAAATTAGGTTTCAGACTAACTTTTTGCTTTAAACCCTACTTTGAACAAAAATCTAAACCCAGGGTCAGGTTTACACTTCAATAGAACATAGGCCTAAATAAACAAACAGTGCTGTGACACATGCCCTGATGATAATTGATCTGGCTTTTATGTCATCAGAAAGGGTTAGGGTGACGATTCGGTTCATGTTAGGTTTAGGGTTAGGGTCAGGTACAGTGTTTGACCAGGCTGTTATCTTTATGGAAATCAATTAGTGTAGGATATTGACCGTTGAGCAATTATTACCGCACCATGTCTTAACACTGTCGTACTACTGAACAAACATCTTGGAGTACCTACAGTGATATTTATTCTGACAAGTGACTGCATTGCACAGAAATTGAATTTTATTTGGTTCCTGTTGGCCATCTAGACTTTGGCATATATAGTACTAAAATCACTTTTAATATTAAAGTACTTATCTGGAGGACCTGTTTTGAAGGCAGTGACTTGAAAGGACTCGAATTAAACAAAATATCGTGATAAGAATGGTTCTTCTTCCCTTTTGAGTACAGACCTCTTTACAGAGTATTATCCTACTATACTGGGGGTGTGTGCAGGTGGACCACTACACCGGGGTTTCCCCCTACTCTTATACGAATAGTGCAGTGGGTTCTTAACGTGCAAAGGTAGTGACTCTACACAGGGCCTCCATTTAACGTCCTATCCGAAAGAAAGGCAATATTCTTTGGCCACATTGAAGGACATCAGAGTCTCTTGAAAGATTTTTTGGAAGGAAAAGTAGAAGGTACCAGACTGGGAGGGAAACCAAGGAACGAGTAGGGGTGGAATGACTCTGCAAGAATGTACTAATATGACAGAGACAGAGATTTTTTGAAAAAAATTAATGTTGCAATAAACCTCTGAGGTCGAAGAAGATACCTTGATAGGCAGACTTGAAATATTTGTTGCATCAGGGTCATGTCTGAAGTACATGTAGATGTATTCGATTGAAACTGTATGAGTACATGAAATATATGCACTATCATATTAAAGATAAAGGTGAGTTCTGGTAATGCGATTGCATTTTGAAAGAAAATTAGGTGTGGAATGGATCAGATAAAGTTGATCATATAGCATGTAAGTATTGGTGTGTACTGCAAGGTCCTGGAGTCATCAAAATCATCATAAAATAGCCCAGTCTTGGTAAAGTAACCATCACTGTACACAGAAAGATGTATATGGTACAACACAAATGGTGTCGGGGCTATAGTACTATACCTTGATTTCTTTGTCTTTCTATGCTCATTACTCAGCCAGTATACATTTTCTTCCAAAATTGTTCGGCACATGACATTTATTTGTAATCTTGAACATTCAGTGTAAGCTTCGTTAGATTTGGTGAGAATTAATTTTCTTTTTTTTTACCAGAACTCAAGTTTATCTTTAACCTGAGCAATATAATTTAGAATTCAACCGCAACCGTACTTATCATGAATTTATTTGTAGTTTGTCTTTCGCACAATTGAAGCCCTAATGAGTATATGCAGTTGCTTTCCCTTAGAGATAGATACCAACATGTACATGTATGTATTAAAGCGCTTAGACGTATAGGATTATCGCTATAATTATAACATGTAGTTTCAACCTTGAAATTTAGTAGGCAGGCTTTCATCTTGTGGACTTAATTTCTCAAGCCAAGTGACTATTCTCACTGTAGTTTCTTGCTGTTTGCTGCCTTGAGATCACTGGAGCAAAGATAGGTGACAATGATTAGCTAGAGTCCCTATTCAGTGAAGGATTATTCCTTTTTTCCAGATAGATTCTTTCACCTTTCTTGACCATGCAGAAGTGTTTTTTTATACCTTGATAATTATGTTGATTTTAATTGTACATTTAGCTTTATCATAGATGTTTATATTCTCTACAATGTAATTATGGACATTTGCTTTATTATAATCAGATGTTTTTTATAGGCTTTTACTGATTTTAGTATATCATGACTTAGAAATATTGATTTGTAGTCATAGAATGATACCTTCTGTCTCTTTCGATACCCTGGTTATATGACTTATCAACTTATATATTCAAAAAAAATTACCAACATTTAAACTTCTTTTACAATTTGAAGAATAAATAATGGTTCTCTCTGATATCACTGACATCATTCTGAGGCCAAGAGAATTTTTCAGTTTTGGATGAAATAAAGGGACTCATATGTCCTATTTGTTAAGTTATGTTAGTAATATTTTACTTTCTTGGTTATTTAAGTAATGTTAATTTTATTAGTAATATTGATTTTTCTTGAAGTAATCTAGATTTGTGTTCAGCTTTGAAACCTTTATGTCACAAGCGCTATATAAATTGTTTGTATTATCACAACTTTTGTATTATGGGACATATTGCAAGGAATCGTTCTTCGGTAATATTGGAGCGCTTTGAGCAGGGTGGATATGTGCGCTATATGAATATCCAATATTATTATTATTATTATTATTTATTCAAAGCTATCAACCACCATCAGCATGGCTGGAGCACTTCATATTGTTGTATCTATTATATATAAGTCATCTATGGGTATTTAATAGAACTTCATTCTCTTATGATAATAATTATTTTTGTCTTTCATAAGTGTTATTTTTACCTTCAATAAATCGTTGAAGCGCAAATGAGCTGTTTATATTAAACGTTCAAAGGGTTTTTTATAAATATCCCCACCCTTTTTTTTTTTCTGTGTTTGGGATAATGCTGAAAACCTTGCAAAATAGTATTTCTTCCAGTGACTAAATGCCTGAAGTGCACAGAAAAAGTTGCCATTGAAGAGTCAATATTACTTTAGGGATTCCGTAGTTTAAGAGATCACTGAAATATCTGAAAGCTTGCCAAATAAGTGTTTGTCTAAGTGATTTTCATTAGACACACATTGGACCCTAGCACAAATGGACATACATGTACATAGAGGTTAACATATCTTGGATTATAATGGTTACCAGGGTGCCTACCTACTCGCATGCTTTTCTTCAATTGTCCGCTTGTATTTAACTTAATCATATTTAATGCATTTAAGTGCCTCATTACAAATTATGTCATTCACCCGTTAGGAATAATTGTAATTCGGTGGCGATCAGCATGCAAAAAGGATAAATTAATTTTTGTAAGGTAGGACATGCTGTAATATCTGCCCAACCTAGCAATAACTACTGTGTGCAATTCACATTCTTACTATTGAGATACAATAATATATTACATGTGAATGTAATAGCTTGTCACCACGTAAAGTCGTAAACGTATAAATTTGAATACATTTTGAAATAGTCTATAGCCTATACAGGTCATAGATGCCATAAGTTTTGCCAATGCAGCTACTTTAAGTATTTTATGTTTTTAAATGCATAATTATGAATGATGTTTGTATTTATTTTTTGATAAATGTATTATGTGATCTTTATACACTCAGTGCATAAAAACTGCTTTGCAAGAGAGCCCTGTATTTAATACCTGAATAAGAACATAAGAAAAAAAGGATCATGGGGGACCTACGGGCACCACTTAGGCACTGTTTTCTATATGGAGGGAGCAAGTACCTACAAGTTGGACAGTGGGGCTTTAAGCCTTCTTGTATATGCATATTTAATATTTATAAGAGCCAGAGATTGGAGTTTATTTTGTACATGAAGCAAACAATATATTAAATATATTGTGTGCTATAAGCATATTGTGCTTCAAATTGGATTTTAAAATTGCAATATTATGAAATAAAATATTATAGTATTGTCCTGGGGGGGGGGGGGGGGGCTTCACAAAGCTTTTTTTCAATGACAAATGACAAAAATCAGTGACAAATCTGCTGATAACCAATCCCCTCTTGTAATATTCAACATCAATGTACTTAATAACAATGATTATTTAATCAGTATGTGAATGAAAAGTCAAAGGTTATGAAGAGGATAGACTATGTAATTTGGTACTGGCTTTCCAACTAAATGATTATGTGGAATTACAGTATGTTTAATCCAACTTTTTTTCTTCTTGATTTTCATCCTTGTAAATGTATTCCAGATTACTGACTGAAATCACTATTTTTTAAATCAGTATGTAAATGAAATGTAACATTTTATTAAGAGGGTCAACAACAAATGAAAATGTATTTTTTCATGATTTTTAGCTTTATAAATGTATTTCTGATCACTGACTGAAATCAGTCATCTTTTCTTGATGCTTAATCAATCATGCTATGTTGGACAATCACTATGTAGATAATAATAATGTACTGCCTTTTCTTGCTTCTGTGTTTACTGCAAGATCCAGTAATAGCGATTCTATGCAAAAATCAACTATTCTTAGTCAGTAACACTGGTAAGACAAGAAAATTATAGAAACCGATTGAGTGTTTTTTTGTTTCCCTAAAAGGCCAGTGTTACATTATTTAGGCCAGCTGATCGGGGCCCGGGGGGGGGGGGGGGGGGGGGGGGGGGCGATCTCGGCCTTGGAGCAGAAAATATAGAGAGATTCAGCATTTAAACAGAGTAACTCAACACGAATGTCAGTATGATATTTAGTTTTCATAACTCTTTCTGTTTTCAAATAATTACCTAATTAATTATTCATATAATGTGATCAAGGCTTTGTGTGTATTAATACATCATGCAACTGAATTTTGACACACGGAGCTCAATTTGTGTTAATGCTTCTTGGTATAACCAATTATCGAAATGTTATGAATTTCTTGTCAAAATATTCTTGTTAAGGATGAGCTTTCTTCAACCAAATACCAAATAACAACTCTTATTTATTGATGTCAGCAGGTCATTTGTGTATGTGAAGCCAAAAGGTTGGTTACTTGTATACTCTCACACAAAGGTATTGTGTGTGTTTTGGCTCTGAAAAAATGTGTTTATTTGTAAAGGTATTGGTGGTACTAGTTCCATTTCGGAACCTTGTTATGCTCGATCTGATATTTCATATCTTCGAATTTTCAAATTTTCATTTTTAGCTGATTGTTCGTTAATCTTTTTTTCTTGTCGTGTGAATCCATGTGTAAATCCTGTCCATACAAGTACACTGTAGTACTGCTTGTCAATGCCAAATGATGAAGTGATGTTTAATGTACTCAGTAACCAATCTGAAAATTATATTTACTCAGATTTCTTCTACTTATGAATGTTGTTTTGATAGTCATTTGTTCATTCTACTTTTCTACCTCCCGCCCCCCTTTCCCGAAAGATAAGTAGGGAGAGAGAGAGGGGAGGGTGTGTGAGAGAGGGACAGAGAGGGAGAGAGAGAGAGAGAGAGAGAGAGAGAAAGAGATAGAGAGAGGGGGTATTGGGAGGGGGAGCTGGGGTGAAGGACAAGAGATGAGCAAATGCCTTGTCAGACCTCAAAGAAAACAATAGAGATATTCCCAAAATGCTTACCTCGTGTTTACGTGAAAAAACATTAGAATTCGTTGTAGGTTTTCTATTTTATGTCAAAATCGTTTAAGGTGTGATCAATGTTATCGTTTTGCGTATCTTTCTCGTTGCTTTTAAAGTCTAACAGGTCATTGTAGGATTAATCAAGGTCAAAGAAAGAAAAAGATGGGAGAGAGAGAAATAAGGGAAGGAAATGGTGAGAAATAAGGATACACTAATTGGATAGAGAGGAGGGGGAAAGAAAAAAATCGTCCTTGTTTTCACGAAGTGACGGTAGTGAGGAAAATTGTAACGTAAAGTGAATGCAATTTTTTTTCACTACCGTCACTTCGTGAAAACAGCGACGAAATATGGTAATCACGATAAAGAGAGCGGTAGGGGGAAAGAGTTAAAGTTAGAGCTACAGATTGAAAGAAGAGGAAAATCAAAAGAGAGTGAAATAGACAGAGAATGGAGAGAGAAGGAAAGAAATAGGAAGAACGATAAAGGAAGAAGACAGAAGGAGATACGTACATGCAGGCGCGTACGCAGGGGGTTGGGGTTGGGTGTTAAATCCCCCTCAATTTTGTTTTGTTTGTTTGGTGCTAATTAAAGGGTGAAAAAAGTGAACCCCCCCCCCCCCCCCCCCCACTCCCTCTCTCTCTCTCTCTCTGCTGTCTGTCTGTCTATCATTTTCTCTCTCCCGAGTTTCCCTCTAGCTGTCTGTCTGTCTCTCTCTGAGAGTCAAACAGTGAGATAATTATTGGATCAGGAATTCAGGATAGTATAATAAGATATCTTGTTTATTAGTCCATATCCGTTTAAAATCACTAGCTAAATGGAATCTAAACAATGCTACGAGTACGCATGCATTTATTGAAGTTGAATTCAAGAGTAGTAGTCTTGTTATGTTATCACATTGTTTGTACTGAAACCGGTTTATATTTAATATTGCGAAGTCGACTCCCCGCCCCCCCCCCCCCCTCCCCCGTTGGGAAAAAGGCTTCCGAATACAAACAATCTTTTGTGATGGAAGCATAATCATAACCATTAATATATACTTTCGAATTCGAATATCCGCGAATTTCACATACACGACTAAAACCGGAAATGCGTGAAACGCAAGTTCTATTCCCAATTATTTCGTTCATTAGTGTAGTCTGATAGATGCAGACCGCTTATCAAAACATTTAATTTGCTCCAACCCTTGTTTAATAAAATCTCTAAAATCAGTAATTACGATTTCACATGTCCTTTTAATCAGCACAAGCATTAAGTGAACCCCTCTGTTTCCAAATTGTATTCCTAAATTGTTGTAAATGTTTATAATTGATTTGTAGCCTAAAGTTTTGTTGGAAACAAAAATAAATTAAATTGAATTGAGTAAATTAACAGTGGCTCTTTTTAAAAGTAAGAGCAACGGGTGAGGTGATTTGATATTTGCTACAGCAATAACTATACTGCGAGCTCAGTACTTGTTGTCAAAAGTATAGGGTTTGCATCGTAGGGCTGCATTAGATTTGTATGCCGGTGTCTCATGTCTGTACGTTGTGTATGCTATATCAATCCAGCGTTGAAGCTTGTGTATGAATAAGGGGATTCCCCAGCAGTCATGACGTCACTGGTTAGCGTGCCATTTAATATTACAGGCATAGCGCATGCACGCCATCGTGCTGTTCACATGCATGGCTCACCCATTTATATTGCACTATTTCTTTGATGATTGCAACATCAAAATTGGACAATTTTGTATCATAGTTCGCTCACATTCAAGACAGCACTATATGCTACAGAGATGCAGTATAATTATGTAGTATGAGCCCATAAAAAAAGGCCATCACGAACAAGGGAACATCCCATTTTAATAGACGAGTCGTGAGTAGATCGCTATAGCAGTCTAGGCCTTCATGATAGATTTAACTTCTGACCTCGCCCTCCTCAGTTTCCGAGTCTGCAGAGTGCAGACGCTCAATCACGTTTTGTTAAGCCTGTTCCTGGGACTAACTTTGGAGTGGATCTGCTACATGCATCGCAAAAGCTTGTTCTCTATTAAAACTGTCTTCTAGATCAGTCCAAAAGTAGCAGTATTTGACTCTGAGGTAAGTTTAATTTTGAACTAGTGTCACTATATACAAGTCATGTACATCATACTGCATACTGTAGACCCTATAGGCCCTATACACGTGGAAACCACAAATGCACAACTGGCGCCTTTTATCCCGCATATTTTTTGTTTTCCACATCTGTTCTAAATCCATCATATGTTACTCCTTACGTTAGTAAAACGGACAATATATAGATCCATGAAATAACGTCAATTTGCCAACATAATGCAACAAATACAGACTTTTAAAAAATATCATTATAGTCTACATGTAGCATTTCATTTTGACCGTATCATTTGAGAACTTTCATTGTGGAGAAAATAATTAATTGCCAAAATGGAAAGTTCAAATCGATATTGTCAATTAATTTCTTTAATATTGTGGTTCTGTTTCCCATATACAGGATGGAAGCGCAAGATGATGAAGAGCAGTTCCAAGGAGCGTTCAAGGTCATTGACAACCAACAAGATGCAGGCAACTTACCAGAAGCAGAATCTCTTTTCAATCAGGAACTGATTAAAAAAAGGAGATCTCTCTCATGTTCAACAAGCCATACCAGAGAATTAGCTTTTCAAGAAGACACCATAGAGTCTTCTTTTGATCATGTTGATAGGCCTCCGAAAAGGTCAACTCCATTGAGTATAGTCAGAAATGTATCCTACCCAGAGAAAATAGCCGAGCTGTTTCCCTCGGATTCAGATTCCTCTTGGTCTGCCTTCTCTTTATCAAGACCCTCTTCCATATGCAGTGACCATCTGAATATGTCTGGTACCAGATGGGCACAGGTAACACTTGAATCCCTTGATTTGGCTACTGAGCAGGCAAAGAAAAACTCTTCAAAGATTGAAAATATCCAGAAAGGGACGAGTAGGCGCGCTGTCAGGATGAAAGATGTCACTTCCGAGCTTCGCAAAAGGATGACAGGTCTTGAACTAAGTCAGAGGGATATGGAAGACAGGCTCGCATCTAAAGTGGATCAGCTAGAGCAAAAAGTATGCAGGTGGATCGGCAAAGAGGAAGAGTATTCTGATTCCTTGCAAGGTAGACGCAAGGCTCTACCTAAAAGCATGATGATTAAATGTTTGCCATGGGTCGTGCCCTATTCTGATCTCAAACGAGACTCTGTGCAGAGCATCTCCTCACCACCGCTGCAATTGCCATGGGTTCAAGGTCTTCAGGCCACTCTCTATCTTCTGGGCATCGGGAAAGGTCATGGAAGCCACTTGTCCATTGGATTCAGTTGGCCAAAGAAAGGAGAGAATCCCAAGGTGGATGAAAGCTACCTTGTCAATGTCACGGTCAAGATCATTGACCAAGAAGATGCTTCAGAATTTTCCGAGAAGGAGCTCCTCTTAGTTACCTGCCAAGAAGACAGAGGCTCTTCCGCCCAAAGTAGTAATCTTAACACTTCCATCCCAAAGCTTATTCCGATTAGTACAGTGGAAGACACGTCTTTGGGATATCTGTCTGATGGGAGGCTCCTAATCAACATCAGTATTGATTTCCTTGTGTAGACGGATTAAACACCATCTTGTCGTTCAAGGTATTAACCTCTCTTAAGATCCAAAGAACAAGTTCAGTTCACTTTATTCAAAACCACACAAAGCATGGTAGAATTCAATCTTGCTAAGTGTTGAAATATCAAGCAAAATCTCTCCTAATTTGAGAATTGTCGGCATTCTTACGATAGTGTTAATTAATTCAAAGCTTCCAAGCCAATGAAATGATAAATAGCCTTACAATTGTTTACATTTTAAAATAGGATATACCCTCTAATTGTTCCAAATATTACTCTTTTCGTAAGGTACAGGCTTGTCTTATTCGATCTGAATTATGAATTATGAACTGAATTTGATCTGAATTATGAATTGGAATTGATTTGAATTATGAATTTAATTTAATCTGAATTGGGAATTGAATTTAATCTGAATTATGAATTGAATTTAATTACTTAGTCTGAATTATGAATTGGATTTTGGTCTGCATTTTGTGCTATCGCATTTCGTGTTATCAATGGTAAGCTCAATTGTTTTTTCAATTGTTGTATCTTATTGATGTTTATAATCTGTAATTCTGTATTGACATGCAAACGATACATATTTCCAATAATTCGACAATAAAATTTGAATTGAATTGAATTGAGAACTATCATCTTTAGAGAGTTTCAAATCCGAGTGAAAAGCTATTTTACAGCAAAAATTAATGCCTCCTTATGGCACTTACTTGGAATCTTGCTTCACCTCTAATTTTCCTTGTGCCCCTGGAAATAGAAGATGGCGAGTTTGTTATTATTGATATTATTAATTATCATTATTATTATCATTATTATTGATATTATAAATTTATAATCATTATTAAAATTATTGTTATTAAAATCAATATTGTTATTATTATAATCATTATTATCAACATCATCATCATCATTATTATTATTATTTTTTATTTTAATGTTGGTAGAGGTAGTAGTCGTGGTTGTAGTCATAATGGAAATCAACAATTAATACAAAAAATATACAAGTGAAAAGTGTAATGATTACAACAAAAAATGGAAATTTGTTAATGTTGTTAATGTTATTAAAGGAAGAAGGTTGAAGGGTGCATTTCAATGATTTTTCATGTGAACATGCAATTATAAGTGTTATTTAGTGTTATAGAGGAGATAGTAACAATTACTTTTGTAGTTCAGTTTTACATGCTGAAGAATGTTGTACTATATATATTAACCATATTTGCCATAATTGCTAGTTAATAGCTTAGTGTTAGTGCAATACTTTAGATAATATCATGTGAAAAATATTTTTGTGCTCAGTACATATATTGTCTGCCAATCTTTCTCCTACTTATTATTAATTTATGTGTATACAATTATTTGACACATTGATTGTAGCTTCCAGGGATGGAAGAAAATGCATGTTTTTCTCAACAATTTTTTTTTTAATTGTATGTAGGCCAACATATACTTGTTGAATTTTTCAATTTCCATTTCTACTGTGATGTACAGTGACACATAGAGGAAAAAAGAGGAAAAAGGTAGAAATGCACATTTTTAGGAAGGACTGGGTTACAGGTACAAATGTACATGTATGCACTGGTACATGTATACAGTTTTGTATACAATATTTATTTTATTTTCCTGTGTCAATGCCTTACGATGTACCCGTGCCTTACGATGTACCTTGTGTGTGATTGATCGCAACTTCAAAATTCATAACTTTCTTTTTTTAATTGGAATTTGCTCACACTTTCACTGACCTGTTCCTTTCATTTTGCTCAGTGCTTCTACATTTACATGTATTATAAAACCGACTTAATATCAGGATGGACGTCCCTTTAATGTGGATGAACTTTCAAATGGAATAAAGACATGAGGGTTTCACTGCAGGAACTATTAAACTTGTGTCAAGTGTGTCACTTTGCATGCTAGCTTTTGTATATTATAAACCAAAAATAAAATGTCAATGATTTTATTTGTGGAAGCCCACAAGCATTACCATGAGGCTGCATGACCCTGAGGCTAGAAGGCATTGCAAAATGAGAAAAAATGGTGCCATCTATATTTGTCAAGTATCAATGAAATTGCATTTTAAGCAAATTGTATATGTTCATGTCTGTGTTTAACAACCCAATAAAAATGCCTAAAAGGAGATTGAAAATGTGTGTGCAATGTTTTGTTTTGTCGTTTTGTTTTTCTCATTCAATCTGACGTTCATTACAGCTTTAATACCCGATGCTCATGGATAACACCATTTCTGAAACTACACAATGATAAGTTATTTTCTCCATTGAGCACAGCCAAATAAATGTTGTCTTCAACATTGTTTTGCAAAACTGCATCTAGAAGAAGAAAAAAATACGGTGAAACCTGCTTTAGCAAGAAAAACTAATATCATAGAGACCACCTGTCTATAAAGACCACATTTATTGTTTCCTGTTGTGGTTTCTTAAGGAAACGTGTACTAAAGAAACCTGTACATAAAGACCATTTGTGAGGGGAAAAAGAAAAGCAGTCTTTCTCGACAGGTGGTCTTTGCGTACAGGTTGTTTCAGTATAGGTTTAAATGAGAAATGCTATTCAGAGGGAAAATAAAAGTGGTCTTTGAAGACGGGTGGTCTTTGCATACAGGTTGATTTAGCATGTTTCAAAAAAAAATGCTACTGAAGGGGGCAATGCGGCCTTTCTAAACAGGTGGTTTTTCTCTGAAGAGGGGAGGTCGCAATAATATAAGCAGGTGACACTACATACAACGTGGGAACCCTACAACTACTACTACATGTACACTTACACACAAAAAATGTAGGCACAGATGACCAAGAGAAAGAGTCCATATTATATACATTCATGATTAAATGAATCCAACATTTACATAGGTACAAAATAAATCCAATGACATGATACATTGTACATGTAGCATACAATTTGTACATGTATGAGACTATCGGGGCGTTGCATGAAAGTTGCGTTTAAACGGAAATCCCTAAAATCAAGCCCAAGTTACGTTCAATCATGTTGCAGGAAAGAGTTGCGCTTGATATCAAGCAAATGTTGCAATCAAGCGCAACTTTGCAATAAATTTGGAGGATGCGCAAAGTTTGCAACTGACATTTGCAATCTATTGCAACGCAAATTTCTTGCAACGCCCATATGTGTGTGTGTGTGTGTGTGTGTACATAGGAAAAGATATAACTATTAGGCATTGCCCACAAACAGATTTATATAGGTTGCATAATGTCAATGAAATTAATTAAAATGAGAAATCAAAATAGACTGAAATCACTAAAATTCATTGACTTCATCAAAGGCAATAGGCCTACAGTCCGTAGGAACCATCAGCTTTCATCAAATTTTTACTTTTAAATTTTAACAGTAGAGAAAGATTCCTAGCATTACATACCACATTCTATCAACAAATATTAAGTACGTCTTCTCATGTCCATGATGCATAGCCAATTTCACAAGGAACATGTTAACACTGAGGGGGAAATGATTCAATCCTAAGCGTGATTTATATCAGTGGAGCAATTTTATGAAATTGCGATCAAAGCACTACTACAAATTTACAGATTAACTACAGTGTATAATTGCCTTGTCACAAATTCTTTTCACTCATAATAATTGCAAAACTGAGATATTTCAGATGAAAGGTTTGACACATTATATCATTTTTAAAAGCCTTAAATTTCACCAATCGCCTGAAAAAAATTATGGGTATAGTTGGTTAGAATATATAAAAACTAACTTTAAAATAACTTTACTTGGCAATCTATATAAAGCCCCAAAAATAGCAAAATTTCACTTAAATTGTATCATAAAGTGAAAGAGTATGTCATAAAAGACACACTTCCGCAAAGATTCCCCCCCCCCCCCAAATGAGGTTTGCAATTAAAAGTATGTAACCCTTGCATTCAACTATATTTCATCCTATTTTCTATATTTTTACTACAAAAACATGAAGCTATAAATAAAACACAAAAACATTCTGGTAAACATTTTAAGATTGTCCTATACCTATATGTAGGTTTAGGGTTTATGTAACTTAAATTTATAGCAGGTTATCAGTCTAAGAGGTTGCATATAGATATCTCTTGCAGTTAACAGCTTCTCATTCTATTTTCTATATTTTTACTACAAAAAACATGAAGTTATAAATAAAGTACTAAAACATTTTGGTAAACATTTTTAAAAAGTGTCCTTCACCACATGTAGGTTTAAGTTTTATGTAACATAATCAATTGGTTATCTGTCTATAAGTTTGCATATGACATTCTCAACCAAGTTTTTATATTTTTACTCTAAAAACATAAAGCTGTAAATAAATATTGAAATAGGTTGGCAAACATTTAAAAAATGAGGGATGAAATAATTCTTTTTTGAAAACTTTGTGCTTAAAAACATTAAATTACGATATACTAAACTGCACTCATAGACTACAAGAGGGACCTTAATTCATTAGATATAAACACATTTCTAATTTGGCACTTCCAATGTAAATTAATAAAAATTGAAATTAAAAAAGTAGGAAATACAAAAACTGCACTTAAAAACAAACTTAAGAATAGATTACCGGTACATAGCTTATATTTCATTCGATATCTTTAAATAATATTTAAGAACATCAATACTTTTCTTGATAAAAAATGTCATTCTTTCGATCGATTATACCCATAATCATCAATCACGAATGATTGAAGCACATGATCAAACTTTATTTTGTTAACCTTTTCAAATCCAAATTCATGAAACTTAGTTTTCATCCTTTTTCTGATAACTGGGATGATTGCCTCTCGATCAGATCTTATCATTAACAACATGAAGCCTGACCTTTTTAATGAACTCCATCAACATGGCTAGAACTGAACCCCTGTCCATGTATGGGGGTGAACCACAGGTGCTGACCACTTGACCACCACATGTCTGGGCCCTAAACTTGTTATCAATAACGAATGATGGCAACTTTGCTTTCAGCCAATCAAATGCCGGAATTTCAGTAGCTTATAACAGTTATTGTAACTCATTATTGATAACAAGTTTAATGAAACAGGACCCTGCATGTGTGATTAGGTTATCAACAGACATGTGAAACAATCAGATATACACATCTGGGTCCCATCTTACAAAGAGTTACGATTGATCCAAATCAATTGCAAGTCCTCCAATCAATCGCAAGTTAGCAGTCTCCTACCTCTTACGTACATAGTTGCGATTGATATCAACTCTTTGTAATACGGGGCCCAGGTGACCTTAGTTTAACGTCATCATGTGATACACATGACAAGTTGAAAGCCGTTTAACATTCAAACGTGGGTCCCTTGTGAGTCAGTTTGCAGGCAAAGACAGAGAGTTGAGAGTACTACAAATAGTATTGCTAGACCAACAAGTTTTCTTTTCTTTCTAAAAAATCACTACAATTTACATAATTAATCTTTTCCAAGCATCTTAGTGAATTTTTCACCATCGGTGTGCAACAGAATATTTTAACCACAACAAATATACATATATAGATATATATGTATTTTTGCATTTGCTCGTTAATTATAATACCATTGAAACTGGTCATGGAAAAGAAGAGAACTCCCCAAGATTTTAATTTAAATTTTCAATTATTATTAATGTATGCATATTCCTTCATAATGACCTCTTAAAGGTACTATGTCCCTTTTGCAGCCAACCTCAAATGCTGTAGAACTTTGCATGAATTATGAATATGTCATGTATGTCCTATCTGTGAAATTTAAACGTTAGCAGTGTCCTCATATTCAAATTATGCAAGGAAACCCATTTACTTGCTAGACTTCACTGTCAGACACTATTGAGTGACTGACTGGCTTTTTTTCTTCTTTGGTAATAACATACATGAAAAGAGTTGTAAAGGGTACATAAGCATTTGTCTACATCAATAACCCACTTCTTGTGATGGCCAAGATTAAACTGATTGAATCTTTGCGCAGCATAAAACGTATGACCATTCGGTACAATTGTCTGAAAACCAAGACTATTACTTTTGGGCTCTATAGCCCTAAAGTCGATTTGACAACTAATAGTCGTTATTTTCCCACTTGAAGACATTTTCAAGCCCCACCATTTTTAGGGAAGTTCTAAATTAGTATTATCTTTCAAATGCAGTTGGAATTTAACTTTTTCATTTTTTGGCCTGCAAATGGGACATAGTACCTTTAACTATAAATTGCATACATGAATAACCTCTCAACTATAATTTGCAAACAATGCAAATATCCTGACAACCTTTCAGTCCAATAGTTTTCAAAATGGTAAATTTTGAATATTTCCCTCCCCCGACATAAGAAACGCGAAATACGGCAATAAAATATACAGGTAAAAAACATACAAGTACATGCAGAATACATACTTTCAAATGCAAAATAGTACTTACTGGCACTTTTGCAATGATTGAGTTGTTTTTAAAAAAAATCATGATCCTCATACACTATAGCTCGGAAATAACCTTTTGTTTGCCATGAGTGTTAATTGGCACAATCACAGGCTTGCCATGTGTGCTGATAAGCACAATAACAGGCACGGATTTGTATTGCACTATGCAAACATTTTGTATGCTTCCCCATTTCCAGGCCTTGATTTGCTACATGAAAACCTAAAGCTGCCATAGTTGAGTGGTTTAAGCACTTGACTTGAAAAGCAAAGGTCAAGGGTTCGATCTCAGACATGGCACCAATGTCCTTTGGCAAGGCATTGAACTACATTTGCCACACCATACCCAGGAGAGAAATGGGGACCTGGGGGATGGCAAAAGCTTTTGTGTTAGTGATTGCCATATGCCCTCACGGTGACCAAATAGGAGGAATGCTCTCCAGGGAGTGGAGATGGTGCACATTGTGTGTGAAGGAATCCGATGTGATGGAGCTAATCAAGACCAGGGGTTTCACAAAGCCTTTTTTCAATGACAAATGACAAATATCAGTGACAAATCTGCTGATAACCAATCAGAAGCAAGGATTTCAGTAACTTATAACAAAAACTGTCATTTGTCACTGATGACAAGTTTTGTGAAACAGGGCCCAGAAATGGGGTAATTTGCAAAGCCGTTATGTTGCACAAAGCAATCCTTCGACAGATGGGTGCCTATTATATTGTGCAAAACTGCACACATGGCAAACAAGCAATCGTACAGAGAGGTGAATAAAGCAACCAAAGGGTTAAATACCAGAGATCATTTCTGTGCTAGGAAACTGAAAGAACAAGGTATAAAGGCAACGTTACAAACACAGGACTAAAAAAAGCTTATATATATATATACATCTATACAAACATGATTTCATGATTTTGCGGTTTCACCATGTGGGTAGTCCTGACAAGGACTGTTGGGTTTGAAAGTTGATAGAAACTGAAAGAAAGTGAGCTTCGGAATCGTCCTATGGAGGACTACTTCTAATTGTATGGAAAGAGACATGTAGAGAAATTTAAAGAAGTATCCTTTCGCGAGAAGAGTCCTGAACGGACTTCACCAACCCTTTTCTTTCCTTTTGAGGACTCCTCTCACAAAAGAATGCCCCTCTTAAAGCCTGCTGCACTACGTATAGCTACTTGCGCCCTCCATGTAGCAAACAATGCCAAAGCGGTGACCGTTGGTCCCCCATGGTCCCCTTTTTTTGTGTTAATTGAGAGCTGATTTGATGAGATAACCAACTGTCAATGATCATGCCTGGAGTTCTAATCCCTCCTGGCCAAACAAATGCAGATGGGCTTTAATTTCTCTAAAGGTCTCTACCCATGCAATACCAAGAAGTCCTCCAGAGGACCCAACCAAAAGAATACCTCTCTCAATTCCTTTCTATCCCCTTTCAAATCCACCGCCCTATTCAGGACTACCCACATGATGAAATCGCAACCTTATGAATTCATACACACCACCATGCATAAGCTAACCTTCAAAGACCATCTATACATAACATGTGAATCCAATTGTCTATATCTGATGCTACATGAAATATTTATAATGATTATCTCTAGACTGACGAACAAAGATAAAAGTAAGTATGATTGTAAGACATGCTCCAGCTATAAAAACTCTACAGTCAATTTTTAGAACTTTGGAGCAAGTGTCATCCAACGGCAAATGTCAGATCACACAGCGCAACTTTTGATTAGAACTATATATGACAGGTATTGTTGCAACTACAGACAAAGTGCATCATGGGAATACCGGAAGGTCAAAGGTCAACCTGAAATCCTTCGCAGACTTCACCCAGGCAAAGAAAGTAAAATTGGAAGGTTGGGAACCGTGATGAGAAACAAGTGGAAGAGGAGGCAATGGAAAGACGTTAAAAACAAAAGAATTAAATATCAGTGATTGACAGATCTCACTGAGTGCCTGGCAGAAGCGCACGAGTGGACAAGCAAGAAATGTAGTTTTCATATCGAGAAGAGGTTATTTAATAACTTTTAATGTTCTTTGACTAGACGCATGTGACACTTTTCAGTCTAGGTGTCACCCAACTGTTAACAATAGTTTATCATTTCGGCAATCACACTGTTAAGAAATTTGACTAAAGAAACCGTGTTTGGGTGTTTCTGTGAGATAAAAGTCTTTTGTCCATCTATACAATCCAAAAATTATTTGACATGATCGCTGACTAAAGGTTTTTTCTGGTATCACCACAATTAGTTGATAGTCTTGGCAAGCAATTTCTAATATTTGGCCGAGTCTCTTCTCCATCTATACAATCCTGAATTTAATGGACATGATCACCAACTGATGGTACTTTCTGGGATCACTACAATTTAGTAAATGGTCTTAACAAGCAATTTCTAATTTTTTGAAGAAATACTCGGAGAAACGACTTGTGTCATACAAGAAATAATGCAAAGAATCACCTATTTACGCTCTTCTGCCAAACACACGTTATGACATGTCACCTTGTTAGCTCTGGCCATTGTAGAGTTAAATACAAACCACTACCAGTTAAAAACACACTTCAAACTGCCATTTGTCATTCTCTAGACTCTAGACTGTCTCGTAGTAAGCATTGCCAGCGGTAATGCCATCGGGCTACACAAACTGGTAGTTCTCATGGTTGCTGACACTGACGTAGGTCGTTGAGGACGACTGGGTGAGATCGGTCGTGAACTGCCTGCCCCAGTTGATCTTCAGAGGGCGGCATAACCCCAAGCAGCGCAGACCAAAGAAGTCCACACAGTTCTTGACGACTCCCCGGCTGCAATGATAGAGACAGAATGAATTCAAATCAATTCATTATTCATATAACCATTAAACTTTGTCAACTTTATCACCTAAAGTATACCAAGCACTGATAATGTAAAAAAAAAATAGACAATTTTGCAAATTTTAATATTCACAGCTTTTTACCCTGTCTACATATCCATGTCCCTGTCTCAAAACAAATTGAGACAAAATAAGTGAGGGGTTTAGAGAATTCAGTAGGGTTACAGTAGGTTGTAATGTAAACAAAACTTAATCAATAAGGTACTCACTCGAACGGATTGATGAACTTTCCGGGTTTGTCTGGAACCTGTTCAAAGTGTGTGTAGCGTGACATGTTGAGTCTTTCATTTGTTGTGACACCTAGCCAGATCATCTGATTCAAAATGAAAACAAGAAATAAAACAACATTTAGACATCTTAAATTGGGATTAAGAATATGATTTAACAAGGAATAAAACAAGATTTAGACATTTTTTATCATCACTGAATATGAAATTGAACAAGATTTCTATTTAAATCAATAGCAAAAATTACAGGGATTCTTTGAAAGTGTATACAGTGTGAATTGGTTATTTCATTTGTTGTTACAAATTTCTGTAACTCAAGAATGAAAGGTGGACTGATTGATTTAGGACCTTTGTTGAATACTTTTAGATGTAAGCTTTAATGTGTCACATTCTCAAGAAACACAACTTGGAACAATTCAATTTGTCACATACATTAAAAATTCAGTATGGATATTATTATTTTATTTGTAAAAGGGAGTTTGTTGTCAGTTTCGACGTGCAGTAGGTCAAAATACCATTAATGGGTGGACAGGCCTTCCACATGGCAAACGCGTAGTCTTATCAGGAAATACCCCAATTCTCTTGGAGAGTCTTTGGGTAAGGGCAATATAAGTTAATGAATTTCTCCATACGAGGTGATTGATGGAAAATGCAGAACATTACATATGGCTTGCTGACCATAAAACTGAATGCTTATCCTGGTGATTATCAACACCTGTTATTGGGTAAACACCCAAATGGTGTCAAATTCCCAATGAGAGTCCACTTCTACGCATCTTTAAATGTACACGTATATCGCCAGAGCAAATGACGTATTAACGATTGCTTACCTGGAAGAGCTGACTGGCCAAGAGTACAATGACCCAGGTCATGTGGAGCAAGGAGTTGAGAGAGGTCCAGAAAATCCATGGCGAGCAGGACATGATCTGACCGAGATAGGCCCAGAACCCATCCTCTTCAAAGCTTGTGGTACACTCTTCAGACCAGTCTGATTGGTAAAAACATAGAATAAAAGAGAAGAACGAAAGTTAGTCTTGTGTGTGTGTGTAATTTGGATTTTTACAGACGTGTATCATTCAGATATGATTATTTACGTCTGGGGACCGACCTTTAATGTCACCAGTCTTATCGAATCAGACTTTATTTAAGAGGACCTGAGAAGGATAGGCCCGGAAGCCATCGTCTTGAAAGGTAGTGGTACACTCTTCAGACCAGTCTAATTGGTAAGAACATAGAATAGAAGAGAAGAACGAAAGTTTAAGAGGATCTCAGAACGATACACCAAAAAGTGATGGTCTCAAAAGATTGTGGAACCTTCTTCAGCCCAGTCTGATTGGTAAAAACATAGAATAGAAGAGAAGAACAAAAGTTTAGGAGGATCTCAGAAGGATACACCAAAAAGTGATCCTCTTCAAAGCTTGTGGTACACTCTTCAGCCCAATCTGATTGGTAAAAACATAGAATAGAAGAGAAGAACAAAAGTTTAGGAGGATCTCAGAAGGATACACCAAAAAGTGATCCTCTTCAAAGCTTGTGGTACATTCTTCAGCCCAATCTAATTGGTAAAAACATTTAATAAAAGAGAAGAAAACTTTAAGAGGATTTAAGAAGGATACACCAAAAAGTGATCGTCTTCAAAGCTTGTGGTACTCTTTTAAGCCCAATCTAATTAGTTAAAACATAGAATAGAAGAGAAGAAAAAAAGTTTGTCTTATCACATCAGACTATATTTATATCTTAAGAAGGATAGACCCAGAAGCAATCGTCTTGAAAGGTAGTGGTACACTCTTTAGCCTAATCTAATTGGTAAGAACATGAAATAAAAAAGAAGAATAAAAGTAAGTCTTATCACATCAGACTTTATCAAAGAGGACCCGACAAGAGTAAACCCATAAATATTTATTATGGTGGCTTCTTATACAGCGCACACCTCCATCACTTTGTGAGGCTCCTGGCGCTCCTACATTATTACCCTGGTCATGGCTGGCGGTCAAATATGTAGCCCTCTGGCAAATTGGGTACCCATTTACACCCGGGTGGAGAGTGGCAAAAGTGGATTAATGTCTTGCCAAAGGATGTTAGTGTCAAACTGGGATTCCAAGGTTCAAACCTTGGATTGAAAGTCAAAGGAATGAACCACTATACCATGACACTTCCACACGCATGAATAGAGAAAGACAAAAGTAAGTCTTATCATGTCACACTTTACACAAGACGATCTGACCCAGAATGCATTGTCTTAAAAGGTTGTGGGTATAATCTTTAGCTAAGTCTCATCAACAACTAAAGATGGTTAATTGAGACTTATGATATGACATCTTTGCATGTTGAACTATCGCATTTGTTGTTACCTATGTCCAAGTTAAATGTTCTACTCTGTACCCATATGTATCTTATTGATGTTTATAATGTGTAACCTTGTACCGACATGCAAATGAAACAAATTTCCAATCATTGGACAATAAATTTGAATATGAATATGAATATGAAATGAATCTAACTATGACTTACAGGCATCACAGATAGCCTTACGATATTAGGCCTTGTAGAGGCATGAAAGGATGCGTCCGGAATGCAGACGGCATAATAGTCAGAGATGTTTGCTAACTAAAGGTTCATTTTTGACATCTGAATAAATGATGTGGTAACATGAAACCTACTTAGGATAATACATGTATCTAATTAATTCTTCATGAATCAATTTTGTACAAGTCAAATTTTTCTGAAGTAAAATTAATTTTCAGTACCAAACTATGCAAAACAAGTATTATTTGCACTTCCTTAATCAAATTTTGAAAGTCAAACTATTGTTTGCAGTCCCAACAGATTTGATTAACGCAGAATTAACTGTAATTAGAAGTAGTGTCGACTTACAGTTGATGCATGCATAGAAGTATAAGACTAGGCAAGGTAGTAGAGCCGTCAGGTACAGAACAAAATGATGGTGGTTGCCAGATCCTGCGAGGAAATAAAAAAATTAAAACATCATCATCATCATTCATTAAAAGTCAGCATTTTTACTCTTACGAGTGGTTACTGACTTTCGCCCCATGATGACACTCACTCCATCCACTACTTCTTGTCTACAGCATCCTTCTCATTTAGACAAACCTTACATCATTCTTCCTTCACCAAAGAACAGCACATAAATATTATGCCCTTCAAATAACATTATCAACTATGTTAAGCCTCAGTCACAAATGCCATTACGAACTGCTACGAACGCTGTACGAATGATTTTCAGACAATGGAAATTCCGGAAGACAATGGAAAAACAGGGAGATTCGTACAAAATTATCGTTTGTACGAACCTTTGTGACCGTAGCATTAACTATTTTTTCCCCACTGTGGGAAGCAAAGCCCCCCCCCCCCTCCCCCAAGAACTTGAGTGCTAAACAAGATCTTCCAAGAACATATCACTTTTACATTCAGAAGTTGAACGATACAAGAAATAAAATTCTAAATGCAATGATGGTTTGTAAAACTGAATGCTAAAGGAATAAGTTTCTATCTACCATTTCTGGGGTTACACTTTTTCCCACTTCGGTAGACTTTAGGAGAAGAAAACTGCCCCAATAATCTTTCATTATACCTACAGCATTTACGAAACATTTCCTGGCAAAGAATTAATTGATTCCATCCAAGGAGCCATAAAACTTGATTCAGATCTAATTCAAGTTAGATGCAAACTTTGAAGTTTAAAGACGCATTTTAGTGGGCTATATATGGGGAATTTGACACCATTCAGGTGTTTACCCAATAACAGGTAGTGTCTATCACGAGGATTAGCCTTATGACTAACAGACCTTATGTATAAATGCTCTGCGTTTTTCCACCAATCACCCCATTGGAAAAGTCATTATTTGACATCTCTCTTTCCCCAAGACTATTTGAGAGACTAGGGTGTAATGCTTGACCGGACCAGGCTTATGCTGTGTGTGAGGCTTATACACCCTTAGACGGTATTTCCATCGAGTCTTGTGCAAGCGAAGTAGGACCTACTGCACATTGAAACAAACTACCATCCCCCTTTAGCATCAAGATAAATGATCCACTCACCGATGCAGTTGTCTACCCACGGGCAGTGATGGTCAAACCTAGCCACACATCGGTCACAGTGAGAACAGTGCTTGCTTCTGATTGGTCGTTTGATCAGGCATGTCGTACAGAATTTACTCAACTCCAACTGCCCAGTCTCTGCTAACTCTATGATGGTCTATGAAATTTCAGATATAAATAAACATGAGATAAGGTTTGACAATATATTCATGGGTTTGGTGTTTCGAATCTACTCAATTCAGAACAAGTGTCAAGCTTTTGATTCCCTCTCTCTCTATAATTTTGAGTGTATTCCCAATGCGGTACATTCTGCCATTCTCGATTAAGAGCAATTTACTTGTAACTGATCACTTAAGTCTCTAAATTGGCAATACATTGTAAAATATTAAATCACTTTTTGGGGGTGCAATTGGCAATTTTGGGTTGAATTTTACAATTTTCCTTCACATTAAGGTGGACTGCTTGAACTGGGGTCTTTGTTGAATACTTCCCGATGTAATTTTTTACATGTCACATTCTCAAGAATCATAAATCAGGGAATTTTCCACATGCTTAAAAATACAAACTTTGGTAATAGTATGAATAATGTAGATGCTAACAGTAAATTTTAAAAAACAAGAATAGAACTCACTCTTTTCCTGTCTTCCTGAGAACACTGGATAACCCCTGGGTCTCGTTTCATCGTTGCCCAGAATTGATAATACATGCAGACGGAGGACGCAAAGAAGATCACATTGTGAAGTAAAGACTGATGTGAACGGAAACGTCAAGGATAAAAACTTACAAAGGCATTGCTATGAAATACTTTTATATTCTAAGTTGTGATGTAAAGTAATATCACTTCCTACATGCAATGGACAACTCACAGATTTGCCCTCCACTGTTGCATATATTCTTCATTGCCCAACTAAATTTAGAATGTGTGTAGCATGCATGCTGTACCAGGAGGCAATATCACAGCTGATTTCCCTTCTTCAAAATTCTTCCTGATGAACATGAAAGTGATATTTGTCCCTCCCTCCCTCCCTCCCTTTCTTTCTTTATCTCTCCTTTTCTCTCTCTTTTTTGCTTCCTTCCTTCCTTCCTCCTTCTTTCCCTCCCTTCATCCCTCTCTAACTTCCTCCATGTTTCTATCTATTCTTGGGTTCGTTGTCAGGGGGAGGGGATAGTTGTCAAGGGGTAGTCATCCTAATATGGTTTGTAAAGGATATGAGGCCACAGGAAGTAAGCATAGGTGGTGTGGAGGAAAAACTTTGTTGAAAAAGAGATGCAGAGTGAAACAAGCTCGCCAAATCGGTGATCAAAAAACGTCCTGTGGAAAAGAGGAAAGACAAAAAATATCTGACTATTGATACGAAAGTCTCTGTGCATTGAATTGCAAGCCTAATTCTACTTCTCATCATAAATATCATCAATACCAGGGTTACAATAATCATTATCACTATTACTATGATCACCATCACCATCATCACACCAACATTATCATCATCATCACCATCCTAACCACCACCACTACCACCATCATGACCACCACAACCACCACCATCACCTTCTCAACTGCTACCATCACCATCATCACTACCACCATAATCGCCATGATCTTTATCATTACCACCTATCAATCATATTCACTATCATTATCATCATCATTATCATCATCAATATCACCTTCATCATCATCATCATCATCAATATCAATATCATCATCATCACCATCACCATCCCCACCACAGGCACCACCACCACCACCACAGGCACCATCATCAACAACAATCGTTTTGGTCGAACCAACTTACCTGAACAGCGTGTACACCACTCCATAGGTGCAGAGTGCAGCGATCAGTTTAACCCACCAGGGCTGACTGAGTTGAGGTATGGCACCCATCAGGAAGATCACCAAGAACGGAACAATTTGCATCACACGTTTCCTTACAGTCTAAGGATAGAAAATAAAGAAGAAGAACATTTCAAATTGTTTGTTTTACCTCTTGACTACTCTCGGAGAGGACCTAAAACCGTTGGTCCTCTGGTTGCTTACTAACAAGCATTAATGCTTTCTTTAAGCAGTCAGGTAAAATAACCACCACCACCACTACATTAGAAAACATGGGTATGCTTGTAAGTAAGTGACCAGGGGACTGATGGCTTAAAGTCCTCTCTGAGGGACTTGATAATGAGGATTAATGCCTTACCAAAGGTTACTAGCACATTGAATTTGTTTTCAAACCCAGGACCTCCCTGTTACAAGACCACTGTTCTACCACTGAGCCACCGCGCCTCCCATTTGAAGGCTGCCACTTTTAACTCTTACTCTACTGAGCTACTTGAAACTCATGATTCTGACTTCATACAGAATATGGGCACAGTATGAAAATTGCTGAGAATTGCACTTAAAGGGATACGGTAACTTTGTCTCAGATTCTGAAACAAAATCTGGATTTAGCTCATGCTGCAATGATAATTATAAACCTTTAGGTCAGTCAGGAACCCCATGACTTTTACAAGCCGATCGCATGTCTGATTATCAAAATATTCATGATTGGAATTACAAACTTTGAAAACAGTTTGCCTAACGTTTTTCATAACACTACAGTCTATTGGGGAAAACGATCATGGTAAAACCGGTCACTCAAACAATTTTTACTTTTTTGAGGTACTTCTTGATCATTTTGAAGCGTGATTTTTGTAGGACTTCAATATAACATCATATCACAGACAATGATAACACATAGGTCCGTGCATCTCAGATTTAACATTGTTAAACGATCCCTTTAATTTTGTCATAAATCTATTATTTTTCATATAATTTTACAATTATGCAAACATGATAAATTAATGAAGAGAAAAAGGTCTGTGCGATCTTATTTTGGGCACAAATGCTGTATAATATTTACTCTAAAGAAAAGAAAAACAACTGACTATCTTACATATTCCATTGTTTTACAGACTTATATGTTTTTTTAATTTTACTCACATACATCTCTGATTATTTTTGTGGTCTTATCTTTCCTGTATAAGAATTATCTTAACCAAAAAATTTAGAGAAAACGTTATTTAATGCTAGCATAGGACAATAATTACTTTTTTATAAATAAACAGTTTATCTCCTCCCTCTTTCTTTGACTCTCTCTCTCTCTCTCTCTCTTACTCTCTCTCTTTCTTTTTCACTCTCTCACTCCTCCTCACCTAAGTTCTCTCAAGCCACCTACCTTATTTGATTTGAGTCTCTTTAATATCGTTGAATTGTCAACCTCTGCTTCCCCTCTGAACTCTTTTATTCTCATAATCAAGTATCCGTTCCGCCTTAGCTTCGCCAGGTCCATACATGTCTGATGCTGTAAATTGATAAGAAACAAGATATGAGTAGATTTATCGTAAGGAGAGGGCGCCAGTGCGTGCCAATATCTGCCCCCCTCCCCTCCCCCACACGCACATACACACATTTTTCTCATTTTTTTAATTCAAGTAATCTGGATTTTTTTTGGGGGGGAGGGGGGATGGGTGCTGAAAACTTCACTTAATTTGAAGCGTAGCATCCCCCCCCCCCCCCCCCCCCCCCCCTCTACACACACAAATGTTTTAGTGACGTTACTGGATACTAAAACATGTGTAATTGAATGTTATTGATCTGCATCTACAAGATACAGAAAATGTTGAAGAGGTAAACAAAATCTCATGGATAATATGACATTATATTTGTCACAAGATTTTGACTCAATTATAAAAGTTGGTTTACATATGTTTGTACCTCCTGCTTTTTGCAAGAAAGGTAAAATTGGAAGAAAAGTATAATTTAACACAAAAGTATTTTTGGGAAAAAAAAAGGCATTTAGGATTCATAACACTAGTCTAAGGGCTAAAAAGCAGCATTTTAATCTTCCAATATAGGAACTGTTTTAAAAAATTGGGAATTTAAGATGAATAACACTATTTTAAATGCCAAAAAACAGCATTTTTAATCTTCCAAAATAGGAACAGTTAACGGCTATGCTATGCTAGCAGTTTGTGCACTATATTTACAAGTACCAATCGAAGCCGTCCAATGTCTATATACCCATTCTTGCACTTACGCTTTTGTTTTCCATGTAGGTGTCGGCTCCAAACTTGACTAGGCAGTTGATGGCAGCCATGTTGCCTTGCACTGCGGCCCAATGGAGGGCACCATTCTCGAACTTCTTGTCCTGGATGTTAGGGTTCGCTCCGACAGTGAGGAGAAGACGAGTAGGGTCCATCCTGGAGTGAAAAATAGGGGGGGAAATTTAGGAACACTATCACGACAAACTTTTTAAGAACCCCAAGACGCGAGTAGCCTGGGCCTTTTCAGCTGCAGCACCTTGTCTTTGGAATAATTTACCATTTAATTTGAGAATGAGAACTTCCTTAGAGACCTTTTAATCCAAGCTGAAATCTTATATTTTTTGATAATACCTGTACTTGGCACTTTGACACTCATCCAAACTCTCTCATTCTTTCTATTTTTCTTGTGCGCCTCGGAATAAAATTGTCTAGATAGACAATGCTATATAAATGCCTATTATTATTATTATTATTACAGGTCCACATACATGTACATGTGATTTTACAGATAACTGCACAGCGTTGACAATACTTCTCTTTCTTTCTTTCTTTCTTTTTTTTTTGGGGGGGGGGGGGGCAAATAAAAAACATTCATACTTCTATTTACAAGCATTCATCCTTGTTTACAAATCCTGGCAGAGAAATAAACCGTTATAGATTATTTACAGAATGACATGTATAGGATGTTCCAGCTCTCTGCTGATAGAATACTAATCCCTGAATTGATGGGTATACATGTTAATAGCAAGTAAGTTTTAAAGGTGGGGTTAAATCCAAATATAAGTTTATTCCTATTGATGTGCAGGGCTGCATGCATTTCATATTTTGATATTCAAACATCAAAATATATTTCTTAGATTTTTAAATATTTTTTTCAAAATAATTTTCTCAGACCTGCTAAGCTCCACCCTAAAAAAATGCTCCAGATCTCCAGATATCAAATTCACCATGAGAGCCCACTCCTATGTGTCTTGAAGATATAAATATACTTACAACAACTACTTGTTTAAATGCTAAGATATACTTACGAGAATGCTTTATAAGAAGACCACATCAACGGTGTCATACCATTACCATCAATCATATTGACATCCTGCAAAGGGGGGAATTAAACAAATTTTGTACAGTTGTCAAATTTATGTTTTTTAGTTCACTTTATTCAACTATATCAAATAAGATATACAAAGCACGTAATACAGTTAACAATATAAAATAAATGGTAAGGATTATCACCCCCCCCCCCCCCTCACAAAAAAACAAAAAAACAAATTTTAAAAAAAACAAAAAAACAAAACAAAACAAACAAAACAAACAAACAAACAAAACAAACAAAAAACAAAAAACAAACAAACAAACAAACAAAATTATATATTTATATATATACAAACTATTACGACACCATCAAAACACTCTAGATCAACCAAGAGAAATTTACTCACCTGGCCTTTAGCTATGAGATATGCTACAATAGGTGTGTGGGCAAATTGGCAAGCTAGGTGTATGCCGCTGCAACCCTCCCCGTCCCTAAGGGAGGGGTCAGCCCCGTACTGCATCAAAAGGACCACCATAGGGAGGTGCCCCTGGCGCACCGCCCAGTGGAGGGGGGTGGAGTTCAGGTCCCCGCCCAGCTTGTCAAGGATGGCTTCTTTGGAAACGAGATATCTGTTTGTCATTCAAATAAGAAGAAATAGGTAATAACTTTGTATTAGAGAATTTTGAATATGTTTGTACTTTTGCAATATTGTCCAAGAGATTACCAAGTGTCAAGGAATAATAAATTTTGATCATTACTAAAAGAATCATTTTCTTTGATATTTATGACAGTATTACATTCTCATTATCAAATGGTTTGCAATGCTCCATAAATGTATATTAGCCAGATTTTCAAAGCCATACAATAAAAAGTAACATGTCAAAACCCCTTGGGGAGCCGCCTGCCTCACCTCACAATCTCGGCTCTGTTGTTGATTGCAGCCCAGTGCAATAACGTAACATTCTCTGGATCAGGTTCATTCACATCATATCCTTCGTCAACCAGCTTACGCACTCGGTCGATCATACCTGGAAAAAATTACAATGTTTGGTATCTTAAGAAAATGCATTGAATCTGCTCAAACTGATAGAAAATAACAAGCACCATACATGTACAAAGATGTACATGAACATGGTCATCAGAATAACTAACAGGAGCAATGATTAAAAAGTACTTAGAATAGTATACCATATAAATATGTAGAAATAAAAGAAAAGTATATATAAAGAAGAAAAGTATACATAAAGAAGATAAATATATGTCGTGTTTATAAAGATAATAGCATAATTTTCTCACAAATGTACTACAGAAGGAACAGGCAGAGTGCTAACATTGTGATGGGGGTAATTATTGGGAAAAAATATCCTGATGATCTAGCAATGTGCTACAATTACCGTTATATCAAAGTAAGTACTAGTGTCGGGATATGAATATATTTAGACTACCCCTGATTGTATGTCTTAAAAAGTCACTTATAAATCTTCATTTTCTTTTTGATTTAGTGAAAATGGAAGAAGAAACTAATGTTTACTAGTTTTCAATATTTTATAGCATCTACATGTATCACATTACGTGGCTTAACAATCTGTATAACTACCAAGTTGATTTGTAAAAGCTATTTTTATTAATTTGCAGAGCTGTTACCTGCCATGCATGGACCATTAATCAGGTCAAGACCTGGGCTTTTCCCATTATGTTTTCCTTTTCTTGCTATGTCTTTGTCATAATGTCTCTGTTCCTCTTTTTCTGTTCTCAATAAAGTCATGTACCAACAATATTTTAGTTAAAGGTAAAGACCATTAGACCAGTATTGGAAACACCCCAATTTCAAAAAATAAAATGGAAGCTCTCATTACCAATCATGTGAAAGAATGTTTTGAATAATACATGATGATAAAAATGTTGCCGGGAAACCACCTACTAATTGATGTATTTGGTAAATTAGTTTATCTATTGGTGTGTGAGAGATAAAAATGCATGTGTCGTGCACGTGCGCGTAGTCCCATATACATCTTTCTGTGTACAGTGCTTGTAACTTTATGAAGACTGGGCTAAATTTCTTATCATTTTGATGATTCCAGAACCTTGCAGTACATCTATGCTAGATGATCAACCTGTTCTGATCGATTTCACAACGTTTCTTTCACAATGCAATCGCATGACCATAACTGGTCTTTATCTTTAAAGAGTACAAATCACACAAAAAAATGTACCGGTATATGCTCTTGGTGTAAAGGAGTCCACATTGCTATACTGTAGTCCAAAGTATGAGCTTCAAATATTCCAACTACAAAGAGATAATACACTCTCATAAAACTCAGAAACATCTTCTTGAGACCACTCAATAGGCCTGCCTTCATCATTTCGAGATTGCCAAATAGCCTGCTATTTCTGATTTGGGAAATAATCCTGAAGTTACAAATTGCGTCTTCATTAGCTCGAGATTCGACCTCAAAACTTGACCTTGAGAAATTAGCTCGAGATGTTTTGCTCAGCGTTAGCGCATAATGCAAGTGAAGACGCACAGGACAAAAAGCTGGATATTTTGCCAAAAAGCTGGATATTTTGCTAAATAGTGGGATATTTTGCAAACTATCCCAAGATATCTTGGGATGACAATCCCGACCAAATATCCTTCTGATTGCTACTTCGGTCTGATGAAGACGCAGATTAGCTGGATAGTTTGCGATCGGGATAATTCAAATAGCTGGATATTTGGCAATCTCGAGGTAGTGAAGACAGGCCTAACATGATGTACCAACAACACTCACCATACTGTGTGGCCTTCACGATGTCCATCTGGTCAGGGTCAGTCTTAGCGTTCTCTGATTTTGGTTCGGTAATGCTGTCTGCAGGAGGGTTGTGAGGGTCATAGTAACCCAGGGTCTCCCCGGACGGCTGGACCGGGTACGGCTTCACCTCCTCCATCATGGCGGTCGAATCCTGCCCGGGAATAGATCAGGGTCAAAAGTTAGCTCCAAGAAGAAAAATATGAATATAATATTGGATGGTTTTGAGTGTGATACAAGAATAGATTGCGCGAGCTATGACAATATTGAACGAGTCAAAGACGAGTCTAATATTGTCTTAGCGAGTGACTGGTCATGTGTACGCTTTCAACCAATCATTTGATTAGGATCCACATGATCAACTTATAACACCAAATAATCACCTGAAAGGTAAAATAAAATGAGATTTTCAAAAAAATAATAATAGTCTGAGAGTCTAGGTCTAGATCTAGATACACTTCTTTTAAAAAACTTATTCCAAATCATGGCAAATGAGTGATTGACAGAATGACCATCCTATTTCATGAATGATGAGTAACTCTGTTCATCAACATCCATGTTAAACCTCTCCAAATTCAGTTAAAGATAGTCAGACTCATTCCTAAACAGAACTGTGAGCTGTGGCCATCAAAAATAGCTTTGTCATTTGACTTTTTACAGTTTGTTTATCATTTTCTCAATTTATGTGACAACTGATTGATTGATTGATTTATTCGGCCACAATGTGGAAATATCCTTTACAACCAGCATTACAATAATACAAGAAACAGAGTACAATAATATGAAACATGCAAAACAATTAGATCTAGTCTAGGCTAGATAGATCTAGCAAACGATTTCGAAAGCAACAAAAATCTTGACCTTTCACAGAAATGAGTGATGTCACTGAAATTCATCATCAAATGACTCTCATTTCACTCCATAAACATCAGCAAAGCATTATCATTACAATCAAAAGTTTCTAGTATCCCAAAATAGTACAAAATATAATCTTTAAATCTTAAATTTCAATTCATTAAAAGTATAACAACAAGAGAGCTGCTGAATGTTTCACTACAGTCCCACATGTTAAGAAATGGGTTGTTAATCACCATCTTTTACAGTAAACGAGAAGACGGCGTCTAAAATTACAAATAAAATTAAAAAAATAAAATTACTTTATTAATCTATTCCTCTCATGATTTACATATTTCCTAATTATTAGTTTTATAGCAAAAATTCAAAATTACACTTACCAAGTTAGGTTTGGGGTGATTTACAACAAATGATTTGCACGAGCTCAACGTCTCTCTTCACACAGCGTTGATTCACTATAGGCCTACACTGCTACAGCATTGATTTACTGCATTCTACGAAAATGAGTTCCTAGCTTCATCACTTTGTACGCCTATTACGCATTGGTTGGTAGTTGAAGTTTTCAACAATTTTGGTGAATAAAGGGCGCGGTCGGGTATTTTTAAAAGGCCTAAACAAAATTGACCTTTTTATTTATTTCAGCACTAATTGGACTTATATTTCGCTATTAATTACAATAAACGTCAGAAGTAAATACCAGGGGTAGATTTTTCGTACCAAAAATGACTTCATAAAAATCAGGCGCCGATCGAGTGCCAAATATTTGGTCGTACCCCTGCACCCCCAAACGCAAATAAAAAGAAGAGAGAAAGAAAACATGAAAGATAAGGAAAACGCCAATAACTGACGTTTGTATTCATTATTAGATCATTAGTCAGTAAAGTATCAGACAGGTAATCATATCGCTGATGCTGTTTGGGTACAACTTTTACATAAATTTTGAAAAGAATTCCAGTGGGGCAGGGGGCAAATTTATTATGGATACTCAGATTTGGTAATTGGACGGGGTGTGCCGCTCAAGCCTCGAAACCCCTATCCATTATAAGGGGTCATTTGGGGTCATTTTTCTCGAAAAATACCAAGTTATCACAATCTTGGGGTGATTTTTAGGCCGTGTTTGCATGGCACCCGAAATTCGAAGTTGCAAATTTTGAAAAACGGACCCATTTCGAATGGTATTATTGTTAAAAGTAGGACCCATGTTTAGGGATTTTTTGGGCGGTGAAAAAGTGACCCATTGGAGCGGCACACCCCGTATGTCCTAATATATGAATTACAAAAAAACAGAAAAACAATTAAAGGTAATTTTGAAAATTGGGTGGATATAGGATTCTTTACAATTTTGATATGTTTGGATGCCCATGTGGATGTATTATAAGCACTAAAACATTTAGCCCCTAAAACACTGCTTTCGAGAAAGATTGAATACAAAAATTTACCGGGCTTCCGGTAAATTTTGATAAATTTAAAATAGCACAATGGTAGCTGCGACCATGAAAATCTCAGAATGCAGTTGTGATATATTCCAAACGGGAATAGTTAATCGGTCGATTTTAGTCAAAAAACATTGTTTTATAGCTTAACTAATATCTTGACCTTGAGAGGGAGCTATACAACATCCAAAGTGTATTACTTACAATTTCATAACTTTAGACTCGATTTCAACCGCGTCAACGATCACTGAATATTGCCGATTGCATATGCTTCCAATATGTTCATTTGAACCAAATTCATGACCCCATACCAAAACTGCTTTGTATTACCTTTAAGTTAGTGCTAAATTCGATGATTACTCAATATTACTACTTTTACTCTTTTTTTTAATTGCCTTGTTAAGAAATGCAAGAACGCCTTTCAATGTGTTAGAATATGCTTTGGTTTAAAAAAAAGAAGATAGTGTCGTGTAGTATTGTCCCAAAAATCCGGTTAATTATAAAGTACCCTAATATTTACTAGCCTGACGAGATGCTTAGTTTGAGATGCACTTAAAAGCCAAGTTTATATCTTTATAATCCTTCCCCATATAGAAAGACCAAGTCCATTCATAATCCACTTCTCAGGAAAGACCACCACTAATATGTTTAAAAACCTTATGTAGAACTACCAAGTAGTCCATTGTTCTGGCGGTCCCATTATGCCTTTGTTTCGGCGGCCCTCGACATAACGTCTTTGTCCCTTTGACACAATGTAACCTACCCTAATTTTATTTGTATCCTTCTGTGTAAATATTACATGTTCTGGCTTTCTGGAAAAGAATGGAGTTTTTATCACCACTAGATCAAGACTATTCTAGCTGACTCTCCATCTCTTCATCTCATGTTTTACATGATATGTGGAAGTTCATATATTATAATGATGTGACTGATTTGATTCTCCGAAGTTTGGAGATAATAAATACTCTTAATATATGACTCCGGAATTAGAAGTCTCTCTTCATTTGTATGTACCACCCCTACTGCAATACACCGATCCCAATACAATAACAGGAAGCAAAATCAATTAAAATGTGTTTTACCCGTAGACATTTACTTACATCGGAAAAGTAATGTCACTTTATAAAGGGACACTACGAAAAGCAGTGTCGTATAATTTATAGAGAAAAAGGGTTAAAGAGCGCCATCTTCAGAGCAGTGATTGAAACCGGAATATGAAATGGAGTCTGATTTTGAGAATACGAATGTGAACAATTGAAATGAAATACAGTTTGTATGGCTTCTGATTTTGACAATTATTATATGGCTGCTGACTTGCTTGAAAATGCTTCTTTTAGCTGGCCGTTGTTATAGTGTTGTTCTTGTTATTTTCTTTTTCGTTTTGTTTGAATTGCACTATATTTAAAATATTGATTTCAGGACAGACACATATTTTCATCCGGAGGCACGTACTAGCCTACCCATGATATTGGTGATATTGGGGAAATGAGGAAAAATATGGCTTTTCCATCTCAAAAATCGACAAACATAACATTACGAGTGATTAAATTGATAAAAACGCCTAAATGGAAAGAAACTTCATTGATCAATCTTTTATTGATTACAAAAAAAGTGCTAAGGAGATATTAATTTTCAAAAAGAAAAAAATGATATTGACACAATCATTTCATGAAAAGAGGTGGGAAAGCTTATTCCGACGTTAGGAGTAATAATGTATAACAACCATTGGTGTATCAAGGGTGTGTTTTGGGTGTACAAACATCCCCCCCCCCCCCTTGGCAAAAGGGGGTGATTTATAATGCTCATGGGGGACGATGGATGTTGAGGGGGGGGGGGGGAAGGAGTGCTCACTCCCCCCCCCCCCCCCCCCCCGTTGAGCCCCCCCCCCCCCAAAAAATACAACAACAACAACAACAACTAGTGCTTACCCCTTCCCATATCTCTCTCTCTCTCCCTCTCTCTCCCTCTCCCTCTCCCTCCCTATCTCCGTTCTCTCTCTTGCCCTCTCTCTCTCTCTCTCTATGTCTACCTGTCTGTCCGTCTCAGCCTCTGTCTGTATGTCTGTCTCTCCTTCGCCCTCTCTCTCTCTCTCTCTCTCTCTCTCTCCAACGCGTTCCAGATCTTGATATCTAGCCAGGAAGTATGCACCTCACGACCTTTGATCCCAGAATGTTTGTGGTTGCCAAGGGGATGGATTGCCAGCCAATAGATTATACCGGTAGGTACCCAACACCAGATCGTTACTAGTACCGCGACCAAATGCAAACATTCCAAACAGGCAAGCGATAATATTTCTGGTACCAATGTCATCATACAACGTATACTGATTGAAGAAACTTCTCAACTATCAGTAAACATTTCATTCGATCTGAATTAGCAGCTGTGAATACTCTACCGCTGGCAAATTTAACTGTTTGGTTTTTCATGAACTACAAACAAAGTGATTTTGCTCATTTTGGCCAAATTTTGATTTTGTTTTGAGGATCATTATGATGAGACTGTCTGAGTTGCCCTGACTATATTGTTGCAACGGTTTTTGAAGCAGACGGCAAAACTTCAAACGCGTAAGTAGTACGTATTCCAATAAGCAGTGCTATGAACAATCATTTATTTTCCTATTTATCAATCCTCAATTAATCTTTACCCGTAACAACAGTATATTAGGTTGCAGTGTTTCGTAAATGCCAAATCCGTTTTTTTTTTCTTCCAATCCATATACTTGTCTTTTTGTGTATAGTTTTGTTCTTTCACCTGTCTATAACAATAATATTATATAGTCATGATAGTTTGTATCATACTGTCTCATTCTCCACATCCAGTTGCTTTTTTATTTTGCTTTTTATTTATTCATTTTTTTTCAACTTATTTTTAGAGGAGTGGGACCTTTTTTTGTTTATGTTTTGTATTTTGTTTTGTTTTTCATTATTCGCTTGTATATGATCAATATATTTCATCATAATTGCAATATATGTGTTTTTATTATATATGATACTTTTAAAAATTAATAAATCATATATGAGCTTGTTAAACTTGCAATAATTTAGCTCTCGGCTCCCATTGTTCAGTTCTAATAAACCATTCTACTATATTATTACTATATATATACATATTTCTTAAGTTCATAACACATTTGATATCTCGCTTTGTACTCTTCCATTCGCATTCTTTTCTTGAAAGTACCACATGTTATTAAATGCATTTTGAGAAATCAAATCCATAAATTTATATCAGGCAAGATTACAGTTTTACTGTGTTTTACTTTGTTCACAAGAAAAGGATGTATCATTTGATTATCAATTATTTATATAATCATTTTCCAAATACGTTTAAGAAAAGAAAGAGTATCCAAAAGTGTGTTTCAATTTGTTTTGTTATGACCAATATAATAGAATAATATATAGTTGATGGAGAAACGTAACCTCACTATGTACATGACGGACAAAGAAAGAGGACAAAAAATACAGTTCCTCATTCTACCCTCAACAATTGCTGTGGTAGACAAAGGAACATCCCTTCACTGCTATTATGTAAAAATGTGTAGAACAGGTGAATATGCATGTGTCAACTGTTCTACACATTGTTACATAATAGCAGGGAAGGGATGTTCCTTTGACTACCTGAGGAACTGTATATTTTGTCCTCTTTCTTTGTCCGTCATATTCATAGTGCCTACATGTGTACAAATAAAAAAGGATCAAAAGCCGCAGACTAATCATAACAAATGGAAACATAGCGGTAATGTAGTTTCAGTTACTAATATAAATGTCAAACATAGTAGAACAACAAAGCAATGTTAAACAATTAGTAAAAATAGACTTTATTTATCTTGCTAGTTGCCAATCCCGATTAATGAAATCTTTCTAGTTACCTAACAGTCTTATCATATTTCATTCTTTGAATTAAGTTTACAGATATATTACTCTTTTGAATGACAAATTTATTAATGAAATAAGAATGTAATTATCTTCTAATAGTTCAGCTTGATTTGTTTTCCTGTATCAATAGACACAATTTTAGATAAATTGTTGCCCCCCAAATTGGAATAATTTTGTCTTTGTCTTTACCTCTTTTCATCCTTTTCATGAGTTTGAAAATATTATTTATTTTAGAAGAATAGAGGCTACAATCTTCTCAAACCCTTTTTTATTATTCTATTTATTAATCAATAAAGTTTGAGAACGTGTAAACTGCATCTAAATCACATTCTCATAATTAAATGAAAAGAGGTTATACAAAAAATATTTATTTAAAACAATATTTATTTTTTAAAAAAAGATAATAATAATGGGCACCGGTTTACTCCACAGTTTATAAGAAAGATAAATAAAAGAAGTGATTACAATGTGAGAGGTCAATGATAATCATATTTACATGCTAATTAGTTCGAGGCCCAAAGTGAAATAGTAATTTGCTTAAACGTTTACTGAATTTGAGAAATATGTACTCTGGAACTATTAGGCAGTGTTATGAAGAAGTAAAAAGGTGAATAAGGTAGAATGGCAGATTGGAGAAATGAAAAACATGAACACAGAATAAGATAACTACATCATCAATAGTGGTCTGTCAGTTTATGACAGGTCCAGTGGCCCAATCAAAATCAAAGTGTCTTTCCAAGTTCCTCGGTCTAATAGCATATGGAGATATATCTCCATGGTCTTAGTGAGCCATCCGTTTCAGCATTTCACACCCTGTTGCTGTAACTACATCATTATTTCATTATACATGTCAGTGGCGTACGCAGGATTTTTTTCAAGGGGGGGGGGGGGTTAAAATAAAAAAAGGGGGGGTTTCCAAAAAAACATACATAAAACATACACATGGAAGATCCGGACCCCACGGAAGAACAGGCGTATTTTGTTAATACGCCTGAAATGGGCTATCCGCCGTATATCTCATTTATGTATGTATTTGTATGTTGTGATGATTTTATACGGAAATAAAAACAAACAAACAAACAAACACATAAAAAAAACTCGAGGGGGATTTAACCCCAAAACCACCCCCTGCGTACGCGCCTGATACATGTTATGATAATTATGATGACCTTTCCCTCTGATTCATAATAAGTTGATCAATGAATGCATTGACATGCTCTTGAGTGATGAAACGTGAGTAAACATGGCAAAGGCTCGTTGATATATCACGCGGTAAACCGCAGCAAAAGAAGCAAAGATCCTGGGGGGGGGGGTGTTTCACAAAGATCCTAAGTTGAGCTTATCTCCAAGTTGGACTTTAAAATTATGGAAAGCCATTAGCATCCTTGAAATATGTTGTAAAATTTATTTTAAAAGGCATAAAATGTTGATTCAAATCAATCATATTTTCTATTATCATGGGAGATTTCATGTTCTTGATGTGGAATTTATGGAAAGTCCAAAATACTTGAATTTGTGTTTTTGTTTATATTTCAAATAAGGCTACAAATGGCTCTCCATAATATTTAAGTCCAACTTAGAGTTAAGTTTGACTTAAAATCTTTTTGAAACACCCCAGTGCGTATTTAATGAGCTATGTATTATTTACCTATCAAGGTAGTTTCTCCCAGAAGGGTAATTGCAAGATGTTTCCACACATCTCTGTTTTCTGCCACCTTAGCCTGTACTGTTCCCCTCCCAGTTATAGTTCTTTATTTCCCTCTTCTTCTTTTTTTTAAATGTTGTTTTAATTGAAAATTAAACTCAACGACATTATATATTTACAATAATTCTTGGTTTCCCTCTTGGTCTGGTACCTTCTACTTTTCTTTACTGTGTTATAAGATACAGAAATATATAACATGAAACGTATTAGACTTAACGTTATCATTAAAAAAAACCGCCACACTTTTTCCCGCCTCATATCTCAAGGAGGCTGTATAGTTTACCGAAGTCAAATTCTCTCGTTGCTCTAAACATGAACTGCCCCATTTCAGGAGTCTAGAGTGACGTAGACATGGGGGTATGGTGCATCCCATGCCCCCCCCCCCCCCTTTCCCCCTCTATTCCCTCTCTCTATATTTCACGTGATGCACCTACAGTGTAGTGAGTGCAGGGCATAATCTTAGTACAGTGCCATTTTAGAACCTGGAATTATTTTTGTTTATGGAAAATTATTACCATACATCTAGAGAAAGAGAGAGAGAGAGATAAAGAAAGAGAGAGAAAGAGAGAGAATGAGCAAGAGAGAGAGCGGGAGGGAAGGGGGAGGAAAAGGACCGTGATAAAGAGAGAGGGGGTCGAGACTGAGAGAAAAGAAGATGGTATCCTTATAAACATAGAATAGCGAAATAGTAGTTGGCCATAATGTAGATAAAATTTGACTGATTTGTTTAATAAAGCCAATAAACACAATCTCAACAAGCAGTATCCCCTTGTATTACGTGCATCCCTGATGTCACTGTATATGCGTGTTTACGCCCTACTGCAGGTCGTGCGCAAGCTGTTGAAAAAAGTCAACATCCAAATGCTATTAATGTCAATAAAAGATTTCAGACGTTAGAATATAATTAGAATGAATTCGGAACAAGTGCTTTCTCGTGCATTGATCGATGGCGTATTGTTGATTTTATGAACAGCAGGCAAGGGTTTGTTTAAATGAGTCAGGGACCCGCCTTTGGTAGTCTGGTGATGGATTGACAATCATTAACAACATGAAAAGTGCATAGTTTTAAAGGCAGGCTATAGTTTCGCTTTTTGGTGAAAAAACAAACAAGTTAGATAGTTTAAAGGTAGGCCTATAGACCAGTTTTGGAAACGCCCCCCTCTCAAAAAAAATGGAAGCTCTTATCACCAATCATGTGAAAGAATATGTTTTGACTAATACGTGATGATATAATGTTCCTCAGATAATGAGGTCATACGTGGCATATAGGTGCATTGGTTGCCCATTTTTTGTTCTGGAAACGGATCAAATGAATGATTATCGTTATAATACTTATCCTCAGTATTATAATTGATATCTTCATCATTATGATCATCATCATGAACACCACATACATATTCATCACCAACCCCATCATCATCACCTGACGCAACCACAATCATCACCACCTCCACCACCACCACCACCACCGCCACCATTAGCACAACCACCACCATTATCATCACCATCACCATTAGCACAACCACTATTAACAGCAATTACATCACCATCATCATGAGCACACCCAATATTAACAACATCAATTACATCACCACCACCACCAACATCATCACAACCACCAGCATCATCATGACTATCCCCATCATCACCATTACTATCATTCTCGTCATCATCAAATGTATATTTAAATCTACTTATAACTGTTCTGTCATCTATGGATGTTACAATGTTATTATGTATCATAGTTCTGTTCCTTTGTATATAGTTCAAATATTTTGTATGCGATTTCTTTCTTTCATTCATTTTATTTGTAACAAGTGCGCCTTGAGCATTCGTTTCCAAATGGATTTTGCGCCTTACAATCCCTTATATAATTATTATTAATATCATACATGTATTGTTGAAGTTTTTTTAGTCATAATATCATTAAGCTCTTTCATTACTCGCTTACTTTTTCTTTATCATCGCATTTATACAACCTCTCAATATCAAGCATGCCTTGTTTTATCGCCCTCGCATTCATTTGCATTTAGATATATTATTCATGTAAGGGGGACTCTAATCCTCTGGTTCTTTAACACGTCGTATGTCAATTACTTCATACATATACATGAAAGAGGGACATTATATTGGTTTTGAATTTTCCATATTGGATTAAGTCGAGTCCGCTCTTGTCATTGTCTCCCATTCTAATACGAGCTCTAAAAACACCTTCCACTGAAGAAACAGACGTTTATTACTCAGATATATCGTTCTGAAATATATGAACTAAAGAATTCGGATGCTATCTACATACGCCGCCGTAGAAATCACTTATGCGGATCAAATGTTTGTGTGTGCATAATATATGGACGATCTTCGCGGTGCACCTAATAGTGTCGAGTACACGTGTATGTATGCATGCATCACTCAATATAAAAGGATGCCTCTTTTCTTTCCGTTTTCAGAATCTTAATGCCACAATGTTATAAATAGCAACGGAGAGAAAGAAAAATGAGAAGGACGATGGATTTCAGTGTTGAACCTAAGACAATATTATTGCTGATTGATGGAGAATTTAAAGGGAGATATCAAGCAGCTTAGAAAGGAGATCGGGAGAGATCGAGGAGCTGCGCCTGTGATATGATCGCCACCTGCTGATCTGCAGCGCGGTTCCTCTGCCAGAGTCTGTGCTTTGAGCGGGAAACCATGGTGCAGCTACGCGGGAGTGGTGGCTTGGGAGGAGGTCAACGGTCCGTTGGTGTGCGAATCTGGTTCACCGTGTTGCTGATTTTGTGCGGCTTCTGCAGCAAGACGGGAGGTAAGACTGAAGGGAGGGATGCTGATCGTAGATGGTTGATTTCATGATAAACAATGATGATGAAGATGATAATCGGTGATGAATGGTTGTAATGACGGTGACGATGGTCAAGATGTTGGTGATAATACTGGTGATGATGACGGTGGTGATGATGATGATGATGATGGTGATGATGCTGATGATGATGATGATGATGATGATGCTGATGGTGATGATGGTGATGATGATGATGATGATCATACATGGAGATGGTGATGAGGATGGTGAATGGTAGTGATAACAGTGGTGATTGGTAATGATGATGAGGAAGGTGATGATGATGATGATGAGGAGGGTGATGATGATGATGAGGATGGTGATGATGAAGACGAATGATGGTGATGGGGATGATGATGAATGATGGTGATGATGGTGGTGGTGATAATGATGATGATGATGATGGTGATGGTGATGGTGATGGTGATTATGGTGATAATGAGGATGAAATTGATGATGATGATAATGATGATGATGATGATGACAATAATGGTGATGAGGAGGACAGTGATGGTGATGATGAAAATGAACCATGGTGATGGTGATGAGGATGGTGATGGTAGTGATAACAGTGATGATTGATGGTGATGATGAAAATGAACCATGGGGATGGTGATGAGGATGGTGATGATGACGATGGTATTGATGATGGTTGTGATTTGGATAGTGATGGTCATTATGATGATGGCGGCGGTGATGGTGATTATGATGAAGTGAGGATGAGAAGAATGATGATAATGATTATGGTGATGATGATTGAAGGAAGAAGGCGATGCGGGGTGTGATAAATGTATATTTAATGGTTAATATTACTAGCTTTCTATACATTTGGTTTAGGTTTATAGCCGAAGTTCTTCTTCGCAGGTATGCTCATAGCGTGATACCGAAAACAAATAAATGAATAATAAATACAAAAATAAAATTATTACAACCTTGTCCGCGGACATACAGCTTTTTGGCGTGTCAACGTTCTTCATCGCATTTCCAAGAAGATAGGATATTATGAGACAGATGTGAGTTTTAACAGATCTCTCTGATAAAAGAATGCTGTTCATGCTTTTCTGCAAAATGCAATTTGACACTCGTGAATCGAGCTTGCTTTCGAATGTGCTCAGTATGGCAAAAGTCTCAAGTAAGTATAAGTAATTGCTCGTGTAAAGACACTACACAGTAGCCAGTGTAGGCTAATACACCACCATGTTGAAGCCCTAATTGGGCCAATACGACTGGGTCTGAAATAAATTAGAGAGGCGGCTATAAGGAGCGTAACTCGATCCTTGAGAGTGAAATGTCAGGAATAACTCTATGGAGTGGGAGAGAGAAGGAGAGAGAGAGGGGGTAAGAGGAAGAGAGAGGGAGAGAGAGGGAAAGAGAGGGGAGAGAGAGAGAGAGAGAGATGGAGAGGGCGTGAGGGAGAGGAGGTAAGAGTAAAAGAGTGATAGGGAGAGAGAGAGAGAGGAGGGGAGGAGAAAGGAAGAGAGGGGAGAAAGACGGACAGAGACAGAAAGATAGACAGACAGAAAGAAAGAGAGAGGCAGAAAGACAGAAAGAGAGAGGGGAAAGGAGAGAGAGAGGGGGTACCGCGAGAGATAGACAGTGGGAGTAGAGAGAGGGAGCGAGAGAGGGGGCGAGGTCGGGGGAGAAAGAGGTAGAGAGTATGATAAACAAAATATATAAATAAACTTAAGATACATGTATATAAACAATATTCTAAGAGAAATGAGATGAAGAAAAAGAGAAAAAGAAATGGGGGACGAGAGCATGATGTTGGTATCATATTCCAGAAAAAAAAACATGTGGCATTTTACATTTCATTGTTTTAGGAACTGCATATTTAACACTATAATTTGTATTTTTGTCATCCTTTTTAAAAAGAAAATTGAGAAAGTACCCACATATTGGATTTTAATAAATAATTTGAATTTGAATTTGAATATCATGAATATCAAAATAGAAATGACGTCTATAGCGCATTGAAAGTGAGAGGAAATACAAATAATCGAAATTTCAATGACAGCAAAAGTGAATAATAACTGATTAGATAAGGAAATAGAAAATAACTCGACAGACGAAGTAATGTAAGAAAGAAAGAGAGAAGGGAAAACAGGGAGAAGGCGAAAAATAGGAGGGGATGCAATAGACTTGATGCAAGACTTTAAACCGTGTACATTCAATTTTAAATGTACATGTAGTTATGTATGTATATATAATATGAATACGTGGATATATATTATGTATATCCTTCTCTCTCTCTCTCTCTATCTATCATCTATTTACTTTAAATGTAAACCGTGCACATCCAATTTTAAATATATATATATATATATATATATATATATGAATGCACGTATGAAAAGAGAGACAGAGAGAGAGAGAGGCAGAAAGAGAGATGGAGAGAGCTTTGAAATCTATTGAGGTGATGATAATGTATCACCGTACGATTATTCCAACTATTATTTAAAAACATTCATAAACACGCCATCAGAACATAATTCAGAACATTATCTTAATGTGCATGTCAATCACAAATATATAAGGCTCCAAGGATTAAAGAAAAAGAGCAATGATGTAGGAAATATAATGTTACGTGAAGTATTACCATGGCAACCACTGTGTCTCTAGTCATACGTATGACACTCAGTGGATAACTCTGTAAACACGTGAGCGAGGGATATTATAGGGAGACATATAGATGAAGAGTGCACATATAAGCTACTGGTATATTTGATTATGTTGACGGGAAGAGATAGAGAGACATATAGAAACATAATGTAGAGAGAGAGAGAGAGACGTATGGATGTGTGGTGTGTGTCCGTGAGAGAAAGAGAGAAAGAGAGAGAGAAGGAGAGAGGGAGAGAGGGGGACATATAGGAACAGAATAGAGGGGAAAGGAAAATGTTGAGAGGGGGGGGGGAGTAGACAGAATTGATGAGATAAATTTTGTTTTGTTTAATCGTTTTCGATATCTGTTTGCAGATATTTGAATTTGATCTGTATTTGTTTGTCAATGATATTGTGTTTATTTTTTAATCATGTGCACGGACTAGTTGAAAAGCAGTCTGATTTGTTTTGCCTGTTTGTGAGTTAAATTATTTTGTAACCGTGGCTAGATAAATACAACATGTATATACATACATGTTATGAGAGAGAAAGAGAGAGAGAGAGAGAGAGAGAGAGAGAGTAGAGACATTTTGAAACAAAAAAATTGAGGAAAATGTTTCCTTATATGAAAATTGAAGAAATTTATCCTATCCCCCTCGAATTTTTACAAGACGGTGCGTCATCTATCATATATTATCACCTTTTACTATTAGGCCTTTATGTTATTCACAAGTTTGAGTTTAGATTTGTCTACATCGCTGTGGTAAAATCTAACTCATTGGCTATTTGTCATAGTGCACCATTGATTGTTTCCAAAGACTTGTTTCTGATCGTGCGTGCTTGACAACGTTTTAGTAGGAGGTAGTGCGTTTTATTTTACACGAAATTACCTCCCATTTCGTTAACTACTTTATTGCAAGTAATCTGTTATTAAATGCCGTTGATTGTGCGAACAAATCACGATCAATTATACCCAAAATCCAAAGGACTGCATATTTGTTGGTCGTTTTTGTTGTGTGATTTATTTAGTTCACGTCAGATGTTCGATTGCATTGATTCAAAGGATTTTTTCAATTCTAACTGGAAAATATTGAAAAGAAGTGAATAATTGGAAAGAAGTCAATTTTTTTTAAAAAGAATAACAGGATTTAAAGACCACAAATCAATATTTGTCAATCCTCACATACTATAACAATAAAATAGTAAAGAATTAAAGTCTTTAAAAGAGTTTACAGAGTTGCAAACAAAATGAAAAATTTGTTGAAAGGAATTGAAAAGAACTGTAGATACATTTTTTTAAAGAAAAGATTGTAAATAATTGTATTAGAAAAGGTTATAAAGAGCTGAATATTACTTTGTTAATCATGTTTGCATTCGTGTGCATTTCATGTCAAATTAAGTCTTGTCATTGTACCTATAGCTCAGGTTTAATATTAAACGTTGTTGAGACTAGTAGCCAAATGGGGTTTAGAGAGAAATAAAGCTATTTGTTTTGTGTCAGTGCATGTTACGTTTGGCTAGCTATAAAGTTGCGATCATTGCAGTTAATTGGTAATCGGTCAACATTTACGGAAGTGCTTAAAAGAATATTTGACCAAGACTCATAAAGTATTGTGATATCGTAAAATGTGTTACTACTCAGGCATGATGTGTAATATTATTACCAGCTGTGTCCAATCAATCGGCTTTTTAGAGAGACATATGTAAATCCCTGCATGGAAAGAGACTGGAGAAAGTGAAAATGAGAGAAAGGTAGAAAGAAAGGGAGAGAGAGAGAGAGGGGGAGACAGAGAGACACACAGAGAGACAGAGAGAGAGAGGGAGAGAGAGAGAATGAGGGGCAAGGGGAAAAGAAGAACTGTATGGAGAGGGATGAGAGGGCATGCAGAAGGGGGAGTATTGAGAAAGGGGTAGGGATGGAGCAAAAAAGAGAAGTAGAGCGAAGTAGAGCGAGAGAGTGAGAAAGAAAGAGATAGAAAGAGAGAGAGGGAGAGCGGGAGAGAGAGAGAGAGAGAGAAAGACACAGACAGACAGACAGTCAGACAGACAGACAGAAAGAAAAAAGGGACATTAATTACCGCACTTTACGAGGCTGCTTACAATTATCATATATATATATATATTCGTTTTTCCAAACTTTTTTTAAAGAATGACGATGTAAATGAAAATTTACTTACATTTTCACCCCATTACATATAAGTCTGTTCATTCTATTCTTCATATTCTTAGGTGACGTGAGCTTCGAGACCACGATCGTCGTCACCTCTGACGTAACAGTAGCAATGACAGAGGAATGGAGCACCAAAACAGTATGTGTTTATGTATAATGAGATGACCAATTGCTAAATATTTATTGTATTATGCAGGGTCTTATCCAGGACTTTTCTTTAAGGAGGGACGGTACAATTCAAAGAGTTTACACAATTAAAGGTGCAATGTTTTATACGGCAAGTATTTAAAGGTACCACGCAAGCCCCCACAGCGCCTTGAGGATATCCGAATGAGGAAGTGTGCGCCTATTATTACTATTACAAGTCAATGGTTTGGAGGTGCTACGTAATTACTCGACTCAAAGTCTATACTTTAACTTCATGTGGCGTTGACGAATGTAATGTGGGTGTAGTCGGGTTTTTACAGACATGTAGCAATTAAAGTCTTGGGACCAACCTTTAACATCACCATTCGAAAAATGTTATCGAACTGTTTGTCAATGATATTGTGTTCCTTTTAATGTGTTTAATTTTGAATTATGTACACGGACTTGGGGCCAACCTTTAACATCACCATTCGAAAAACGTTATCGAACCGGGGTCGCCTGAGCAAGTTTTGTAGGCGAGGACAGAGAGCTGACCAAGTGAAGGTGCAGCTAGACCAACTCACATCTCCCTTTTATGTGCATGTCGAATTAAATCAGAAAAGTTAATCAATTTTTATTATGTCAAATTTGATAATGTGATAATGATTGATCATGGTAATGTTTATTTGTGGGGTATATAACGTACACTTGCGAACAATAGCCAGTTCAGATATCTATGCAATATCAGCCATGCTGCAGCAAATGAAGTTTATAATAAACCATTACCTTAACCTTATATTTAACCTACAGCTGACAGAGGAAAGCAAATTAAATAAAGAGTTATAATGCATGAATTATTTGTAATCCTCATTCATTCCGTTGACTTCGTTTTGAAATGAAGCATGTGAATTTATGATTTGCACAACACATTGTGTGATATCAGAAGAAATTGGAATAATTATGTTGTGTTTTGTGCTTGGTTACAGATACCAACTAACATTATAGCATCTTCAGCATCTCCGCCTCTAGAGGGCTCCCTATCACTAACCACACCACTAGACCAGGATCCAAGGTTCACTAGCCAACCAGTGGACGTCTCCACGCTATCTGAAATCTTAGCAACTACTACAGCAGTCTTCACAGAGTCTTACATTTCAACTGTTTCTGAAGAACCTGAAAGTAGTGTTCGTGTGGAAACGTCATCCCAACTCCAACAGAGTTTACCGATATTCAGCACTGCAGAAGTATTTACTGGTATGTTCACACCAAGTGACATATGGGCCACCAGTACAGAAGCTGGCATGGAACAATACACCACAACTGTGTATCAAAACCCTGAGGACAGCAAGAGTGTGGACGTGACAGTAGCATCTGAAATTGTTTCGTCAACAGCATTTGTTGATAGTATATTGACGAGGAGTCATTCCTCTTTTGAGAGCAACTTGGAACCAAGCTCTTCATTACTTAGCCAAAGAACAAATTTCGTAACCGAATGGAGTGTTGTGGAGGAGACACTAGTTAGTACTCTCCTTGATATTTCACAAGACAGCCCCCAAACAGATCTTCCAGAAAGTGCTAGAACAATCTTGCCTAGTAGAACAAAGACAGTGGTGCCATCTACTCTATTTCTAAGTCTTCCAGATAGTTTGCAACCTACGTCTGCCTACATGCCTATTACAGAGACATTTTCCGAAGGCTATTCTGCGACCCCACCTCTACTCGATGAGACATTGATAGTCACAAGTGACATCGTTGTGACTTTGCTGACAACCCCTTCAGAAGGACCAACATCTGAAAGCGGAGGTATATCAAGAACCCCTGCACTTCCACAGTCAGTGTCTACAGTACAAGGTGCATCTTTCCAATCGAGCGTTGCCCCTGAGAGCGAAATTACACCTTCGAGCACCGTACTGCTGTCATCAATAATGTATCTCACTGAAACAAGTGATCTTTTAGCCTCCGATGTAGCAACAAAATTGATTTTATCGACGGACAATTCAAATTCTGTTGGATACATATCTACTAATGTAATAGAAACAGTTACAGCAGCAATTACAAGTGATATGGTCTATACTTCTTGGATCTCTCCTTCGTTTGGTTTTCCTTCAAGTCGACCAATGATGAGTTCTATTCCTACATCTACGATTGTGGTTCCATCGATACAGTCCAGCACCGTCCCTTCTGTTATTTTCACTGAAGAAATCACTTCTGAAATATTTTCTACTATAAATTCTGGAATAACACCTGAACAGACTCTCTCAACGCGATTCGTTGGCTCTGAGATGTCAACCCTATTTGAGGAACTCACACCAACACCAACGTTAACATCTGAGAACAGTTATTCTCCAGTGATATCTTCAAGCAGACGGGAATGGGACACGGAAGTTTCATGGCTCACTTCTGAAGTTTTGGAGACGTTAGTGATATCCAGTGAGACACTAATGGCATCAGATACCTTTGCTTTTTCCAGAGGATCTCCATCGATACAGTCCAGCACTATCCCTTCTGCCCTCTTCGGGACTGAAGATATCACTTCTGAAATATTTTCTACCATACATTTTGAAATAACACCTGCGCAGACTCACTCAACACGATTAGTTGGCTCTGAGATTTCAACCCTCTTTGAGGAACTCACACCAACACCATCGTTAACATCAGAGAACAGCGTGCCAAGAAGTATATCTACAGTGATATCTTCAAGCAGACGGGAATGGGACACGGAAGTTTCATGGCTCACTTCTGAAGTCATGGAGACATTAGTGATATCCAGTGAGACACCAATAGCATCGGATACCTTTGCTTTTTCTAGAGGATCTCCATCGATACAGTCCAGCACCAACCCTTCTGTCATCTTCGGGACTGAAGAAATCTCTTCTGAAATATTTTCTACTTTAAATTCCGGAATAACACCTGAACAGACTCACTCAACGCGATTAGTTGGCTCTGAGATGTCAACCCTATTTGAGGGACACACACCGACATCATCGTTAACATCAGAGAACAGCGTGCCAAGAAGTATTTCTACAGTGATACCTTTAAGCAGACGGGAATGGGACACAGAGGTTTCATGGCTCACTTCTGAAGTCTTTGAGACGTTAGTGATATCGAGTGACAAAATAATGGCATCAGACACCTTTACTTTTTCCAGAAGATCTCCCGATTTTAGCATCTCCACCTCGTTCGTGGATGGAATAAGCCAAAGTGTATTTGACACCTTGTCTTTCTACGAAACAGTAACCGTGGAAAGTACTTTGCCCCTCCCAACAGTTCTCCCTTCACCAGTGACATCGCAACCAGACTTAAACTTCAAATCAACGTTTGGTTACAGTGAGGACAGTATGGTAGTACCAACTACAGCTAACTCCATGCTGTATAGTACTGTTGTAGACTTAATCACAAGTGATATAGCCGTTTCAGATGACTTGATGAGAAGTTCTAAAACGATCGATTCATTTTCCTTCAGTTTTCCTTCTACCCATCAGTCAATACAATCCTCTGATGACCTATCTTTGCAATCGTTGGTGTATGAGACCATAACCTCGGGCACGGAAGTTATTTACTCCACAGCAGTTCAACCAGAGATGTCCACGCCATTTCCTTCATCCTGCATGTGTTGTAGTCCTCCAACCTGCACATGTACAAGTCCTCCGCCATCCTTGCCTCCACCTCTCTGTTCTATCACTGAAAGTGGCTCATCGCTGATAGTCCCAACAAGCACCCTGTCTTTAGATCGTTCAATAGAAGAGTCGTTCGTCTTTGAGACAGTGATATTAACGACTGAAGTCATTTTGTATCCCACTCCTGCCATCTCCGAAATAGCGCCCAGCTCTGACGTCACATCCGTAATTAGTCAACGCTCAAGTGATCTTTTCTTTACAGATTACCCTATCTTAAGCACAATTTCACAGCCAGAAACAACCATTGCTCCGTCACCGGCTGATTCAAGTAATAGTAATACTCAAAGTGCTCTTTCCAGTCAAACAGAGTCCCTTGAAACTCTCATTTATACATCCTATTTCGTTGAAACATCGGATATCTTATACCCTAGTTCTGACATCTTGCCCACGACCTTAAGGCCTGTATTCACCTATACCACTATGACTCCAGAATTCACCGCCCTGAGTTCACTATTAGATCAATCTCTTCTGCCAGAGACTATTTTTTCTAGTGTTTACGAAACGCAAATGTCAGATATTTTCACCAGCTTGGCACCAACAATGGAGACAACAAAGTCTTTTCCACATTCAGAGTTCTCTAGATCCACATTAGTTCCAGATGCCACTCAAGTGATGTCAACAATCACTGACATATCATGGACTGATGTCTATGAGATCATCTCCACAGAAGTGTTTGAGTATATAACTACAGATGTATATGACAGTCGCACGCTTGGTACTGGTACCGATGAATATCAAGTCAGTACACTATTTCCGACATTAGGCCAACCGGGTCTTCAAACAGAGTCAACGCTGGTATTGTCGATGAGTGAAGAGATGCCACTTTTGTCCTCCGTTGTCATGGAAACGACAGTTCTTCCAATAGACACCATCGTCGTAAGCTATGAGATGTCATCAGTTTTGTTCACATTGGTAGAGACGTCTTCAGTAATGCCTATTACTCCCAGCATGCCCAGTGTCTATCCTGTAACGTCAGATAGACAGGTCGTCACTGATTCGACGGCGATGTTCACCAGTGAGACCGGAACCACTTCTTTGGTATCGCTTGCTCCATCGTTCCTATACAGCACCGTTATGGATTTAAGCACCATTCTAGTTTCTGATACTATCACTGATGCATCCTCCATTACTGATTCGACGGTGATGTTCACTAGTGAGATTGGAACCACTTCTTTAGAATCATTTACACCATCGTTCCTATACAGCACCGTTATGGATTTAAGCACCATTCTAGTTACTGATACTATCACTGATGGATCCTCCATAACTGATTCGACGGTGATGTTCAGTAGTGAGATTGGTACTGCTTCTTTGGAACCACTCATACCATCGCCCCTATACAGCACCGTTATAGATGTAAGCACTATTCTAGTTAGTGATCCAATCACTGATGCATCCTCCATTACTGATTCGACGGCGATGTTCAGTAGCGAGATTGGAACCAGTTCTTTGGAATCGCTTACGCCGTCGTTCATACACAGTACCGTTCTGGATTTAAGCACCATTCTAGTTACTGATACTATCACTAATGCGACCTCCATTATTGATTCAACGGTTATGTTCAGTAGCGAGATTGGAACCACTTCTTTGGTAACACTTGCACCATCGTTCCTATACAGCACCGTTATGGATTTAAGCACCATTCTAGTTACTGATACTATCACCGATGCATCCTCCATTTCTGAATCGATGGTGATGTTCAGTAGTGAGAGTGGAACCCCTTTGGAATCCGTTAGACCGTCGCTCCTATACAGCACCGTTATAGATCTAAGCACCATTCTAGTAAGTGATATCATCACTGATGCATCCTGGATTTCGCCCTCTTCTTCAGAATATTACCCTTCTCCATCAACTCCCTCATTCGCATCAAGCATTTTGCCGAGTTTGCCATTCTTTACACCAATACTGCCTTCATTTACTGAAACTCCATACCTTGATACATCATCCATTCTCATTTATACCACGGTAGACTTGGAAAGCTCGTTTCCCAGTAGAAGCTCTGAGGATTTGACCTCCTTGATGCCAGAACACTCTGAAATATCTTATTCTGTCAGTCATCTGTCGTCACGCTACATGCCATCTGATTATCTGACGGAAACTTTACTAACATCTGAAATGGTTTCTGTAGACATAACTGACACATTCCCGGTGCTAATATCAAGTACAGGGGACTACCTCACTTTAGTCGTGTCAGGCAGTGATACAATTGAACCATCATCTCTTACTGGAACATTTGAAACAATATCAACCCGATTCGTAGAGTCCAGCGCTTCAGAAAGAATCCCACTCCTGACATTAACAGAGTCTATCCAAATAACAAGCCTGGACACACTTATATATACAACCGTGCAGGACACGGTTATAACTGACTCCTTGGTCACACTTCCAACAACTATACTTGAGTATTCGTCGAGTGCCTCGTCGGTCTCATCAATCGTCCAAACTCTTTCAAGTCGAATGCCTGAAGTGTCTACAACAGAGGTCTATGAAACTGTTTCGTCCGCAACAACCGACTTCATTGTACCACCGTTTAGTACAATGGCTCTTGTGACATCATCTATTGACATAATGCCAAGTCCGTCAACTGCTGTAGGTGCCACATCAATGAGGACAGCTGTTGAAGCATCGATTGATAGTTCTCTTCACCTAGAAACATTGTCCATTATGACACCAACAAGTGAAGTATACGAAACCAGAACAATGTCTCCAGGTAGCCCAATCATATCAAGCCTTGATACTAATGCTCCTTCCACCTTGTCAGGGAGCTACAGCTCTATGTTCATACCGCCCTTTATAACACTGACCCCTGTGCAGACAACCGATTATGTGATATCAACCATGATTGGCCCAACCACTTCTACATCAGAAACATATATTTTGACAGAAGGATTGACACCCCAAGTTCCATCAAGTTCTTATGCAGCGATAGATTCATCAGATGTATTAAGCAACGTGGTAACAGATACAGTCAGCTTAGGTTCTATGAAAGTGTCCTCTGATGCGTCTACGTCAACACTCACTTTTCCGAGTCCAAGTGACTCTTTGAGGAGCGAATCAAGTGGATTATTATCAACACTGTCGGGGACACCACCATTGACTTCTTTGCCGTCATTTACCACATCCAGTCTGTTCCAGTCTGAAGAATCTCCATCTACATTGTTCACAGAACTGACACCTACGCTCATCCTTTCCTTTTCATCAAGTGAGGTGTTTCTGTCATCCAGCGTGGCACCTCAAGAAACCATTTCGATGATCCTGTCAACAAGCTCTCAGATGGTCACACCAAGTATCCCACCTACAGATCCTCCTATGACCACAGCTACTGAATCACCTGTTGATGTACCTCTAGAGTTCCAACTGACGATGGATATCAAGGTTCCTACCTCTGAAGACATTTCGGCTGACGACTTCTCTGAGGCACTCTCCAACAACCTTGAAGTCCTGTACATAGAAGGGGAAAGTAATACCCTTGAACGGCGGAAACGTAGCAACAGTGAAGCAGACACGCCATCTGTAGACTCTTTGGATCACGAATGGATATTCACCAGAAAGCAACAAACTGGAGGACATCCCAGGATCAGACAACGCCTCGAACTCCAAGAGCAGTATGCACTGAAGGAGGATTCCAAATTTGAAGGATTGGCAAAAGAGTCTTCTGCTGAAATAGAATGGATGTTCGTCTCGAAACAGATAGGCAAATCAAGTCCCAGGATTCAAGTCAGGACTGAAAATAAAGTTCGAAGAAAAAGGCAAGCTGACCCGTCTGATGATATCGAAGTACCGGTGAGTTGTCATTTTGTGGTTTCACAGGAAATTGTTCAATTTACTGCATAGTCTATGAATTTATGGCCATTTTAAGTATTCAGGAAAATTACTTATATGTTGTTGTTTTATGTAATAGGTTTTGATATAGACCTCGAAATGTTATAGGCCTACCACATCTTAAGTAGTAAAAGTGAAGCTTCTGCAGACACCGTGTCTATTTCTGTTATCCAACCTTATGGTGTTTGATGCATTCAATTTTAAATCAAATATAAATAAGAATAGAATCCTTCATTTCGCACTCTTGTAAAACTCTTTCTTTTACATGAAAACTTCTAGTTAAACATGATATATTTGACATGAATTTGGCCACTTTCTTTTAATATCAAATATTTCTTTTTCATTACTAAACATTCATGATTTTTGATGGAACTTTCTGGATATTTTGTCGGTAACCTTCCCCAAAATCGATGAACTTTCAGTACATATCAATTTGTTAATTTGTAAATTTCTTTCCCCCGGAATTTTGTTGACAGATATTGGCGCTGTCCCGTTCTGATAATGTTGACCCGGAGACAGTTACCTTGACCTTTTACGTCATGGAGAATGAAACCTTGGTCATGGCGACCGATGCTGCAGCCACCTACAACACCCTAACTGAAGGAGAGATGAGTGCTCAGTTGGGCTACGCTGTGAGTAGTTGCAAAAAATAAGAGAATAATAAGCTTACTAGTAATTTTCAATATCTTAAAGGGTGATCCGAACTTTGTGATAGCTTTATTTGTATGAAAGCAACAACATAAGAGAATGGCCAAAGTTTGAAATAAATAGGACGAATATTAAGGGAGTTATGAATGTTCGCACTAAGATCAATAAATGTGAGTGGAATGTGAAGTAGGCACGGACAACTTCCTCATTAATTGTGTTCCCTTGTTTGTTCTCCCGTTTACACAGTATAATTGTGATGACTTGAGATGTTCCATTGCTGTGTACACATCCGATGTAAAGAAAACATGAAGCTGTACACTTCTTTTAGAACCAAGATTAAACAATATCATCCCAAATATCGAAATGTTCATTCATTCATTCAGCATTGTGCAAAATATACCCTCTTCTATAACAGTAGCAATTATGGGAATTGATTGCTTTGAGTACATGTCCTGGGCCCTGTCTTTAATACAAAGAGTTGCGATTGATCCAAATAAATCGCAAGTCCTCTAAACAATCGCAAGTTTGCAGTCTCCTATCTCTTATGTACATATTTGCGATTGATATCAATCGCAAATAAGTTGCGATTGATATCATCTCTTTGTAGGACAGGGCCCTGGAATCAACCCCGTGTATATAGGAAGTCAAACGGATTGTTTCGTACTCTTTTTTCTAGGTGAGAAGCATACCACACCCAGTGATACCTACCCCGACCACAACCCCAGACTATCCCTACACCATACCCCCCGCAGACCAGACCGACTGGCTCAAAGTGACCCTGATAGTCGATACTGCCTTTGACGAAACCAATGCAACATTCCAGAAGCAACTGCGGAATGATCTGGAGTTCCTCTATGCTAATGGGAGTGCTGAGTTAGAGAGTAACTTAGAGAGGAACAGGCGGGGTGTAGGGATGGGGTATCCGGGTGGTGATGTTATGCTGGAGGATGGTTGGATTCGGAGAAGGAGAGCTGCAGATCCAAGCTCCGCGACTGAAGTGGCTGTAAGTTATCTAGAAGTGGAAGTTATAATAGAAGCGATGGCAAATCTTGAAGGGAGATCAGGAGGTGCATCATCCTCCCTATTACAAAATCCTGGATATGCCGTAGAGTAATATTCAGCTCCCTCTTAGATGTTCATGTTTTCCCTCTTGATTACGGCAAGCAAATGATTGGCCAATTCTAAATTTCTTGTCTTAAAATCTTATGATAAGGATCGACGATAACGCCCTCAAAGCTCGGAATTAATGTAATTCTGCTCAAAAAGTTTAACATCATTATTTATTTTCCGGTACAATTACTTTTCAATACATTATGAAATTTATTTATTTATTTATTTGACATCTTTATACAGGATAAAAAAGAAACAATCGAATCAGTAAAGCTGTTTTTCATCGATGTCCTGTTAACATGATTAAACATTTCCAATTCTAACCAATGCGATTTTTTTTCATTACATCAGTCAAGAAATAAATAAATAAGAATAACATTATTCCCGAAGCAAATAATATATTATTGTGTGTGCCCTTTCGAATGTTTTGGTATGGTAGCTGGAAGCAGTTGATCGACCCCAGGCGGATGCGGAGAATGTTGATGTAGTCTTCTATGTCGTTGATGAAGGCAGTGTGGTTCCTGGAGGTACAGCTTTGATTCCTTATCAGCAGTTCAGTCTACGGGAGTTACAGGATGTCATAGGATATGAGGTAATCATCATTAATTTTCAAAAAAGTTACCTCTGTAGTTTATAATTTGTATAACGGTCGCGCATATTATCGTATCTAAAAGTAATTTTTGTTATGTTAATATTCATGCAAGATGTTATCGATTCAATTAAAACACAGGCGCACGGCAACGTGAAAACATACTGCGGTCAATTGACAATATCGCATTCGCTTTCATCACCATCCAAATATACAGTGCATCATTGCTGCATCCGAATGTAGAGGTTTCAAAAGATGTTTTTGACAGGGAGTTGATAGTATAGTATTAATGACTGCTTTGAGAGAAATAGTTGTTTTATTACGCTCAAGGGAAGGTTAGACCCAGATAACAATACGGCGTTGGGCCAACGTCGGCCACAGTCGGCAGGGTCGCAGTCGGCAAGCCAACGTTGGCTAATCGTTGGGCCATCGTCGCCATTTTTTACTGATAAATGGTGGCTATTGGTTGGCTCATTCGACGTTGGGCCAATGTTGGCTGAACGTTGGTCCATTGTCGCCATTTTCACTGATAAATGGTGGCTATTGGTTGGCTATTCGACGTTGGGCCAATGTTGGCTGAACGTTAGTCCATTGTCGCCATTTTCACTGATAAATGGTGGCTATTGGTTGGCTATTCGACGTTGGTCCAATGTTGGCTGAACGTTGGTCCATTGTCGCCATTTTCACTGATAAATGATGGCTATTGTTTGGCTATTCGACGTTGGGCCAATGTTGGCTGAACGTTGGTCTATTGTCGCCATTTTCACTGATAAATGGTGGCTTTTGGTTGGCTATTCGACGTTGGGCTATTGTTGGTTCAATGTTGGTCCATTGTCGCCATTTTCACTGATAAATGGTGGCTTTGGGTTGGCTATTCGACGTTGAGCCAATATTGGCTAAATGTTGGTCCATCGTCTCAATTATCACTGATAAATGTTGGCTATTGGTTGGCTATTCGACGTTGGGCCAATGTTGGTTGAACGTTGGTCTATTGTCTCATTTATTACTGATAAATGTTGGCTTTTGGTTGGCTAATCGACGTTGGGCTAACGTTATTCATTGTCGCCATTTTCACTGATAAATGGTGGCTATTAGTTGGCTATTCGACGTTGGGCCAATGTTGGCTGAACGTTGGTCTATTGTCTCGTTTATTACTGATAAATGTTGGCTTTTGGTTGGCTATTCGACGTTGGGCTAACGTTGGCTCATTGTCGCCATTTTCACTGATAAATGGTGGCTATTGGTTGGCTATTCGACGTTGGGCCAATGTTGGCTGAACGTTGGTCCATTGTCTCAAATATTACTGATAACTGTTGGCGTTTGGTTGGCTATTCGACGTTAGGCCAATGTGGGCTGAAAGTTGGACCATCGTCTCAATTTTAACTTATAAATGTTGGCTATTGGTTGGCTATTTGGCGTTGGGCCAATGTTGGCTTCATGTTGGTCCATTGTCTCAATTTTTTTTTTTAATGGTGGCTTTGGGTTGGCTATTCGACTTTGGGCTAACGTCGGCTGAACGTTGGTCTATCGTCTCAATTTTTAATTTTAAATGTTGGCTTTTGGCTGGCCATTCGATGTTGGGCCAATGTTGGCTGAACGTTGGTCCATCGTCTCAATTATTACTGATAAATTGTGGCTGTTAATTGGCTATTCGACGTTTGGCTATTAACGTTGGCTCAATGTTGGTCCATCGTTTCAAATTTTACTGAGAAATGGTGGATATATGTTGGCTAATATACGCGACGTTGGGCCAACCCGGGGGCCAACCTTGGCTTAACGTTGGTCTATATCGTCTCCATCTTGACTGATAAATAGTGCATGTATATATTGGTTGGCTATATGACGTTGGGCCAACGTAGCAAATACGACCTAGTACCGCTACATCCGGGTAAAAAAATTGCATGCGTGCGCAAGCCCATGTGCTCATGCAATTGCAACGTACGTCAGCCATATTCTGTCCATTTGTCTGGATCAGTTGCCGGGGAGTACCAACACTGCATGGTAAATGAATGATTTTCTTTCTCTTTCAACGTTATTTTTGTGAGCATGTCGCGTGAAACTGATAAATTGTATAGTGTGAGAACTCCCCGTCACAAAGCGAGGGAAATAGCATGAGAAATTGTTAAAGTAATCATTGATAATTCCCTGTCCAAATGAAAGTGAAAGTGATTACGAGCTAGTGTACCGCTCGGCGTACGCTTAGCATGCACACCCGCTGCGTGCAATTGAAGTGTGAGTGATGGCTATGATGGCTATGATGGGGGCCGAAGTGTCGGCATCAGATGCATTGAGTGTTTGCCGTGATAAATGTTAATATGTTCCTGACTTAGAGTTAGACCTAGGTGATGTATTGATGCATCATGTTGCAGCGTCCGTGACAGTGATGATGTTCATCCCAATATGCAATATCGACCATGAATCAAAATGTGAATCTGTTGGTGTTACAAGTGTTGAAGGTGCTGATGCATTGTTAGAAAGACCAATTGAATCAAATAGAGCTGAATGGGAAGACGCATCATTTTTTTATGCATATCTAAATGATATTATAGTCTCTGATACTTTCAGATTTAGAAGTAGGTCTATACTATACTCTGTAGTAGCTCAATATATGCTGATGATGATTCAGTTCGAAAAGGAATAAATTACGAGATTGAGCTGTGAATTAAGATATCCCTCTAGTACTAGCCTCCTGAAATCTTACAAGGGAGCCAATTAAGTCTGCCAAAATATGCAAGAACTTTGTATCAACACATTTAGTGGATTGTGAGTGTGATGTGAAAGAGGTAGCTGGTGGGAATTACCCTCATTTTGGCATTTGCAATCATTTAAAGTCGCAATTGGCCAAGAACCTCAATTTGATCAAATAGTAAATAGGAAAAACTATTGGGGGCGGGGGTAACACTGATCGATCCCATAATTTTCATTCACAATTTTCATTCACAAATTTGATTATTGCTGCATTTTTATTCTCGTTTTCAAATTAGTTTTTATTGTTTATGCACATGTATATTAAATTGCTATAATTTGAACTGAAGGTAAATATTCTAATTATTTATTTATAAAATTCTGACGTTCTTTATTAATACATTCAATTCTATATAGCTCTTCCAAATCCCAATACTTTTTTCTCCCATAATCCCTACAATTCTGAAATTTAAATATTAAATCCTGCATTTCATATCGTCAACTTCACAACAAATTCCAGATTCCTCTACCCGTTCAGATCCAGCTACCCCTACCTCGATCATCCAGAACAGCATCAACAGCACCAAGGACCCCTTCGACATCGACCCCATCAACCTCCAGAACACTGTCGACCCCAACGACCCCATTGACCTCAACATTCAGAAATATGGGTATGTCATTTGGCATTTTATTCATTTTGTATTTAGTTATACATGTAGACAGGATAGCACTTCTTAGTATTCGTTATAGTTGTGCCCTGCACACAAAGTACAAATGTACTGGATTAATGTACGTTTGTGTAGGACATAGCTGCTAACGGATGCTAGAATCTTTTTCCTGATTATATTGAGAAACTGCATTGTGATCACTTACAAAACTATTCAACAACAACAAATCATGAAATACTGCTTATAGCAGTATTTTTTTGGAAACAATTCTGAATGCAGGGTGCCACAAAAAAACAAAACACAGTCAATTGAGTTGTTTCTTGTATAAGCAACTAACGATATAGCTTTGTGTTTTTGTTTCTACTTTGAAGCCCCTCGAGCTCTCTCAAGTATTGGGAGCTTACATAAGTACAAAAAAAAGTATTGGGAGCTTCACATTTGACTTCAATGTTATAATGATGTGAAAGAAAATGCCACTCTTCTTCAAACATTTGTCCTAAAATTAGAAAGAATACAAACTTACTAACTAAGGGTTTTGTGTTGTATGCAGAAAACGCAAATTTTGTATTCTTTCATCCATATTCTACTTCAAACACATTTGTTAGGGCAATATTCTACTTGCAGAAGTGTCCGGGTGTTAATAACATCCTCTTTTACATCATACCATTTAAGTGAGATTGTGCCATCTATTCTTTGGCTAATTTTGGGATCCAACACTTAGAGGGGCTTTAAACTGTTATCAATCAAGCATCTCAACACTGAGCAAACAGATACTATAAATTGGTTCTTTCTATTGAAGAATATTACTGCCATTTTACCTCAAATGTATATTTCCTTTGTTAAGAAGAGTGTTTGATGCTATTCTAATTAAACAAGACAAAAATAAAAGAAATCCATTCCTTTCTAATTTCCATACGTCTGGGTCATTCGCTCTAAAGTTTGAACGAAGTTATTTTCATGACAAAGTACTTCTATCCATGAAATGTCATCAAAACTAGGGAGGATGTGCCACTCGGGACTACTTCCCTTGAATGCCGTACTATTTGATTAATATCCGTACTATTTCAAGGTGATGTTTCCATGATCTGCTTTTAAATCTTGTTTGGTTTCTTTCTTCTTCTTTTTTTTGCCGCAGATGTCGAAGCTGTACCACCACAAGCTAGACAAGATTTTGATTCCAACTAACCCATTCTTTAAAGGCCCATTGCCTTAGGAAATTAAAACTTTTATGTCTTGTATCAAGACCCTTTTAAAGCAACATAATAACAATTGTTTCATAAATAAATGCCTCCTTATATTTTTTACAATTTTTTGAAAACCTCTCCAAGTTGCTCGTCTAATGGTGGACCCCGCCCCTTACAATTCTCAGAGTTCCTCGGAATGATTGACCAAAGGATTAGTGATGTTATATCAAGAACGATCTCCGCTTAGGCAAGCTACGGTGCTTGCTAGCCAGCTCTGCAGGCATTATGTTTTGTACACAAACATAAACAATAACTTTTGTTATTAAATAGTGTGCTATGCATCTTTACTTGTTATTTATTGTGGTGAAATTTCACCAATGGCCCAATTTTAAAAAGAGAGCTATACCATGAGTCGAAGAAGGTCGTAATTGATTTGAATGCCTGTATAACGTGTCAACTAAATGCATGCTATAAAGAATTTCAAAGGTAAGAAAAAAATGTTTCATATATCTAAGTGACTGAATGTTTTTCGTACTACCTTCTTCTCAATTTAAAGAAATATTGAAAGTGGTATATCAGAGTGAAGAAACTTGTGTTTTTCCCTTTACAAGCTCTGCTCTTTCTTACTTCACTTTCAAATTTCCTCTCTTGTTATAATTATAAACATTTAGCGATTGCTTTACTTCACACATTCAAGCAATGTATACTATCCCTCCTAAAAAAAAACAGTTTGTAGATGTGTTAACAATAGATATGGCGACGAAATGTATCAGCATCTCTGAAATGCCTAAGCATAAAAAATGTTGGCAATTTGTCTGAATTTTATTTTTTATTTTTTATGGAACATTGTTTACATTAATTGCCTAGTTCTTGGTATGCAAATGGTGGACACTTTATTCATTTCTTTATATTTTTGTGCTGTACATATGTAGAGGAATCTTGTCATAAGCAATCGTGTTCGTCTGCCAGAAAGTTTGTTTTGTTTTACTCGGGAAGTTGTGAGGATTGTTTATTATATTCGTACAATGAATTTCAGTATGTTATGTTGTGTTACGTGTAAGCGACAATTCATTTTATAACAGCTCCTATCGTCCTAGCATTCATTGATAGTAGGCCTATATTGTGACACATTGAGATACCTTGAACTTGAAACTATGTTTACATCTTTTTCGAATTCAAACGAAAATACAAAAGAGAGATGTACAATAATTGTATTTACATTTACAACAGTTTGTTTATTACACATAAAATAAAGTATGTTTTATCACAAAATCAGTTTATTTTCCTTGTTCTTTTGTTTTGGAGGGAGGGGGATGTATTCAGAGCAAATTCTAAGAAGCAAGATGGTGAACTTTTCATTAAAATGGGACAAATAAGTTGTGTTTTGATAGTGATTAAAATGTACAAGATAATAGATATGACGAAATTAAAATAACATGTCCCTCTTGCTTCAATATTGTTATTATACATATCTTCCAGAGGGATCTAAGTCGAGTTCTATAATGAACTTTTCTCAAATTCAGTCTAATTTTGATGAAATTGTTACTATTTTCATTTTGTGGATTTTGCTCTGTTTATTTATTTAATCCAATCTTAAACTACTTGGCTTTTCCTTGTCACGTTGTGATGCATGTGTTTGAATGATTGTACATGTCCGATGTAGTATGATCTTAACGATGTTCTTATGAACGGACGACTGATGTTGGTGTAAATATGTTTTTGAGTTGGTGTTGGTAATGTCAGAAGGATGTTGGCATGAACTGGAAAGGGGAGGTACAACGTCGGCACACGGTGGGATACGGGTTGGCATAACGTTGCTTCTACGTCGGCAAATGGTGGAGAAGAGGTTGGCATAACGTTGGTCTAGCATTGGCACTTGGTGGGAAAAGGGTTGGCATTATGTTAGGACAACGTCGGGGAGACGTCGGCACATAGTGTAAAAGGGGTTGGCATTACGTTGGTCCTACGTCAGGGAGACGTCGGCACATGGTGGAAAAGGGGTTGGCATTACGTTTGTCCTATGTCGGCATATGGTGGGATAGGGGTTGACATGACGTTGGCCATACGTCGGGGGGACGTTGGCCCGATGTTGGCTTAATGTCATTTCGTCGCTGTCGAGCCAACGTTGGCCCGCCGGCAAGAAAGCCGTTGGCCCAACATCACATTGGCGACGATGGCGCAACGTAACAGCCCACGACGTCGGCACATGGTGGGATAGGGGTTGGCATAACGTTGGTCCAATGTCGGAACTACGTCGGCACATGGTGGGATAGGGGTTGGAATAACGTTGGCCCTACGTCGTGGAGACGTCGGCACATGGTTGAAAAGGGGTTGGTATAACGTTGGGCGAATGTCGAGGAGACGTCGGCACATGGTGGGATAGGGGTTGGCATAACGTTTATCCAATGTCGGAACAACGTCGGCACATGGTGGGATAGGGGTTGGAATAACGTTGGCCCTACGTCGTGGAGACGTCGGCACATGGTTGAAAAGGGGTTGGTATAACGTTGGGCCAATGTCGAGGAGACGTCGGCACATGGTGGGATAGGGGTTGGCATAACGTTTATCCAATGTCGGAACAACGTCGGCACATGGTGGGATAGGGGTTGGCATAACGTTGGTCGTACGTCGGCACATGGTTAAAAAAGGGTTGGGACGACGTTGGTCCAATGTCGGAAAGACGTCGGCATACGGTGGAAAAGAGGTTGGCATAACGTTGGTTCAATGTCGGGAGGACATCGGCACATATGGTCGGATAGGGGTCGGCATAACGTTGGCCCGATGTTGGCTTAATGTCATTTTGTCACTGTCGGGCCAACGTTGGCCCACCGGCAAGAAAGCCGTGGGCCCAACATCATGTTGACGACGTTGGACCAACGTAACAGCTTACGTTGGCCCCACGTTGGCGTAACGTCGTATTGTTATCTGGGGAATTGTGCTATTCCCCGAGGCTTGCCGAGGGGAATAGCCCAATTGTAACCTTCCCGAGAGCGTATGAAAACAACTATTTCTCGAATATTAAAGCAGTCATTAATACTTTTATATGCCGAAAAGAAATAGACTAAAAATAAAAAATAAAAAATAATTTACATTTTTGTCGAAGACGGGATTCGAACTCTTGCGTACAACAAGAGGTGTATCGAAAACCAACGCTTAGACCACTCGGCTATCGCGCGCCGTTGACATGCTTGGCAGTTTTCTCCAATATATACATTAAAATGGATTGAAAACGGCTCCGCGTGAGGGATGCTTCGCAAAAGCTCCATGAAACGGACCCTTCTTTTAATTTTGCAATGCATATTGGCACGAACTTAGATCAAGATCTATCGGCAGATGTTGTTTTTTTTGTTTTTGAGAGTTAATTTTCGTCTTCATGTCAACAATGCAAGATAAAATTGTCGGTAAGATCGATCGAGATTCAATTGTATTGAAATTGCCGACCAATTTTTCGCACACGTATGGTATCCTCCATCGCTCAAACCATTTTTTAACATGTAAACCTATGGGGTAACCATGGAGACTGACCTATTTTTTTAATAACCATGGTTATTAAAAATATTGAAATGTTTTAAGCATGGTTACCGGGAATTTTACAGGAACAGTTGAAGTTTATGAATGCAATTCGACCAATCAGATGGCTGGATTTCTTAAGTGAGGTATATAATTTTTCCTAAGGTTGTGTTTTATCATCGAACACATGTGAGTTCGGTCAGTGACCGTCGAAGTTGCGATCTTTGCACATATAGTCACGTGACAGTGTGATCTCTGTAAAGAGAGTTTAGCTCAAGCTGGTTATGAGGTGAGGAGAAGGAAGAGGCACTTCACAAAGAATACGTAGGAAAATAATAAATACATTTTTTTTTTAATAGACTGCGCAGGTAAAGAATATTACGTTGGTCGTCGTGGAAGTGTATTTATGTGCAAGCCTCTTCATTTTACTAAGTATTCCCCGAAGTATAAAATCATTTTTATATTTGATGTTCATCTCACCAAGGTCGTTTCTCCGGGAGTGGTCCTCTTCTTGACAGCCGCAACCAACGGTCTGGACTGGTGGTGGTACCTCCTGATAGCCCTCATCGCTCTCCTCATCATCATCGTCATCCTCCTCATCATCTACTACTACTGCTGGTCCAAGAAGACAGCGATCAAAACCCTGGTAAATATGATGAAATCTTTCACATTTTCATTTATTCAACTTTATTCCAGTTTACGTTATATTCAGATATCGTGATCTGATGAAATAATTTAGTGCTATTAGCCCTTTGAAATATATTGTTATCATTATTGAAGTGGTATTCTCTTACTGTACATCTATTAAGCTTTTAAAGGATATATTCATACATTTACTTGATTCTTTTTCTAGCTCACATGGCGGTGTTCCCCAATACGTATTCCTTCATGATTACAGCTTTATTAATTCTATCGCACCGTTCTGTAATAGAATTCAATTACACTTAAGGAAGGCCTTTTATCATTATACTGTATACGTGTCCTTTAAACAAGTTTCTAATCAGTTTTCCTCCCGTTTTACATAGAATTTAAATTCAAATTAACAACTGTCATAATGTGGTGGTAATTTGGTTTTATAGTGTGAATACCCACTCTCATAAAATTATCTATTTCGAAAGTAGGCCTCTGTGATCTGCATTGAAAGTGATCTATCCCGAACACGTGACCTTAAGTCACATGACTAGATATTGGGTCGCTTACCTTCGCCCAGATACTACATGTGAGGTGACTCTCTGAAGCAAAATGGAGGAAATATAAGCGGAGGAGAGTGCACACATCCTCTTAATTGGAAAGGGAATCTTGGCAATTACACGCTTTCCCGAATACTGCTTCGGAATGCATGGAATGAATTATGGAATATGTAATTAGGACCACTACCCCCTCTAGATAACTTTTTCAATCTTCGACTGCTATTACGCATATGGGAGACATTATCAACTACCCCTGTAACTCAAATGGATCGTTCTAGTTAAGTGGAGCTGCTGGATGAATGGATTTTTCCATATCTAATTGAGAATGTTAATTCCCAGAGGATTTACCACTCATGTTTTGCATATCAATTACTCCCCTTGGAAGAAAGTGGGTTGTTCCAGTTAATGGAGCTGCAGACAGAATATATTTTGTCTCAACGAAGAATGGAAAATGTCTCAAGATTCACCTTCTGATCGCATTCACGTTCAAACACACCCTTCGAATAAATCGAATCGTTCGATATAAGTCTAGCTGTTGGATTGAATTGATTTTTCAATATGTAATTAAGATGTCAAATCTCGGTGGATTAACATCGGGATTGCTCTCATGTTTGTCTTATACATTACACACCTTAGAAGAAAGTGGATCGTTCCAGTTAATAGAACTGCAGGCAGCATAGATTTTCTTTTTCCTCCATGAAGAATAGAAAATGTCTGAGATTCAGCTCCCGATTCCACTCATGTGTATAGTATCCATTTAACCCCTTACAATGAATTGATTCGTTCCTATAAAGTGAAGCTGTAGATGAAATAGATTTATCCAATTCGGAATGGAAATCCCTATGGATTCACCTCGAAATTGCACTCATGTTTTAGTATCCATTACACCCCTCAGAATAAAGTGGATCGTTCCACATCAGTGGAGCTGGGATTCATGCGACTTGAGAAGGAAACAAAGGCCAAGCCGGTTGTCATGGAGACGGTATTCAACGAGAAGACATCTAAGAGAAGCAAAGTTAATGGAAGTGCATCTCGCGAGGCAGATCGTGCAAGGTTTGTTACTTTTAAAGTTCACATCGCCATGTATACAATGCTTGTCTTTTTCTTTTTCTACATTTTCCCCTCTAATTCATATTTCTCTTTCAATGGTATATTATTCCATTCATATTACAATTGTATAAATTTAAAAGTGATGAGTTTAAAATTTCAAATTCTGTTTCCGTTAACCATGCTCAATCTATCTCTCTTTCTCCATCTTCTCTCTCTCTCTCTTTCGTTTCTCTTTTTTTCTTTTTTTTCCCTTTCTGTTCCCATTTCCCTGATCCTCATAATTATAAATTTCTCTTCCTGTGTCCCTCTTCCTTTTTTCTCTCTTTTTTCTCTATTTTCCTAAACTTCTCTACCTCTCACTTTCTCTCCTTCTTTCCCACTATCTTTTTTGTTGTTGTTTTTTTTTTTTTTTTTTATTGTTCCAAACTCCAAACAACAAGATTTTCTCGTACATAAGATTTTAAAAGAGAATGCATAATAAAACAATGACAGCCATCATACATGTAGCATAGAGAAATGGCTCTTTGACAAAAGAATACCAGTTGTGATTAACATGTCCCACTTGCACGAAAAGCGCTAAACAGCACAGCTAATTAGCACATTAATGGGTGGGAAACATGTATTTCTCTCTTCAAAACAAAATGTTATAGTTTATGGGGTTTTTTTTTAAAGCGAGCTGTTTCATTTCCTGATGTGTCACAAAGGTTACGATCTCATGATTAAATTTAATCAATTTCATTCATCTTTTCAGACTAACTGAAGATCCAGCTCAAAAACGCAAGAAGAGAAAGAAAACCAAAAGGGCTCAGGAAAGTACGAGAGAGTATTCCAAACGTGGTTATTTCAGCGGTGAGGTAAGGTTCCATTAATGATATAGTTATTCTAAAAAGAAAAAGAAGTTATATTTTTGATTAGTTTTAATTGTATCAATATTGTAAAGCGCTTTGATATAAATGTTTTATGAAAAGCGCTATATAAGTAAAAGTTATTATTATTATTATTACTTAAACATTAGAGAAACAAGGTATGTTATAACATACACTGAATGCTGCCAATGTATGTATTAATTTGTTCAGTACGTTCACAAAGAGTATGTACCATGTAATACTTAAACATTAGAGAAACAAGGTTTGTAATAACATACACTGTATGTTGCCAATGTACTTATACTTTGTACAGTATGTTCACAAAGAGTATGTACCATGTAATACTTAAACATTAGAGAAACAAGGTATGTTATGACATACACTGAATGCTGCCAATGTATGTATTACTTTGTTCAGTATGTTCACAAAGAGTATGTATCACTTGACTATCAATGATTTATTTAATTGGTAAAATATGTTTCAAATACATAATTCAAGAAAATGATATGGTCGATATCATAGATTTATCACGGTCTTGGGACATCAAACTGTGGCAGATCCAGAGAAGGGGGAACAAGGGGTATGTACCCCCTCCCTATTTGGGCCAAAATGTGTGCCCCTCATCCTGCAACAGTTTAAGAATCTTTCGTATTCGTTTGTTTTGTTTTGTTAGCTTTTAGTTGTTATGCTTGTCAGATACTTATGAGACCTTATGATTCCTTTTGATTCTTAAATTAGTCAAATTGAATTCGCTTACCTACAAAAGTATTAATGAAACATAATGTAAAAGAAAATTAGCGAGAACAATGACGAGAGGCGGGAAAGATTAATGCGTTAACCTTGCAGAGTCATCCGCGAAGGAGGGAGGGCAAGAGGTTGCACAATAGGCGCAAGGCTTGCTCCCACTTTATTTTTTTCCCTTAAATCAGGAATCCGAAACTTATGTATTTCACAAAAGAGCATGCAGAAATCAAGGTGGAGAGACGCCGGATTCATCGTCCGTCAAAGATACTTTGGTGTTACAAGTAAAGGCCACCAAAGTCAAATTCGTTCAATTCACTTCCCCAACAGTTTTCATTTTGGTCGACCCCTGCTTTTTTTTCTAGGCCAGTAGGAGATTCGGTGCCATAAAGAAAGTATTATGTAACGAGAATATTGTGTAAATTGATAAATAATTATGAGTAATAACCTATTAAAGCCTGCCTGTACTAGTTAGGCTAGGGAGATTAGACCTCCCTGCAAGGTCACTGACAGGTGGTTATCTCATCAAATCAGCTCTCAATTAACATAAGAAAAAGGGGATTATGGGGGACCAACAGGTACCGATTAGACATTGTTTGCTATATAGAGGGCGCAGGTAACTATAAGTAGCAAAGTGATTCGATTATGCAGGAGTACATACTGTTAAGTAGTGCAGTGGGGCTTTAAAGAAGACATTACCGGCGCTATATAAATAATCATGTTATTATTATTTCAACCCATTTTTAAAACAGAACGTCTCTTCTTGTCTCTTTTTTTCTTATAGGATGATCAGCTATTCACTCATGTCGACACTCACTCTAAGACAAAGAAACCGACTAGCACCTCACGCTCCCAGAACAACATAGTGTACCCCGAGCCTGAGAGACTCCCGCCGCTCATACACCACTCCTTGGTTGCTTACTCCGAGACTGAGAGTGAAATCAGTAATGAGCAACTAAGGATGATGAGGAAAGCAGGAATGCCCAAGGTATGACTTCTTGATCGCTCTTCATCTTAATCTGTTCTTGTTTCATTCTTATTCTTCTGATTCCTCTTCTTCTCAATTCTTATTCTTCTGATTCTTCTTCTTCTTATCCTTCTTCTTCTCCTTCTTCTTTTTCTTCTCTTTCTTCTTCTTCTTCTTCTTCTTCTTCTTCTTCTCTTTCTTCTTCTTCTTCCCCTTCTCTTTCTTCTTCTTCTTCTTCTCCTTCTTCTTCTCCTTCTTCTTTTCCTTCTTCTTTTTCTTCTTCTTCTTCTTCTTCTTCTTCTCATTCTCCTTCTTCTTCTTCTTCTTCTTCTTCTTCTTCTTCTTCTTCTTCTTCTCGTTCTTTTGATTCTTCTCATTCTTCTTTTTATCATTTTTCTGATTCTTCTTCTTGTTCTTCTACTATTCCTCCTCCTCCGCCTCCTCTTTCTTTTTTCTTTTCCTCCTCCTCCTACTCCTCCTCCTTCTTCTTCTTCTTCTTCTTCTTCTTCCTTTCCTCCTCTTCTTCCTTTCCTCCTCCTCCTCCTTCTTCTGCTTCTTCTTCTTCTTTCCTCTTATTTCTTCTCATTCTCTTTCATTTTCATCTTCCGCGTCTGAAACCCCGCTCCCTGGTCGCCTACAGCTGAAAATGATAAGAAAAGCGGGAACGCCCAAGTTTGGAATAATGCTATTCCTCTTTCATCAAGAAGATGATAACGATGATGATGATGATGATGATGATGATGATGATGATGATGATGATGATGATACTACTACCACTAGTATCATTATACTGCCATTCATTAACATTATCCTCGTCATCATCATCATCCTTCCATTTAACATCTGGTGGAGAGAAGAAATTTAGCCAAAATGTCTTGCTAAATGCAGTCGGTAAAAGATTGAATTCTTAATCGGAACACCGCAAAGGGGGCAATATAATGACAGTGGACTACTACGAGACAAATAAAGTGATGCCTGCCCATCCAATGTCATTAAGATACCAGAATACACGGCATTCAAATCATTTTCTTCTTTTATTTTGTAGTCTTGGTATACAACACATATTGGCAAGGATCCAGAAGAACTGAAGAAAGACATCGCTAGAGAGAAGAAGAGACAGAAGAGGAAGAAAGAAAAGAAAATTCAAGACCAGTTGACTGCCGAACAAATGCAAAAGGAGGTATGTGATGAATTCGTGATCCCTTAGAGAGAAATGCTCTTTGTATTTTCCTTTTCTGTTTATACCAGTGCATAGCTATAAATCTTATTCAAAATGCGAAAAACCTTTATACAATTTTGTGCTCATACACTCTTAGTATTATACATTCTTTTATATCCTTGTTTTGCTCTTCTCATTCTCCTATCTTGAGTTATTTCAATAAATCATTATTGTCCATCTTTTTCCTTAAAGGGATCATTTAACAATGTTAAATCTGAGATACAGGGCCCTACGTGTTATCAGTGTCTGTGATATGGTGTAATATTGAAGCCCTAAAAAAATTGCGCCTCAAAATGATCAAGAAGTGCCTCAAAAAAGTAAAAATCTTTGAGTGACCGGTTTTACCATACTCGTTTTCCCCAATAGACTGTAGTGTTATGAAAACCGTCAGGCGAACGGTTTTCAAAATTTGTAATTCCAATCATAAATATCTTGATAATCAGACAGGCGACCGGCTCGTAAAAGTCATGGGGTTCCTGACTGACCTAAAGGTTTATAATTATCATTGCATCATGAGCTAAATCCAGAATTTTGTTTCAGAATCTGAGACAAAGTTACCGGATCCCTTTAAGTCTAATGCAGTTCTTACCCCAAATTTGTAAATCCTTCTTTCAATTTTGTGCTCATACCCTCTTTGTGTTACACATTTCTTTTCTTTTGTATGCTCTTCTCATTCTCATATCTTGAATATTGCAATAAATCATTATCGTCCGTCTTTTTCCTTCAGTTTGATGCAGTTCTTGGTGGTATGGATGAACAGGGGATCAAGAATCCAACCGCAAGGTGAGCAAAAAAAATTCAAAACGAAGTTTAAATTCAATCTTCAACCTTTTGCCTGCCTTGATCAAAACTAATGAAACAAACGGTGGACCTCCGAAGTCGAATTTTGTCACACGCACATAGTCACATGCACAAAGTATTTTACACTATTATGCATTGCACACAGTTTTGAATAAGCAGTGCATGAAGTATAGTTATATGTAAAGTAGTTTTTATAGCACTGTGCATCGATTTTTGAATTTTTGGGATCTTTCAGTAGAAGTCGACTTTATTGGATAACTTGTTAAGCACAAGGTTAATCAGTGACATGTTGCAGCATCCGAGCAGGAATTATACAGGTGATACGATATAGTTTGTCAGCCCTTGGTTCTCCTGGCTTTTCGATTTTCTTGAGAAAAACATCAATAATCTAAAAGTGGAAAACACCTATATATTTTGTAAGTATTCATCACTTATCAATTTGTAGACGGCCTTTAGCACTAGATAAGTATTAATATTCCTTTCTCTTCAATTTGTTTGTACAATCCAGACAGCTGCAAGTAACCAGGACAGACCGTTGGAAGCCACGGGACGGGGTAAGACCTTCTCCTATTCTGTCTTTCTTAGATATGGAAACATTAGGGACTTTTAGATTCTGCACGACGAGAACGTGGACTGCCCTTTTAAGGCAATGTGACGTCCTTTTAAGGCACTGGCAGTGACGTCACATTGTCTTAAAAGGGCAGTCTGCGTTCTCGTTGTTCGGAATCTAAAAGTCCCTAATAATTTTCTAAGACCTCGATCACGAGAGTAACTATTATTTAATCTAAAATTTCGCTGTAGTTTGTATTCAACTAAGAATGAAAATAGTTTCGAATTGATCAGGGCATAATAAGTATGAACTTAAGATGCATGGAACTTTTTTATATCATATTATGGAAATGCATGACGGCGATGAGTAATTTGACCAACTCCTACACACAAAATGCATTGGTAATAACATTAGCCTAAGAAAGAAAAAGCTCTACACCCAATGAATCTAGGAACAAAATGGCAAAAAGCCAAAGGGACGAGTTAAGACCTTCTGTTATTGAAATAGTATACTGTCTTAAGTAGATGTGAAGTTATCAATAGGATTTGTGCCCATCTGCCTCTAAACAAACATTTAATCACCAGAATTACTCCTGTTTCATTGAAGGCTTGTTCTGTTGGATTCTTCCATCAACTTTGGTTTAAGTTAGATAAAAACCATTAATACCACATCGTTGTAGGTATGTAGAGACCTAATGATTTGTAAACAGATCATTAGGTGGAAGCCTTTGCTCATTTTATCGGAGCTTCTACCACTTGGACAGTTACAACGTTGTTTTGCTGATATGCATTGGCATAATATAATTATACATTCTATGGTAACAAGTAGTTACATACTTATTCAATCCATACAAATTTGATTTATGTTTATTGGAAAGTAATCAGATTAGAGTGTCTGTTATGAGTACTTATTAATTATTAATTCCTGCAAGTTCGCTTGAAGGAAAATTTCAAGCCTAGACGTGATTGTTGTCGTGAAAATTAGAAAATGTTAATATTCCTCCCCATCTCCCTTTCTCTTTTGTCCTCTTCCTCTCTCTCTCTCTCTCTCTCTCTCTATCCCTCTCTTTCTCCCCTCTCCATCTCTCGCTTTCTCCATCTGTGTAGAAAAGGAAAAGTGAAATACCTGAATCAACAGGCGTCATTAACGAGTCCGCTGTTAGGCTGATCAGAACCCGTCCTCTTGAGTCTGCTGTAAGTGATGGAATCAATTTATGTTGAAAACCTGAGCCTTGAATCATTAAAAAGAAAAATATCTTCATCAATTTGACGGATTCATATAGAAATTATCAGCTCTGCCCCGGCTTTAATTTTGACACCCATATACAACAATTTGTTTCCTTTTCATTTCAAGTCGCAAGTAAAATCATAATTCATTCACATAATCAGGTTTGTCAAATCTCAGGCCTTTAAAATTTGTTATAGAATTCGCATTCCTCCTCTCTAACATGCACATATATTAAGTAAATTTAAGTTTAAAAAAAAGTACAATGCACCGTAGAAGTGGACAAAAAATTTACGAAACCTCTTTTCTTGAAATCATAGGCTCCACCAGCGCAAAATCATGAAGACATCAAGAGAGAAATCGAGGAGCTTCTTAAAAGAGGTCCTCCTAAACCCGTCCAAGGACCGCTTTCAAAGACCACATCTGTATCTCAGGTACTTACTGCATACTTCATACGTTTGAACATAGATAGTCCAACGCATACTGTACAATTCGACTGCTATCCGATTGTATAAGATGATGACGTGGATCCTAATCAAAATGATTGGTTGAAAGCGTACACGTGACCAGGCATTTATTTTGCTAAACGCGTTATTCGGATAATGACCGGTCATTGTCAAAATCATGTTATAAAACATAATTCTTTAAAACAAATAAAACATAATCTTATAAAACAAATAATACTCATAATTTTGTTCGGGCATTAGTAAAATTACCCACACTCGGTACCTCCAAAACAGTCCAAACACCCTCGGCGAGACTGTTCCAAAGGTACTTCGTGTGGGTAATTCTTACTAATGCCCTCACTGCTGTGTTTTATTTGTATATTATACACATTTGGAAAAGCATTAGACGTGATTGCTCAAACATGTCAAATCACAAAGCTCAAGGTTGTAAGTATTCATGTCTAGGAGTAAAGAATATTATTATTCGGGGAATTTTAAAGTTCCCTGTAAGAGTGAAAACTAAATCCTTGCTTCTGATCGGTTATCAGCATATTTGTCACTGATATTTGTCATTTGTCATTGAAAAATGCTTTGTGAAACACCCTCCAGTAGTGCAATCAGTATAACTAGCAGTAAAAATCAAGGCTGTTAGTATTTATATCATTATTTTATCAAATTTTGAAATGAAAAATACGATGTTTGTTCAGATTTCCCTATCTATGAAATGAAATCGAACAATAACAATTTTTAATATGTATTTAAATAGCGCCAAATACGAAGTATCGATTCTCTGAAGCGAATGTAATGTTTGAAGTAGCCACCCCCTAAACAAATATTTAATCTCGTCTCTATATCTTCTGCAGGAGGAAGCTAAAGAACTCGCTGAGAAGAAGGAAAGAGAGGTGAGACTTCGGAGGAAATGGGCTGAGGAGAGGAAGAGAATAAATCGCATCTTAGACGATGCTTTTGCTCTTAGCTCATCCAGCTTAGGCAACACAAGCGAACAAACAAAAGGAGACACACCAACTACAAGCAATGGGCAGTCTAGTTTGGGGGAAAGAGAGTTTGGTAAAGACTTAGAGGACTCGGGGTATCTTCGGCACCGTGGTCACTATGGTTACGATGCACTGGATGATAGCGTCTTGCCAGGGATGATTCAAGGACGACTTGCCATGCCATCTAGGAGCATTCCTTTGTATGAAACAAGCTTTGGGATGGACATTAGTGGTGAGCATCTTTACGACTCGATACGACGGCCGCCAATCGAGTACGAGTTCCTGCCGTCGCAAATGCGTTCTGATGGTGCAGCCCCTGCGTATGGGGTGAGCGTTTCTCCAATCCGGACGCAGAGGGCGCGTGTCGTACCGTATCCTGTACGGGATGTCCTACCGACGGACCCCTACAGAAGCCTGAACTCGTCTTTGAGTAGCAGCCTTCAACCGATGCCGATAACTCCCCGGAATCATCGCACGGGTGGGACTGTTGGAATGGGCACTCAACACCAGGATGATCAAGGTCGAGACATAACGCGTGTGCAAGAAGAGAATCTGTCACTTCAAAGACTAGTTGCTAAGCAACAACGGGAGCTTGACCATGCTCTAGCCCTGATTAGACAGCCTAATTCCAGGATTGACCAACCACAGAAGAGTGATAGCATGGAAGGGAAGGTTGGATCTAATGGCCGGAAGCAACGTAAAGTTGTTCCAGTCAATTCTGCAAAGCCACTCAATGGACCTAGTACAGTGTCAGCATGGACGGTAAGCTTAAAGATCGTCAATACTACTAGGCCAGAAGGGATTAGATCACACAGGGAGGTCACTGACAGGTGGCTATCTCATTAACTCAGCTCTCAACTAACATAAGAAAAAGAGGATGATGGGGGACCAATAGGCACTGATTGGGGAAGTTTTCTATATAGAGGGAGCAAATAGCTACAAGTAGGACCGTGGGGCTTTAAAACATTGTTTCATATTCAAGTCTATTCATTTAATAGATTGTATTTTTGAATCAATAATATCGTCTTATAATGTAATGTATAGTGTGAATCAAAAACATTCTTTGCTGTTGTGTCCTTGTGTCATAATGTCATCCCAAAAAATCGTGTGAATTGGCAAAGAATCAAGATGTCTCTTTTCTGCACTTTTTAATAGAGAAAGAAACGCGCCTTAAGTGGTCTATAATTATGGCATTGTCGATCTGACTCTCATTGAAACAAAACTATTCGATTAGGCCTACATAGTCAAACTTATTTATATTGTGAGATAATCAACATTTAATTAGGCGTTTGTGAGAAAGCTGTCTTAAAAGATTAGTTACAGATCTGTGTAGCTCGAAGAACTTACAGTTGCCATTGTCTTTCTATTGCCCCAGGATGACCATAAAGCTGTGGAGAGGAAATCCCATCCACTGACATCAACCCCCAACAAAGACAACTTGATCAAGGTTAAACCAAGGCCTTCACAGAGGGAGAAAAGCGTCATCTTGGAACACCACATAGAGAAGCCAGGTAAAAAATAACAAAAAAATTATGGAAGCAGTATAGTTAATTGGAGCGTCGCTCAAGAGAGGTGTGTGGGTGAATGTATGTGTACCTGTTCGTATCATTGGGTGTGTATGAGGGAAACACGTGTGGAGATGTGTGTGACGAACACCATCACCTCCTTTCCTCCCTCCCCTCCTTCCCCTCCCCATCTCTATTTGTTATCACATTTTTGTCGCAAAAGGAAATAAGCCTAAAATATTTTTCTTTTTTTTCCTTTTTCCTTTTTTTTTTGAGGGGGAGGGGGCTTTTCGTCATCATCATTAAAAATAAATAAATTAAAATGCGTTTTGCCGCGTAATATCTGAAAAGGGCTTCATTCTTATTTATACAATGCCATCAGTTTCGTCAAACTAATGTCTGTCTTTTTGTTCTCTATGTTTCCTCTCCGAATAGGTAAAGGCTCCGCGAACAGTAAAGTATAGTCACTCTACATGCATTATCCAATAGCCAGCCGGTTGGTGAAACGAGAGGAGAGAAACTTCGGGCATTATAACAAGACATATTAGATAAGGATATAGATACTGAAATAGTGCGCAAACATGTTTTTTAAATTTTGTTTATGAAGAGGCTTATATCAATTTTGGTATTAAATATAGGGTTAAGTAAAAGATGACATACAATTATTTTCTCCTAGTAGGATTAGAATTGAAACCCTATAGTCTAATGCGATGACGTAACTTACTTGAATGGCATATGTCAAATAGTCATTTATATTTTTAGGTAAATGTAGTCATAGGATTTTAAAAATACATGTATTTGTTGCAAACTTCTAAAGGTCAATTGGATAATATGAAAAGTAGGGGGGAAAAATGCGGCATTTGTACATCTTCAATTGAATATACAAATATTTGTACACATTTGTTCTGGAGGAAGACGCATTGCGTGAAGAAAAAAATGAGCGACATCAAAATATGTATTGATAACAATGCTTCACCTGCATGCTGATCATACTGTCTCATATAGAGATGAGAGTTAAATCGTTATTCTGAATGCGAATCATATGGTCTTACTATAAGTATGTATAGTTAGTATTATGCTCGCATACCCAGACAATCCATTGTTCTTCAAAAAAAATTAGGTGCTACTAACATTTGTATTTGATTAAAACATTGCCAAAGAAAGCATTTTAATTATAAATATATAAAATATATATTCATTGATAGATTTATATGAAGTGCAATTTTATTAAAATGTGACTGATAAGTGTGCTAATCTACGCCAAAAATATCTTCCAAATAAAGCTAAATGATCAAAAGTAGACGTTTAAATAAAGAATATTATATATGATATAATCGTATAAAGTACACAACTGAAATGCATTACTTTATGTTCTTATTATAGGTACATTTCTTATCTGGGGTTTATTATGGCAAAATTTTACAGATTACTTGCGCTTGAGCTTTGTATTATCTATACAAAATTAGCGTATTACACTTTGCGTCATCATGAAGAAAACAAAATTGCCGCGGTTTAATTGTAGAGCCTTAAAAGGAGCATTTACATTATCATTATTTTATGTTGTGAATTAACTCTGTATTCCTTATTGGTACTGGATAAGAATTGTATGTTATGTTGTTATTGATGTATACATGACTTTAGTAAACAACACCTCCTTTCGATGGGTTATTGCTAAGGGATATAGTATGTTTGTTTCTCTCTCACATTAAATATTATTCAACATTTTGCATTCATAATAATCAACTTTGTTCATGTTGGAGGAAGCCATATTTTAATGTTTCAAGCAATAGTTATCGATTTTGTATTGACGTCAACTAATTTTTGTTAATATCTCGTCTCATATGTTTCTTTCCGTCTACACTTTGACAAAGGGTTAAGATTCTATTTTACAATTTTTGTTTGTTACAGTCATTTGTTTTTTGCTGCCATCTTAAATATGTTGGACGGAGTCCCTCCCGTATTTTGACATTTAAAAGTGCTATCTCTTGAAGTGTCTGTAACACGCAGAGTTTAAGAATGTGGTTCAGATTTTTAAAAGCCTGTTTATTTTTACTTTGCCTTATTTTCTATGTTATGTGCGATTCGAACTCGACTCTTCTTAAATAGCTATCAAGTTTGGTGTTAATTAGAGTAAAAGAGTTAACGTGAAAGATAATTGTACTTTGTACGCGCATGCATGGGATCGGGGGGGGGGGGGTACTCGGATTTGGTTTGGACAGGGATGAGCCGCTCAAGCCTCGAAACCCTTTCCCATTTTTGAAGGTTAATTTTGGCCTCAAAATTTGCTAACCTTACAAATTGTCAGATTGTTCTCTAAATATATGCCCATTTTTATATTGGGAAAACGTACCCATGTTTAGTGATCATTGTGTAAAAAAAGTGACCCATGTTAAGGGATTTATGTGTGAAAAAGCGACCCATTAGAGCGGCACATCCCCTATGTATTAATATGTGAGTATCTCCCTCCCCCCCCCCCCCCCCCCCCGGGTATGGGATGCACATTATATTGTTGTTGTAATTCTTTTTTGATTTTTCTTATTTTTTTTATTCTTTGAGCCGGAAGCTGAGGAATCCCCGTCAGGTGTACTTATAATCTCAGAAGGTAACTCAATATTGAGAAAATGTTAATTACTCTCCATAGTTTTGCTTTCGGCTCGATTCCAAAGGTCAACAATGCAATTGAACTTGAATTTCAATTAGGTAACTTGATATATAAATGCCATCTATAGGTTCTCTTCAGTCTTCACTAACAAATGATGTAGAATTTAATGATGAAAAATCGTGTGTGTTTTTTCACAACTAGTGAAAATTACCCGTTTTTGGCAAGCTGTCACTGGCTGGGTTGCAAGCGTATTTTTCAGGGACGAAGCCTACAAGAACAGATTCGTTTTTAAAAATTCTGCAAAAAAAGAAATGTTGTCATAACATTAGATGAAATCAGATGAGATGAACATCTTCAATGATTTACTATTTATTTGTCACTGGTTATTTTTGGGGGGGTTGATGCGAGTTTTCGTCGCAAAAGATTGCGGTACCAGATCGAATGATACTAAATCTGTTATATAATTTCTTTTTAATGTAAACCCATTTCTTTGTTTTACAGTTATGTTAGAATGCTGCATACTAATAGTTTCAACCTTGATATCAAGCTCAACATCTAAATGTATAAATCATTATTGTTCTGTTTGCTGTGGTAGTTTTATATTTTGTAGGCGTTCATTTAGCCTTTTTTTTTTGTCTTATTGGGTTGTGTGTGCTGGGCAGTGTACATGTGTTTTTGCAATATTATCATGACGATATTATTAAGTGTGCAGAGAATGTTTTGTTATTTTTTTAAATATATAATATGTATTATTAACTCAATTAGTCTTAAGGATTTTAAATATTACGTAAAGACATGTCTGATAACTGGTAGTCGCAATTATTAGATAATTTTTCTTCCCATGTGACCCCAATACTTTCGAAAACATAAAGAAAGCACCCATGCCATCCAACAACTTTCGAAAACCTACCAAGACGCTATCACAATTGTTATTTCATTTAAAGACCCCCGAACCACTCATTAGAATTGGGCATAAACTGGGTGTTTTTGAGAGGGATGGGCAAATGAGAGCAAAGTCTGTCATTTGTTTATTCCCTCTCCCCCCGGCGCAATTTGACATGTACAAGTGCTCTTGACACTCTTGGGTAGCGATTATATTTCTACCACCCTAAACTCATGAACTATTCATGACTTGAACAGATGACAAGTGATGTATATAGGCCTACCATCTTTTTTCTCCGTGAATATAAACCTACGTCATTATATTATGTCTATAATAACGGATTTAAAGTGCATCAGTACTTAATTTTTCATACAGGCAAACCTGTCTATTAAGGCCAATCAAGAAATACAGAGAAAGCGGCCATTGTATATGGGTCCTTTAAAACACATTTCTCTCTCGTTCTACAGGTTATGTAACAAACATTTCTCTGTCGAGGGGGACAAAATATTTTTTTTTTTGAAATCCTTTTTAAAATACGTGGCATCTAAGACAAGTGGCCTTTAGAGATGGGTGGTCATTAAGGTTTGAATGTAATTTAGATTCAAGTGGGCCTGTTTATTCATACTATTATCTAAAGTTCATCTTATGTTTGCTTCTAAGTTATTGACATTTTTTCCTTTTCGAAATGTATTTTTTATATAAAATTTGGATTCGTATACTGCTGTGTGAATTTTCTAATTGAAAGTATCTTTTTGCTGTATTTCACTGTGTAATCTTTATAGGAAACAATTGTATTAAACCCTACATTTAATTTGGAAAACGAGGGTAAAGAAAACACAAAGAAATAGCTTGACACAACTCACGTCATTTTAATGATACAATACCCCTTCAATATTTCCATCTTAATTAACTTTAACTGTAAATTAATTCAGGTAAGACAATTAGAAGCATATCAATATTTCAAATCATTCCAACCATAATGATCCGAAAATAAATCAACCATCAAAACGTACATAAATCTTCGTTATAATTTTTTATGTTATCTTTGTTTATTATATTCTTTAAGTGTGCTCTGTTGAAGAAAAAAATTGTATTTATTGCCGTGCACTGGGTTCAATATGACCTGAACTTGCCGACACGTGGGTAATTATTGAACCAAATAAAACGTGATTTTATGAATCAGTATATATAAGCATTCTGTATCAATTATTTTAATGTAATATAGTGTATTCAATAGCGGTAAAGCCGTACATAGAGCAATTTCCGGTTCATGTGCCAAAGCATCATCGCGTCCTCTTTGTATAAAAATGATTTCGACGATATCGTCAAAATCATTTTTATACAAAGAGGACGTGGGGTTATAGTGACTCGGTAACATTGTTGAAGGTTGATGAAAAAACGATTTTCCTTAGTTGTCCAATGACTGTACATAGAATAGTGAAAATGGTGAACAAAGCGCCCAGAATTCATCTGAATAGACCATTTCGTAGTTAGCACATGGCTCAAATGACCTCAAATGTCAATGTCAAAGTCAAGTATGTGCTTCATGTAAAGCTTTTTTTTGCCCTCTTGTATCATAAGAATGTACCTTAGGTGCACGCATGAATAATGATTACATAACATGAGCAGGTATTCCTGTCGATGTGTTTTACAATTTTATCAGAAATGACCTTTATCTGCCCATGCGCAGATAGTATTTACGAAAAGGCTTATAGGAGAGAAAAACACGACAAAAGAAATAATACACACGTCTTTTTCCATTTGTAAATTGATATTTTATTACGAAGCTTTGTTCTCTGATCTCAGGTGTGTCATAGGGAATCACAATATTGTAGATGATCGTATCACTTGAAATTACAAAATGTACAACACGATAATCACTGCTGACGTACAGATTGAAGAAAGATGGAAAGGTTTTGTTTAATGTGGGAGACAGAGAGGGGAAGTGAGAGAGAGAATGGAATAAAGAGAGAGGGGAGGAGAGGAGAGGGGGAAGACAGAGAGAAACTGAGAACAAGGAAATAGACAAAGACAACAAAACAAGGAAGAGAGAAAGAAAAAGAGAGTGTGTGTGTGAGTGTAAGTGTGAGTGCATGCGTGAAAAAGAGAAAGAGAAACAGAAAAGGGGAAAGAGGGGAGAAAGAGAGAGAGAGCGCGCACACAAATTACAAAAGTGAAACATATGTATGAGAAAGGGAAAAAATACGTTATCAACGTTATTCAAATTAACGAATCATTTAATACATAAACTGTCCAAATATTGGTCAAATTTTAAATTCATCATTACACACCCAGAGGAATATGGGGCATGAGGGGGAGGAGAGGGTCGCTATAGATTGCGCTCCTTTTGGATTTTAAACTACCTATATTCGTGCAATCATCATTTCATAACCTGGAAGCGAGATGGCCAATTGGTATTTGCTATGATATTTTGTCTATTTGCGAATTGATGTCTCACAAAGAAAATATCCCAATTCTTAGGAGAGTCTTTGGGAGAGGAAAAAATTAATATTATGAATTTCCTTATGGGGCGGTTGGTTTGTGTAAAAGTGCAGAGCATTACATGTTAACGAGAATTGGTCGTACAAGTGAAGGCCACTCCCCTTGATTAATATCTGGGTGAAATACCCGGATGGTATCAAAATTCCGAAGAGAACCCATGCTAATGTGTCTTAAAATTTCATCCAAGTTTTTCTTACAGAAGCAGAAGTATACTTGTCACCTTCACGGTAAAATAAAGACCCAAGTAAAACACTTCATGCCAAAACTAACAATAATGATAGCATTTCAACCACATAGTACGACTCAACTGTTAATTTATGATAATCTTTCAAAGAACTGGTGAAATAGACAATCTTAATTGCTTCAGTTTTCATTACAATACCTTTTGACATGGATGATCTAGTTTATGTATTTCGGTAGGCAACTGGAAAATATACACAAATTTGTTCGCTCTTTCCCAACTAAATATACGGTCGTGGCTTACTTTTTTTCATTAGTTGTTTAATTAATTTATACAAAGGAAATACAAAGAAAAATACATGTGGGAGCTCACAAAATCCTGAAAAAATGTGGATTCTCATTTAGCTGATAAGATTCAAGATGAAATGACTGATTCTGCAAGGATATATGTAAAATATAGATACATGAACTATTAAATTTAAAAAACTAAAATTGAATCACTATAAAATACTCGTCACTGAGGTTTCTATTGCACACGCACACGTCAGAAAAGTGATACACAATTTATACATAGGCTCTTAATACATGAAATATAGAAGTAATGCTATAGGCCTAGAGTTACATACAGTGGCAAGAAAGGCACCATTTTATAATTTAGAATAAATGGAAAATTTGATCTGTTTTCCGAGTTGGTATTAAAAGACAAAGTGCACCAACCATATCACTCGTATATCTTGTGCTTATAAACTAATCCGTCCCTCCAGGCCTCCACATCAGCAATATTCGTATGGTGACATAACAATGGTACAGTGATAAATCTAACCAAAATGATCGTAAGATCTTGCCAAATTTCGAGCGGTGTGCAACCGTAGCGTGTTGAGAGGGATAGTCACGTCAGCAGAAGTACTTCATGATTGGTCCGTCATTACATTAAGCTCCAAATACAGTTCCATCCCATAGAGATGTATGGGGGAGGGAACTACTGGGAGCGCCATACTTGGACATGAATCCGTGTGTCGCAACTATCCCTCTCAATCAATCACCCCCCCCCCCCCTTTCATCAGACTCTAGACGTTAGGGACTTTTAGATTTGCATGTCGACATAGTGGACTGCTACGTGTGATGTCCTTTTAAGGCACTACCAGTGCCTTAAAAGGACGTCACATTGCCTCAAAATGATGTAACACGTAGGCCGTAGCAGTCCACTTTGTGGTCATACACATCTAAAAGTTCCTAATAGCTCCAGACACACCCTTAAAAAAAATTTATAAATGTAGTGGTGGGAATACATGGTAATGTTTTATCAAATGCACATTACAGTAAAATGTCATATTGTATAAGGAGAAGGTAACAATAATACCGTATAGATACTTTAGTCGACAAAATTTATGTTCGCGACAAAATATCCATTTTCTAGAAAAGGCACAATCATGAATATCGTTTCAGGACAACATATAAATATCTACATTGTACATGCCACGATTGCAGAATTTTTCCGATAATAGCCAGCACACTGAACAAATTTATTGGAGTTAATTGAACCTTGATTTCTGGATACCATTTATTTATACAAAGAAAACCATGGAACATATATATACAAGTTGAAATCGTTAATGAACACACAGTCACACAATATAAAAATAGACCTACGCACTTGTCTTCGTAACCAGGCTATTTGCATATTCAAGACAAATAACAGTAATATGTACACATGTATAACAGGAAAAGCATTGCACTTTGATCAACTGGCATTTCTTTGTCTTATGGCAGGCCCTCAATGCCATAAATCGAGCTCCCGAAAAGATGGACCTTTTGCTTAATCCAAAAAAAATTCCGATGATGATGATAATGATGAAGATAAAAATACCAATGTCAACGATATTATTATAATGCTATTATTAATAACAATGATAATAATAATAAATAATACTTATTTTCATTATTATTATCAATATAATATTAATATAAATAGTGAAATTAATAATTACAATAGTAATAGCAATAATAATAGTAATAATAATAATAATAAATCTATATTTTATAGATTGGGGGACAAAATCGAATATTAATACATTGATCGTTATGGCATCAAATGCCTACCATAATATCTTTGTTCGTGATGCGTTTGCTCATTATCAATTCCGTTTCTAGTGATTCGGTAGGATTGCAATCAACTACATGCATGAGGAATGCGACAAAACATTATTACCATTAATAAAACAACAGGACAAAATTAACAGCACTAATTACGTCCCAAGTTGTTTGTATCACTTACAAGGCTTGACATTCCTACACCAATGTGCAAGGGTTTAAGACTTTAAGAGAGACTTTAAATAGCATCAAGTACGAAATAGAATGAGATTTAGGGATATTTTTCGGCCTTATTTGATGCGTATTTCACAAAAAAGTTGGGATATCCAGGATAGCTCATTCTGTATTATCAAAGCTTATGATAGAAACTTTTCACAATTTGCAACCAGGTCTATTCCTTCCAATCCTTGGAAAATTTACCGGTAAAACCCAATGGAATTTTATTAGATCACAAAACCTTTCCCTAACAAGAAAACAAATTTCACAAAGAGAGAACATATAAAAGACATCCCCTTTTCAGCATTTTATGCTTTCATAAAAAGTGGGTTGCTCAATTTTTAAAAAAATCTTTCCTATTGTCATATTTATAATTAAGCGCGCACACCAAAATATCCTATTTAATAGGACGTGTACATTTTGTGCTTTAAGTAGGGGTCTTTATAAGCTTTGTAGCACAATAATCCGTATCAAAGCTACATAAAATCGGTTCTTCTAACAAGGAAACTTCCAATCCGTACAGTGCCTAAATCAGATATTTATAAATAAATACATAATCAAATATATAATTTTTCTCTCTCTGCTATCTGAGTTGTGCAGAGATGGCAAGGCTTGTGGATATCCTTGTAAAGGATTTCCATTGACTCAGTGTTGTCAGAGATAGGTTGTGGACGTAGTGGTAGGCAGAGGCCACGCCATCTTTTTGTCGCCGTTAGCATCGCGATCGAACGCACGGTACGACGTGAACGAGCGCCCTCCATCGACATCTTCAGTGAGCACTCCAACGTGATTCTTACGCGAGAACTTGGACGAGTTCGTAATGGCGTAGGTGTCCTTCCGGTAGCACTTCATCGTGGAGACGCAGAAAACCTCTTTGCAACCCCGTCGAAAGTTCGGGTTGTAGCACGAATATATGACAGGATTCCACGCGCAAGACGTCAGCGATACCCACACCGTGGCCCAATAAATGTTCACCTCTGATTGGCTGATCTCTGACATGTCTTTAGCACACGTAAACCATTCCTGAACGACAAAGAACGGCGTCCACGAGACGAAGAAAACACTGCTCACTATCATCAACATTTTTACGGTTTTCACTTTCGCGCGCGGTACGCTATTCATTGTCCGCTGCAGCGCGCGTCCGCGTATGCCCACCGTCCAAATATGGCGGAAAATTCGCGCGTAAGTTATCAAGAGCAAGACCAGGGGCAAGATAAATTCGATTAGGAGCAGAGCGGTGATGTACATGATTCCGGCTGCTTCAAAGGAAACAAAAGGCGTACAGACTGTTTTGTTTCCTGCAAGCTCAGTAAGCATGAAGAAATAGAAGGCAGGGCATGAGATAAGAGTCGCGATGGACCAACTGATGATAATCATTTTCTTCGCTTTTCCTCGAGTGATTTTGAAGCTGAGTGGATAAAGAATCGTATAGAAACGATCGACGCCGATGGCTATTAAAACGTAGACCGTTGCACCAGGTTTCATGTATTGTAAGAACCTCACTAGCTTACAAATAAAGACACCATACACCCATTCGTCTGCTATGATAAGACCAATCATGAAAGGCATGCAAAGAACAGACATGACTAAGTCCACAATCGCAAGCGATATCACAAAATAGTTCGTCGTGCTCTGCAGCCGACGACTTCGCTGCACCACGGTAACTACAAGAATGTTACCGAATATGCACGTCATGCACATCAGGGAAGCAGCGATAGTCCCCATGACCGTTCCAAATGTCATGACGATGTTGTCTTGGTCCTGGTTCTGTGGAGTTGTTCCTGGATCTGGTCCAGGCAGTGTGGGTTGTTCCCATGGCGACGTGCTTAACTCGGTGGTTACTAAGCGACCCTCTATAGCCATATCTGTGTTGGATGTGACGAACTCCGTAGCTTCACCGAACACACCTGATATTAATGGCGTCGTAGCGCTCATGTTGTGACGTCACAGCATTCTGTAAGATAAAAGGTAAGAATGAAAGGGATGAAATAGCAGTACAAGAAGTATGCGAAGGAGTATGCTTATTCACTCTAAAAATAGTTCAGTAAATTCTTACCCCCCCCCCCCCCAAAAAAAAAAGACAAGCAGCTTGTTTCAGGAAGGGGGAGGGGTACGAAACATTTGGTAAAGAAGGGGTTGTTGAGGGACGTAGAGAGAGAGAAAAAAAATCAAGAGGTTCAGGGAGAGACTAATGAGAAAGACTAAAAGAGAAGAAGATAACTTGGGCGGAGAAAGAGAGAGTGGGGGAGAGATACTGAAAGAGGAAAGCTCTTGGAAATGCAAGGACGAAGCAATGTTTTTCATATCAAATCTCTTTCCACTGTGATGTTTTCAGATGAAAAATGCAAGAAGATGTAAACAGCAATTAGTACGAAGGATTTATGACGAAGAAGGCACAGTTCTCATTGTTCACGTAGAAAACAGTTCCATTATTTACAATTAGGCGTGTAATTATGGCTTCATAACATCAAGCTTCAAGACACGTACGTTATAAAAATTGGTAAATACGTGAGAGAGAGAAAAAAGAGGAAGTGTGCGTGCGTGGGTGTGTGTGTGAGTGTATGTGTGTGAGAGAGAGAGACAGAGCGAGAAAGAGAGAGAGAAGGGGGTGGGGTGTCTACCCATCTTCGCTTGGGTTTTACCATCAATCAAGTCTTGTCTAATCCGTAGGAATAAACAACCATTGACTTTCATATAAACCAACTGACATTTAGGAATAAACGTTTAATCGTCAGTCATCATGCCCTATGCACACATGACCCGTGGTTTTCGATTACGCTAATCAAGTATTATCTGTGAAAACTGATGAAAGAAGTTTGTGCGTTGGCAAAAAAAAAATCAGCACACGTTTACACGTTTTTAGTTCTGTTACGTACTGTTTTGTCTTGGTTTGGTTTGGTTTGGTTTGGTGTGGTGTGGGTGTTTTTTTTTTGTTGGGGGGGGGGGGGGGGGCGGGGCATCTGTGATGTATTCCATCGAAATATGATTTTGAGGGATAACTCGGGATTCTCGCTTTTACAGCTTCAAGTGCGTCAAGGACGGCGCAAGTCCTTGACGCAAGTCTCCGTCAGACATTTATGACAACTAATGTTCAATGGGAATAGAGAGAAAAGTTACGTCTCTTATGCATGTATACTCTGTGTGACTTTTATTTTTCACTGTCATCTGGTTGAATATGACCGAAATCTTCCACATAATTCTTTGCTTTTATAATATCATTTCCTTCTCGTTTTGTTATATTACGTTTTGTTTCTTTGTTTTGTTTTCCTTTTGGGGGTGAAGGCTTGATATCGCAAACAGAAACAGGTGCGATGGGTAATCCGTCATTTTTTCCTTCAATTTCGTCAAAAACCTTAGGCACCAACAATAATCAGAGATATTGTAGTTACTGGGGCGGGTTTATACATTTTATACATAATTGAGAAATAATCGATGGCGGCTACTGCAAACTCTTACGTTTCTCTAAACGAAAAATCATACACACCTGCAAAATTATGTCATTTTTTTTCTTCCCATTTGTTTGCTAGCGTGTAGGATATTATTTGAAGAAGAATAAACGCTCGTTCGAAATCCTTAATCATTAGAGATGGGTTACCATGGTAACAATAATGGGAAGGCATCACTACAACCAAGCTAGTCTGCAGTCGCAAACCCCTTGCCAGCCGCCGTGCGTGACAGAGTGTCTGGACTGGTAGACTATGCAGACTGCACGGTCCACTGCCCTCCGTAGGCTCTGTACTATAACTGCTCCTGACACGATCAGAGACTGACAGATTTATAGACTCAGCTCAATACTCTTCATGGAATTGTGTTTGAGTATCAAATTAGCTACAGTGCCTGTAAACTACGTCTAAGCATTCAATTGGTAATGTATGCATATACGTGTCCGTGTACGTGAGCGCTGATACCATAATCTGTCAGAATCAAGTTTTTTAAGGTCAAAAGTTGAAAGAGGTAGGAAGCACATGTATACTGTCACCTATGAGCTTTCTTATTCTTTGTACGACAGTGGAGGATTGTACGTAGTGATGTTTATCGTGATATAGCAATAAGCAAGCACGTTGTTGAAAAACACGTGAATTTCACAGTCGTTTTTTCCCAGTCGTATTTCACCATAACAACTTTACATGATACCCATCGAGATTATATCAAGATATAAATCTAAACGTACAATTACTGTAACCTTTTTTTCTTTCTCATATCAGTGTTTTACATGCTTGAAATACGACTCCATACATATTTTTACCATGTTTTAATTCATATTTGAGCGGAAATAAGCTTGATTTGAATATAACTTTTATTATTGTAATATGATTTGTATTTTTCAGTAGGCTTGCGGGTGCACCATGTGAGAGAGAGCGAGGATTGAGGAGTCCTGAAAAAACATGATTTGTATTGTATTATTCTATTATTCTATTATTGCAAATTATGTCCTGAAGTAGGCTATGTTATGTGTATTTTACTTTCTTTCTTGAATTACTTGATGGTCGTATGCCCACAATTATATAATTTCCACACAACTGCGCCAGGAGTGTCATTTTTGACAGACATGGCGCATTATAAATGTTCATTATTATTATTATTATTATTTACATTTTCTCTTTCCACGGGTTCAACCTCAAGAAACGACTTCTGGTAAGATTCTTGTTCAACGTTCTACTTCTGTTATTGGACTATTATTCAATTAATTGATTCATTGATTGATTTATATTCGCCAAGCTTCCAACATACAACAATATACAGGAATAACAGATCAAAGTTAAGTCAGCTTGAACAAGATAACCCCCGAAAGCGCGAGAACTTATTTTCAGTGGGGTCCCCGAAATTATAGTAATATTTACAGAAAGAAAAGAAAAAAACTTATTAAAGATAATAATGATGATAATACTAATAATGACTTTAGAACTGATGATAGAAATGATAATAAGTACAAGAAGAAAAGGAGGAGGAGGGGGAAGAAGAGGAAAATAATGATGAATATGTTGAATTTAGAACCTTTTTGGGGGGGGGGGGATTTCCTAATTGGTTTTAGGCCACAGGCCTACCCTGAATTATATTTCCCGATAAATGCACAATATAATTATGATAGGATTACTCTATATTTTGAACTTACATGTAGAAAAAACATCTCTTTCAACAAAATGGAACATTATTCAATTTAACGTGACACTGGATATAGGCCTATACATCATTCATTGGAATAATTAACCAAAATTCTGAAACACGACTTGACTATCAATCCGTTGAAGGAGAGGGGGCAATCTGCCCCTTCCTCCAAATAAGAATAAGACGTCTTTGTATGTTTCTGGGACTCGAACCGCGAACCATGAGATCAACAGTTCGAAGTCGTATCCACTAGACCACGACACCTCTCCATACCTCTTCAACTCTATAAGTAGTGCTTCCTTTTTTCCATTCCGCTGTATTGTAAGAGTACCACGCCCATCACCAAATGTAGAAAACCAAATAGATTGTAGCAAGTTAAAAAAACAAAAATTTCGCCTTTCATCATACCTAGTTACCTACACAAGTTTTATGCAGACGACATTACGGAGTATGGCACGATACCTACTCGATCGCGCGGCTAATTTCGCGGGATACTTTTCCCCGTTTCAATGTCGGCTGCCATGGCAACGGGATGAATTTGAAAGATGCTGTTCATACGTTTCATCAGTTCATCAGTTTGCGTCATATGGAGATTAAGCCAAGTAGAAAACCGACATTACAGGGATTTGTTTAAGACGAGTAGATCAGAAGAAATTCATCCCCCTTGTTCTATTATAATTCCCTGGTTGTTATGTCCTAAAAATAATACGGGACTTTTGGTCGTCGATTACCTTCGATGTTTGCTAAGTTGATTGACCGAACTTCTTGTTGTTATGATGCATGTATGGTAATGATCAAACTGATTTACGACTTCCAATCAGGCGTATAAGCCCGTACGTTGTGCACGATGGGATTTCGATCATTAAAAATATGAAAAGTTAAGAACTTAGCTCTTGCCTAGGACTAGGCAATATAATTTGTCGTATTGTTACTATATAATGTTACTATTGTTGATCTATTTCCCAAAGAAATTCACCGATATTACTTTACAATAATTATTACCAGTAATTCGACACCTCATCTTCCTCCTCTTCTTCTCATTCTCTATACTACTACTACTACTACTACTACTACTACTACTACTACTACTAGTAGTACTATTACTACTATTACTACTACTACTATTACTACTACTACTTCTACTATTCCGACCACATTTCATGAAGTAATTATATTTGTCCACATCACCAATTAGAAGTTCGTAAGAGATAGCTTACTCATGTCTGGTAATTGGGCATGCATAGCAACAATAAACACAACTGTTAATGATATTGACATAGGCGTAACGGATTCTCGCCGAGAAAGATAATAATACAAGACGTGTTATAAAAGCCGTATTAGTTAAAGATACAAGTCAACCGTTTCTAACATGGAAAATGGGATGACGCTTATTCAGCAATAAGTAAGCGGAATCCATTTATAACGAAAAATTTACTTTTCTTCGGAAAAATAGGGCACTCTTCAAACCATGCTATGTATAAATACGGTCAGTAAAATAGACCGCAGGTCATTAAAACACACTTGGAATAATATACTTTAAAATATCCCTGATAAAACATACTAAGCCTATGATTATAAAGATAACTAAAGAAGAAAATATATTTCATATATTCTCTATCAAATGTGAAACGGAAGCGAACATTTTGACAATCTAAAAAGTGTGGAATCTCAAACTCGTATGTCACAATGTAGAAATTGAAAATATCCCTGAATTAAACTTACATGAGTATTGATAAATACATAGCTACAGGTATATTTTATATACAAAAAAATAATGTTAAAATTTACACCGTTTTATTTAAAATTAAAATTAGAATTAAAATAAATAATTAAATTAAGACTTTAAATGCGAAGCGAACATTTTGACAATCTAAAAAGTGTGGAATCTCAAACTCGTATGTCACAATGTAGAAATTGAAAACATCACTGAATTAAACTTACATGAGTATTGATAAATACATAGCTACAGGTATATTTTATATACAAAAAAATAATGTTAAAATTTACACCGTTTTATTTAAAATTAAAATTAGAATTAAAATAAATAATTAAATTAAGACTTTAAATGCGAAGCGAACATTTTGACAATCTAAAAAGTGTTATATCTCAAACTCGTATCTCACAATGTAGAAATTGAAAACGTCACTGAATTAAACTTACATGAGTATTGATAAATACATAGCTACAGGTATATTTTATATACAAAAAAAAAATGTTAAAATTTACACCGTTTTATTTAAAATTAAAATTAAAATTAAAATCAATAATTAAATTAAGACTTTAAAAAATAAACAAAATAACAAAATATCAACCCCCAAATAATACTTCTACTCCCAAATACTCCCAAATTGTACTTTTTCAAAGTAACCTTAAAATAGTTGAAATATTCTGATCACATGACGAGCTCTCAACCAATCAATACAAATAGATTTTGGATGCAGGATATAAATATATAATATAGCCGATAGGGCGATGAAAGTTGAACACTACATGAACCGTTCTGCGTTAGTACAACGGATTTTAGTCAAATTACATGCATATTTAATTGGCAATCAGAACGGATGACGTACAATATACGTGAGAGCAACTGCAATGAGGCTTAAGTTAACGTTGATCTCGGTCAGAAAAGAAAATACGTTTCTGGATTATCCGGTTTCTATTTTTAAGGAATGCATATTTCACCTATTCATCTATTAATTTTGATCACGTTGTGTGTTTAGTATGATTTGATCTAGAGATTTTCGTTAAGATTACATTTTCGTTTTGGTGTTTTTTTTTTTTTTTTTTTCTTTCCAAACAAGAAAATGACGCAGCATGAGAAGCCGGTGAGTTTGATAACAAAATACAGTATTGATCATTTTTATTTCATAAAAGTTTTTTATCAAACAACATTCAACATTAGGGTAGTCATGCTATCAAGCTTTGCTTACTTTGTCAACCCATTTGTTTGATGTTTTCGATTAGTTACCCGCCAGCCTTTCTTTACTATACATATTCTTTTGTCATGTGTAAAATTTGCAATGTTTTGTTTGTTATATATTTGTAAAAGGGCAAAGAAAAAGAAAACCAAACAGAAATAAATAATTCAAATCAAATCAAATAAATCCAATTAGAGTTTGAAACTGACATTATTCTGATCAATCTGATAATTTGATAAACACACCACTATCGGATGAAGAAAACTGCTGAAAGGGAAATTCAACCTTAATAGACAACTGTTGATCACATGGTTCGCGGTTCGAGTCCCGACGCGGCACTAATGTTCTTTGACAAGACTACATTTGTCACCCTTTACCCAGGTGTATTAAACCTGATATGAATTTATTTATTGAATGCTTTGAGCACCTATGGGCAGCTTAAAGTGCATTGAGCATCCCCTGGGATGGATATGTGTGCAATATAAATGTAGTTATTGTTATTATAATCATTATTAGTATCATCATTATTGTTATTATCATTATCATCATTATTGCTATTATTGTTATCATTATTCATTATCACTATTATCAATATCATTTTTATGATCACCGTTTTTTCTTATATTATTCTTGGCAGCTGTGTAGCATTTATCGATAGTCATATTTATGAATGAGATATTTGAAAAGTATTAGTGCGTCCTTTAAAGCCCCTATGCACTAGTTTGGCCAGGAGGGATTATACCTCCCTGCATAGTCACTGACAGGTGGTTATCTCATCAAATCAGCTCTCAATTAACATAAGAAAAAGAGGATCATGAGAGACCAATGGTCACCGATTAGGCATTGTTTCCTAGGGCACAATTAGCGATAAGTAGTACAGTTGGACTTTAATAGGGTAGTGTAGGCCTACTCTGTCAAACCTCTTGAAAATAACTATCAGCGTGCATAACATCACCTCTCTGGCATAAGTTAACATTAATTACTGTCGATGCATTATCATAATTAGCACCAGTAGAAGGATATGCATCGCACCTGCAATGACAGAGCTCAGTATGTGAACATAATAATTTATATTCCAAATAATAAGCCTATAACTATCTCTGCGTTATGTTATATACATGCAAAATGAGAATGAAATAAACAGCCTGGCAAAGGGGAGAACATGGGACGTTTATAATTTATAAACATATTATGAAGGATTTTGTTACCACATATCAAAGGTCATGCGTGTACTCTCTTATCACTGAGAGGACTTGATCGCCATGGGAGAGGAAATACATTTCTTTTACTTATAGGAGTCACATATTAATATTGGAGTCATAATGTGACATTCACACCAAAGCGGTGGGCAAGCTGAACTATTATCTCTTTTTACAGCAGATTCCAGTTCAATATGTCTTTGCGTGGATTATACTCCAAACGAAATGATCCAAGAAAAATACGACTGAAAATTAATCACCTCTTATACATGAAGCGATAGATTTCCACTCTTTTTTACGTTTATAAATTAATACGCAAAAATGAAATTGAAATACGTTTAAAAGAACATATTGTGATAAATTTAAATCATTCATCATTCACGCTTCAACATGTTAAAAAAGGAATACCCACGAAATAATCACGTACATGTAGGTAATGTGCTTGATAATTTTTTCTTCAAGATTTCACAGACAGTCAGAAATAAGTACGTGTACTTACAATTGACAGAAACCTCTCCGGAGTGTATGTGCATTCTAGTCGAGCTAGAGCGTTCATGCGGTATGGCACAGTGCAGGGAGGATGCATACATAGCGGTGTAGATTCGCATTGGTTGTCAATAGAGATTAATATGCCGACAACTCCAATCTCCATATAATATTCAGCCGAGTCTTCTATATATGATGAAGCTAGATAATATTATACATCCACATCTCAACATTTTATTGAGATGAATATAAAATATTTGGTGCAATCTTCCACTAGTATGTATGTCCAAAGCGATAAAAACAAGAAATACACCGGGTGCACTCTCAAATCCCGTGCGTAGTTGGAAAATTTAAGAATGAAAAATGCAGAATTCGAGGAATATGCTATTTCTTCCAGTGCACGCAACAACATCAATCCACAGTGGTTCTTGGTCGACCACTGAGGCACAAAATATCAAATAACCCTTTTCTGGGTTCTCCGCTGGTTTAAATTATTGCTTAGATGCTCAACATCAATACGCCTTGGTGTAGGGAATCCCTTTTGTTTTCGGTATCGTGTGTTTCTCCATCTCGCCGCGGTATGTATCAACTTCCTAATGAAATATTCGAGAGATGGAGTATTATGTATCGCGTGCAAGAGAACGCGCAGTATTACATGTTATGTAGGTAGCGCTATCGGGGTTTGTGTGGGGTTTTTGTGTGTGGATTTTGTGATAGTGCGTGGATTTTGTGATAGTGCGTGTGTTTGCGTGGCAATGTAGCGATGTGCATGTGCAGGTCCACTGCCTGGATTGTAAGCGAGCCCACTCAGCTGAGAAACCCTCAACGCTAAAACGGAGAGAGTCCTTTCATACTAATGACCCTCGCATATGACATGAAAATAACAATGAAAATGGATAACAATGAAAATAGAGAATGTGTTATGTTAATCTCTTCTATTTTCCTGGTAATTGCTTCTTTTGTTTCGTTTATAGTTACGGGGAGAGAGAAAGAGTGGCAGAAAGAAGGGAAAGGAGAGCTAGATAGTTGAGGGAGAGAGGGAGATCGAGATCGAGAAAGAGGGAGAAAGAGATATACCTGTAAAAGGAAGAGAGAAAAGGTAAATATAAAAGGGAGATGGAATATTAAAGATCGAGAGAGGGGAGAAGAGAAAAAGAGAAAGGGAGAAAGAAAAATCGAGATCGAGAGGAAAAGCCCGAGGGAAGATCGAGGACGGACAGAAATAGAGATCAATTAAGAGAGAGAGAGAGAGAGGGGGGAGGGGGAGAGAAAAGAAGAAGACGGAGAGGCCTAGGATCGAGAAGAGAAAATGATTATAACTCGATAGAAATTTGATGATTTGTTTTCCTTCATTTAAAACCATCATATGAAGATATTCCTCACCCACATTCGGTATGTTGTTTTTGAATTGTTTTCATGAAGATTTTGTTTTTATAGTTTAGTCGGTAATAAGAGAAACATTTTTTTATAATGCATTGCATAATGTTTATGGTTATATACACTTTAAACTTTTTTTTCATGTGCAGGCTCCTAACTCAGGTACTTTGTCCCATTTGCAGGCTCCAAAAATAGAAAGGTTAAATTCCAACGGCATTTGAAATATAATACTAATTTAGAACTTCCATATAAAAAGCGGGGCTTGAAAATGTCTTAAAGTGGGAAAATAATGACTATTCGTTGTCCAATCGACTTAAGAGCTATATAGCCAGTAAGTAATAGTCTGATTTTCAGACCATTGTACCGAATAGCTGTACGTTTTATGCTGCGCAAAGATTCAATCAGTTTAATTTTGGCCATTACAAAAAGTGGGTTATTGATGTAGACCAATGCTTATGTACCCTTTACAGCTCATTTTATGTATGTTTACCAAAGAAGAAAAAAGCCAGTCAGTCACTCAATAGTGTCTGACAGTGAAGTCTAGCAAGTAAACGGTTTCCTTGCATAATTTGAATATTAGGGCACTGCTAACGTTTAAATGTCGAAGATAGGACATACATGACATATTCATAATACCTGCAAAGTTCTAGAGAATTTGATATGTTGGCTGCAAAAGGGACATAGATCTTTAAAGATCGTCACCACTACTTGGCCAGAAGGGATTAGACCACACAGAGAGCCATCGAGGTCACTGTGACAGGTGGCTATCTCATTAACTCAGCTCTCATTTAACATAAGAAAAAGAGGATCATGGGGGACCAACAGGCACCGATTAGGGAAGTTTTCTATATAGAGGGAGCAAGTAGCTAAAAGTATGGCAGTGTGCCTTTAATACTGAAATTCATGAATTTGAAATGCAAACAAAAGAAAAAGTAGGAAAAGGAGTATTTATACCTACATGTATAAAGCGTTATCTACATCACTACAACAATCACCACCACCACCTTTTGTCTCTTCTTTCATGCATTGTTATTTCATGATCTCTATAAATTATGTAAAAGTACTTTTTTTAAATAAACAAATGAAATAAATATGAACTTGAACCATCATGTTCGAATCATCACCATACTCGTCATTATCTCAAAGTCATCATCACCAGTTATCATAACCATTATCACCACTGTCATAACCATCATTAGCATCGTCATTTTCACCAAATCTATCATCAATTTGATCACAACTGCCATAATTTATCACCATCACCATCACAATACAAGAAAAATCAGTACGAACAATATATATGTATATGCTATCAGGCCATTTTTAATTTCATTATATAAATTGAGATATTTTCAAAACTCATATCTATTTGAACACAAACACAAGTCACTAAATGAATTCATATTCCAGATAGCCACAACTTCATGACAAAGATAAAATTTGAAATAAAAAAACAGAATTGATGTAGTTCAATATAAAATTCTGCAATATATATAAATCAATGCAATATAAAACATTATATATTTGGCATTTCTGAAATGCTTTGGTGTTTGAATACTTTGAAAATGGAATATAGTAGGTTCAATATATGATAGCCGGGATTTAAATCCCACGACATTGCTTATAAGCATACCTGAAGCGAAATAAAGTAAAAAATACTTCCAAACATTACTCCCTCCCAACAAAACAACCCAAACATAGCCTTATTTTTCAGTTGGCATTCACTTCTAAGCCGTCAACAATTAGTTTGAAAAAAAACAAATGATCAGTTCTGTCGGAACAAAACCATTACGGCATTTCTAGACTGAATTTCAGAGAGAAAGGCTAGTAAGTGTTCACGGGGAGAGAATATTCTTAGAGTAATCCCAGAGTATTAACACAACATATAATTAACAAATAGTTTCAAGAGACGTAAAAGAAATCGCATCGACATCCAAGCAGCACATTGAAAACGACACCTCCATGTATCAGCATTCCACTACGTCTTATATCAACATGAAACTATGGAACTAAGAATCTACCATTAAGCGTACAGTATTTACAGACATTTATACCACAATACATCGACAAACGAACATTGCAAAATGGCCACAAGATTTCACGAAAATACTAATTACCGGCCATTTGAATTCATGTTTTGCATAGAAATATATCAAACTTCTCCTCACATGTACATCCCAATATTTCAATTTCAATAATTTACCATTGGGATTACACAATGGCTTTTTCTAGTGAAGGCACGAAAGCATCAAACTTAGATTAGATTTAGATAAGTCTTGTGAGCAGTGTTCTGTTTATTGAAGGATTGGGATTTCATCTATCTTGCTATGTTGTCGACGAGCCATGCCGATGCGCGGTATGACGTAACAAAGCAACCCAGATAGAGAGATGATGACGACAAGCATAATCGCCATGCAGATTATAACGGACCACAAGAGGGCGCTGTTTCCATTGGACCATTCTTGGATCTCATGTTCGTCAGCATACCTGTTGTGGACGTTTACGTTTGCAGCAGGCATTGTATCTGAAATAGACAGAAAGGAATCTAGAAGTTATTTCAACTTTCAATGGAAACTTGGTTGACAACTTCAAATAGCATCACAAGACTTTACAACAGTTACTAATGTAATGTGGCGTTTGGCCACTAGTCACTTCGATGGAGTGGGTTAGAAAGACAGCTTTAAAAAAAAAAAAAATTCCAGTTTGTTAGAAATGTTTTTTATTCAAAACTGAGAAATATCAGCCAGAAGAGGGAGTAAAAAACAAAACAAAGATTTCCGACCGACCAATGTTTTTAGCACCTAAAGGGCAATACATCTTTTTTTTTTAGGCCTAACTACGATACAATTATGTTATCATGGTAATTTAGGGATATATCAAATTATTCAAAAATATATTCATATGGACGATAGTCGGTGGATTAAACCATGGACTAAAGTTAGTCCGCTTTACAGAATACCCGTACTTTGTAAAACAGCTAATATGGAAGCAGTAGGTGTCTTACCCATCTCGCAGAGCACACCAGCGTATCCAATAGGGCATTCACAGGTGGCCGAGGATGTGGCGTCGTCTAGGAGACACATACCACCATTCTGGCAGGGGCAGATGTCTGTATACAGAAAAATAGGCAACATCAGTATAAAACATTCAAATAAAAGATACAAACTACAAATCTTTGCTTTTGCACATGAAAAATAGGTGTATAAGAGCAAAGTCGAGAACAAATTCCATAGTCGATATAATTAATTCAATGGCATGCAAACTTAATGAATGATAATTTTTGCTGATGCCCCACCAGGCTGTCAAGGCCTTCCATGAAAGAGCAACTAGATGTTCCAAGTTGTTATCAATGACGAGTTACAGTAACTGCTATATTAAGCTACTGAAATCATTACATTTGATTTGATTTCCTTACGTTCTTTTAGTTCTTTAAGACCTCTTCGATCATCAACCTTGCAGTTAACCCTTGGACCTCGTTCTGTTACGAAATATAGCGATCAATCTTTTTCAGTAAATGCCCCTATCCTTTGGAATAAATTACCAGCGCATATTCATAATACTCATTCTCTTGACCAGTTTAAGTCCTTACTGAAAACGCACCTTTTTAATTCATAAATGCTATTATGCAGTTGTGAGTCGGTCAAAAGAGGTGCACACCATTTTATTCTTTGTTTGTTTGTTGTTTTGTTTGATCTTATGTTTGACCTTATGTTTGATCTCATTTTAATTTTTGTTATTATATATGCACGATTTATCATTGATAAAAAGGTTTTATGAAACAAGGCCCATGTCTGATGGATGAACGTCCAAGATAGAAAGAGGACAGGTTCTTACCGCTAAGGTCGAGCATCTCTGCTTCTCTCCTCCTCCTGCCGTTGGCGATACACAGGAATCGGGATGGGATGTAGAAGCACTGTTCACTGGGAGCGCATGGGTTGCTGGAACACGGGTTGGCACCAACTGCAAAAACACACAAATACATGACAATGATTATGATAATACAGTGTAACCTGTACATAAAGACAGCTCAAGGGAAACATGAAATCTTATCTTTAAAGACAAGTTGTCTTTATGTACAGGTTTGACTGTCATAATAATTTTGCCTGTTCCTTTTGAAGCACTTTACCATTAGCTGACCAAAGTGCTTACAGTATCATTATTACCCAGGTCACTGGATTCAATTACTATTCTGCACATTAAAGTGCACATTCTTCACTCTCTTGGAAGCATTCCTTTTTAGAGTTAATATGCCCCTCAGAGCTTGGGTCGACCAAACGTCAAGTGAACCAATAGTTTGGATGTCAAATTACGTTCACAGCTGCCTAATACTTGGTACACCTTTAACAGGGCTCGATCCACACCAATCTTTCTGGAAGGGGTTCCGAATTGATCCTGTATGCGAGACCCCTATGTATAAAACTGGAATTTTTGGGAGTCCAGATTCAGATTTTGAGTGGCCATGTGTCCCGGGTGCATGTTGGTGTCGAGCCCTGCCTATAAAGACCCATATAGAGAAAGTGGCACTTAAGAGAGGTGGCTGCTAAGCCAGATTAGACTGTAGTGTGGTTACAGACATGGGGTTTACCTTGGACTTCAAATGAGAAACTACAGCTTGCTGTAAGTCCTTGATCATCGCTGAAGGTGTAGGTGACGGTGTTCACTCCAACAGGGAACTCATCTCCTGGTAGGTTGGAGGAGGTCGATGTGACGGATCCAGAGTCGTCCGTCGCAGTGGGTGGAGCGAAGTTGACAATGACGCTGTTGGAAGCGGGTGCAGTGAAATAGATCTGTCCATTATTGGGGCAGAAGGTGACGATTGGTGCGGAATTGCTGGTGCCGGAGGAGACGACCACGTTGAAGCTGCAGGAGGCATCGTTACCGAAGTTATCGATAGCGGTGTAGGTAACCAAGGTGGTGCCGATTGGGAAGGACGAGCCCGACGGGAAGTTGCTAGAGACAGCGGGGACTCCAAGGTTATCTGTCGCAGTGGGAGGAGTCCAGGTAACGGCGGCGAAGGATGAGCCAGGGTTTGCGGTGGCAGAGATTCCGGTAGGGCAGTTGAAAAGTTCTGGTGGAGTCACATCAACAAGTGCCTCCTCTGAAAGACAGTAATGTTTAGAGAGGATTGTTAGTCTTGCAGATCTGGCCGACTAAGGAGATGTACGGTACCAACAATCCTTATATGAAACCCAATATGTACTTTCTACTCAGAAATGATAGTTTTTATCAAATCAAGTTGCCATGTCCTGGTAAATTGAAGGTAGAGATATGCTCATGTAACAGCTGATTCAATAGACTTTCGGTAGCAAGAATACACTTGAATAGGGCACACATAGAACCAAAGTTGGACTTCAGTATCGTGCGCACTCCGTTCTATGGGTTTGTTTGTTACACTTTGTCTTCAAAGTCATACTCCTTTATTCTGTAAAATACCTAGAAATTTTTGTTTCACTGATCTTATATATTCCAGCGATGCATAAGATTATCTTTTTTTCCGGTGATTGGTACACTTTAACACATGTATATGTATCCAAGGTTTCTAAAATATTCAACAGTTTTGCTTCTACCTTTCTTTCCTTTCACCCACACTCTCCTCCAAACACAAGTTCCGACCTACCTGAGACGGTGACAAAGAAAGAGCAGGTTCCAGTGTTGCCGCTTAGGTCTGTGGCGGTGTACACCACGTTAGTGGCTCCCACGGCGAAGAAAGATCCAGGGCTCTGAGAGACCACACTGTTGGCTACACCACTGTTGTCCACAGCAATGGGCTCGGTCCAGGTGACGGAAGTTCCACTGCTACCGAAGGGGACGGTCACGTCGATGTTGCTTGGGCAGTTGAGGAAGGTTGGTCGAGTTCCGTCCGTTCCTGGATGAATCATAATGAAGCAAGAATATCTCTTTAAATGGCATATCGCCTTTACACTTTTCCCCCTATCAGTACTAAGCATATGTCTATGTGTCTATGGTACCAACAAAATAATTATAATTAATGTCTCCTTTTAACTCCTACCAATTACACCCCATGGTTCTGTCTTTCTAACGACCCAACCCTATGCTAACTTACATATCTTTTGCATGCACAGAGTTGCAATTACTATAAAACTCAGTTGAGTTGCAATACATTTTACAGACAGATGTATAGCCTCCTCCTAAACATGTTATGCAGTGGAGTTTACTTCTACTAGTGCTCCTAAATTCATATAAGACAGAGCCTAGATTTCGTCTCTGCGTTTAATGGAAGCTTACATACCGGTATTGACAAAGATATTGAAGGAACATTCTCCAGAGTTGCCGAGGAAATCGGTTGCTGTGTAAGTGACGGTGCTGGTGCCAATGGCGAAAGAGGAGCCAGAGACGAAGTTGCTGGTGACGGTGGCCACACCCGAGGCATCGGTAAAGATGGGTTCGCTCCAGGTGGCGACGGCAGAGCTGGCTCCTACTGCAGCATTGACAGTCTGGGACGTGGGGCAGTTGGAGGTGACTGGGCCAAGGTTGTCAGTAGCACCTGTAAAGTAAGGGTCAATAGTGAATGAATGAGTTGGTGTCCCTGGAGGTTCATGTGGTCAAATAGTGTAATGTCACATAGTCACATGGGTTTTAGTACAGCGCAGGTCAGGGCCCCTGTCTAGTCCTCCAATCAATCCCATGTTTTCAGTCTCCCATCTCTTGAGTACCATTGATATCAACTCTTTATAAGACGGTGCCCTGGTCAGGTTATCTACAATTATACCTGCTACTGGTCAACCTGTAAGCCAGAACAACCTGTAGGTCAAGTCATCTGCTACTAAGCCTTGAACCCCCACCAGTCTGGTGAGGGGGGAATACAGGACGGACAGGTTCCATGTGAGCCAAGGATCATCCTCCTTGGAAAAGATTAAAGCCTTACCACGTAATTATTTACAATACTGTGCTATGCACAGACTCGGAAGAAGATGGATGCCCATAGACGCCTACCCCGAATGAATGTAAATAGTAAAAGGTACATGTAGGTATTCGCAGGAGAGCACAACACACTTTGGACATGCCGAAGAGCTACTTAAGGGCAGAAATTGCTGACAAATCAACATTTACTGACCTATGACTGTAACAGAGAACTGGCAAGTGTCTTGGTTGCCTGAGCTGTCCGTAGCAGTGTAGGTCACCGTGCTCACGCCGATCGGGAATACGGTTCCGGAGCTGAAGTCACTATTGATCGACACGAAGTCACCAGAGTTATCAGAAGCAGTCGGTGCTGACCATGTAGCTACAGCGCCTTGGGCATTTTGAGAGGCAAATACGGTTTGGTCTGAAGGACAGTTGGACAGGACTGGAGCTGTGTTGTCTGAGGAAAAACAAACAGTTTATGAAAATAATATTAAGAGCTTTGCCACACATGCAATTATGCACAAAACAGGTACGAAATGAAAATCAAAGACTATTGTGAATTTGCTCCAGAATAGGTTTAGTGTTAGGTTTCTTTGCTCCAGAATTAAGGTTTAGAATTATGTTAAGGTAGCGTAGCGAAATGAAGTGGCATGAAAAGAGTGTCCGGAGCGCAAAATGCATAATTGTTGAAAATAATCAGTTTATCACACAAAGGTAGAACCACATCTTGGGGGTATTGAGCTGATAAATACATGTATTACCTTGATTTGGCTTAATGTTACCTATCATGCCTCCTGCATTGCAGATGCATCTTTTTGTGCCCCTCCATTTCACTAAGCCACCTAATGTAGGACATTACACATGGTGGACTTGTAAGAGTACATGTGTTAAGGAATTTACTGTAGTGCTTTGTCCACACACCATTTCTGCACTATATGGCACTCATTGCAGCCAATAATCTCACTTACATCATCCCAGTATCTTCCTGAGGGAGCTGTTAGGGATTACTCCATCAAGAATCAATTACAGGAGTCTCTACAGGACTTACCACCGGAAGACAAGACAATGATGTCGAAGCTGCAGGTGACAAAGTTCCCAGTGGGATCGGTAGCCGTGTAAGTGACCTGGGTAGATCCAATAGCGAAGGAACTGCCTGGTGGTCGGTTGACCGTCAGGGTAGCGGAGCCAGAGTTGTCTGATGCCACAGGAGCAAGCCATGAAACCACAGTGGTCGAGCTATCAGGGCTGGCGTTGGCAACGATGTTGGTTGGACAGCCGTTCAGGACGGGGTTCTCCCTGTCGATGACCACTGTGATCAAGAAATTGGATAAAAATGATGTCAGATGTCAAACTGCTCACGAAACAGACTACTTAACTAGCAACATGTGGAAGAATTTGAACCAAACAGTTGCTGTAATAAAGTGCTAACGTCATAATCACTTGTCGTCCAGGTTACTAAATACTGGTTCTAAATAGAGCCTGTCTATGAGATTCACTGTAAAATCATTCAAACAACAAGCTAGAGCAGGGCAAATTTAGTGTTTGGCACTGCTGTGACCACCATATCATTTGTTAAGCACAAATTTGGAACCAGCAACCTTGACAACTTGGCCAGTATGACGTCACACATCGGTACTCTATACATAATGGGTAATTTCAAATGGCTTGCCAGCAAGGATTCACAATAATGTCGTACACACCAAAAATAAATATTTAGAATCATTAACCCATTGCTTACTGGAACCTGGTAGTCTCTGTGTTAAGTCTATGGGAATTAGATAATGCAGTAGTCAACAGGTTAAAGGAAGGACAATCACTAACCTCCACTTGAAGTGACAGTGACCTCAAAGCTGCAGGTCGAGTAGAAACCAGCACTATCGATAAGGTTATAGAAGACCAGGTAAGTACCAACGTCAAAGGAATCACCAGGCGAGTAGTTGCTGACTGCTGTGATGGGTTCTGAGGCATCGGTAGCGGTAGGGACGTCCCAGGAGGCCGTAGCACTGCTGGCACCTGACGCAGCCTGGACGAAGACGTTGCTGGGACAGAATGTGATCTCTGGGGCAGTAGTGTCGCTGCCGTCTGTGATGGAGGTCAAATTCAGATGAAATTTTATTTATTAATGCAATGAAAATTAGGCCCGAGATATTACATAAAGTGAAAAAGTGGGTTCAACAATGGACAAAGAACTTTATCTAATGTTCACTTAGTTAAAAGAACTAACCTTGAACCCAATTCCAACCCTAATCTTACTCTTACATTTCAACAAAATAAATTCTGGAGAAAAAATTTGTCAACCTTGAGAGATGTGTGTTGAAGGATATGTCTAAAAAGGCTACCTGTCTACAGTGGCCACTTCCTGTTTCCCTTTGGTGGGCTTAGACAAAATTGACCGTATCTATTAAAGCACGGGTCTATCCAAGCACCCGTTTATCAAGGGAAAGAAATTAACTCACCGGTAACATAGATTGAGAACGCGCAGGTGGCGGAATTCCCGTTGACATCTTCGAACTCATAGATGATTGGAGTGACGCCAAGCTGGAAGAAACCGCTGGGGCTGAATGGCCCGCCCACCCGGGTGACGGCACCAACAGAAGAGGTGGCGGTGGGTTCTTCCCAGTCTACGAAGGCAAAGGTTCCGAAGGGCAGAGATGCAGCGAGTGCTACAGGGCAGTTGGCGATTACAATGTCAGATCCTGGGACGACAACATTGGCTGAAAAGACGAGATGAGAAGATAATGTGAGCGGAAAGAGTAGTGATCTTAGAATACATGTTTACTGTCCGTTTGGAGCCACATAGGCATCAACTCTGTGTTACAGTAATGTCCTTAAGGCTACCAAAAAAATTGCTAATGGACGAGTGGATTAAGGCAAGGTATAAATTATTAACTAGCAAGTCTCTTCACTAGGTAACAATAACTTTGGTTGTTAATTTTTAGGCATAGGAGACAAACACCTACACAAGGATTCAATTCCAGAGTTTTGACTGCACTGTGACATGTCCTACACATCTCAGTTTGTGTACTATCCAAATTAAGAGTGACGTTATAAAAGGGGAATTTAGAAACTTGGGAACATATTGTTTAGGCATTATTTTGCCCTTTACAAATTATTAATTCAATTCAATTTCATGTAAGGTAAAGTAATATCTGTGTCTGTTGATAAATCATAACAAACCAGTTGACTAGCAAACTGTTTTACATTTTTAAAATTAAAACCCCAAAACTATGTCTTACAGGTTGTAATGGATTCCACAACGGACTGGCTCGAGCCAAAGTTGTTGAAAGCCTGGAGGGAGACGAAGTAGAGGGTGTCAGGTGCCAGGTTGCTGAAGGTATACCCAGTTGACCCGGGGGAGAGGGTAGCCGTCACGTCATTGGCGCTGGATGTGGTACCAAGACCGATGGAGTAGCCAGTGATGTCCCCAGAGGCGGCATCAAAGAAGACGACGACAGAGTTCTCGTTGGGGGAAAGGCGGATGTTGGATGGAGATGAAGGTGGCTGGCCTTGCTCTGTAAAGGCAGAAATTGATGTGAAAGAGATCAATTGATGATGCAATACACCAGGGGGCGTTTTACAAAACTTGTCATTAGTGACAAATGACAGTTTTTGTTATCAGCTACTGAAATCCTTGCTTCTGATTGGTTATCAACAGATTTGTCATAGATTTGTCATTGATTTTTGTCATTTGTCAATGAAAAAAAGCTTTGTGAAACGGGTTCCAGTTCGTAGTAAGCACATGGTACAAATAACCCTAAATATCAAAAGATCTTTTACACATGGAGAAGTCTTCCCACTTCACACATTTTAGACTTATTCAAGGCGTTTCATGAATAAATTTGTTTACCCTCTTGATATTACCACATTGATTTACAAGTTTAAAAAAGCTTCTTTTTTTGTGCAGCTTTTTACCACACCATGAAGCCTTACAAAGAGGTAAATATAGCACATACCTGGACTGGTTGTAGTCGATGCTGATACGGCGTTGCTAGGTCCAGTGTTGCCGTTGGCGGTCAGAGTGACAGTGTAAGAGGTAGCAGGGTTGAGGCCAGTGATCGTGTAAGAGCTGGAGGATTGCGGTAGGGTCTCGGTGTTGACAGTGGAACCACCGCTGACGGTGATCTGGTAACTGTTGAAAGCACCGTTGGGCGGCGACCAGGTTGCTGTGATGGTGCTGGTGCCAGGGGAAAGGTTTAGGTTAGATGGTGCAGGGGTCTCGTTCACGTTGGTTCCTGGAGAGAGAACATTTTTAAATAAAAAAGTCATCTTTAAAGGGAAAGTCTACCCCGATATTAATTTTGTTTCAATAGATGCAGGAATAAATGTTCTTGATACAGGGATTGAATAGAAACATCCTTGAGGGTGCATGATTGAATTCAAAATTTTCAAATGAATAATAAAATGGCAAATAAATCAATTAAGATAAATAACTTTAGGCCTACCAAACCGGTTGAATCTGCATTTGCGTGTCAAGCACAAGGTTGCAGATAAGGCATAGATAGAAAATACACTCCAATGTTTGGACTTTTCAGCAATCAAAGCAAAGTACAAATGTTAGAAATTTTAAATAATTAGTATACGTGTATTTCTGCTACAGAAAACAATTTCTTTTTCCTGGTATTCAACAAGTTAATTTTGATTGTTGATTTGATGAGAGTGTACAAATAAAACTGAAGTTTGAGACCTACCTGTAACAATGACATTGAAGAGGCACCTAGCTTCATTTCCTGCAAGGTCGGTGAATGTGTAGGTCACTGTCGTGGTACCGATCGGGAAGACTGCTCCAGGGCTGTAGTTGCTGGTGGAGCTCACGGAGCCGGACTCGTCGGAAGCAGTAGGGACTGTCCAAGATACGGAGGCGCCTGTGGCGCTGGCTGCGGCAAGGGCGGTGACGGCGCCTTCAGGGCAGTTTGAGATGGTGGGTGGCCTTACGTCACCTCCAGCTGCGAGAGAAAGACGAATGACAGAATGAGATATTTCTCATCAATTTAATCCTCGTCATTATCCAATATTTCTGTGAAAATGGAAGTTGAAGAATTTGCCCTCGAACACTTGCAAGTTGTGCAAGAGATAACTAACAGATATTCTTTAATCAGAATGTTACGAAACCAACTATTTTTCCTGATATTTTCCTCTCAAATTTGTAATTTCCCGACTTGGAATGAAAGGAAACTGATTTCATGAAATACAGTCCATCCCTTCTTAGTGGCAACCTCTCTATAAAGGCCATACGACTATAGAGGTGATGTAGTTGGTCTCACTTGGGAAAGAAAATGTATGTTGTAGAACCTGTCTATGAAGGCCACTTTAATACTCGGTTTCCCTTGTGTGACCTTAATAGACTGGTTTGACAGGTGGTTTGACAGGTGGTTTGACAGGAATAGTGGGGAAGAAGTACAACTTACAGACAACTTGCATGTTGAAGGTACAGTCACTGGTCAAGCCAGCGTTATCGGTGAAAGTATAGGTCACTGTGTAGGATCCTACAGCAAAGGACTGGCCAGGAAGGTAGTTAGAGTTGACTGATGGTGAGAAACCAGAGTCGTCGACGGCGGTGGGTGCGGGGAAGTTGACAACAACTTCGTCAGCACCTAGGGTCGAGTAGACAAGCGAGCCGGAGGGGCAGAAGGTGACGGTCGGGGACTGGTTGATGAGCTCAACTGTAAAGAACAAGAACAGGAGAGATCGGTCAAGTCAAAGACACATAATCTCTGCTTCTCAACTGAGAATTTGACACTTTTATTTGTCTAGCCAGTGTCATCAATCACTAAGAATAAACTTCAAATTTACAGACAGATTTCTTCATTAGTTTCTTTATAATCAGTGGCTTTTAGAGTCGCTGCATTTTGCTATTCTGATAGTGAAGTTTGATCAGGAAAGATCTAAGCACAGAAATAAGAGTGAATATCTTAATTTCTACACAAATAGAACATTTAAGATTCAAGGTATCCCTGAAGAATAGGTATGTACCTACTAACACATTTTACTGATACATTATGCTAATAAAAATATTTCTCACATGTTTCCCTGTCTAAGGGAAAGAATACTTACCAACAACCCTGACGGAGAAAGTACAAGTGTTCTGGTTTCCTGCATCATCGGTGAAGGTGTAGGCAACAACAGTTTCACCCACTGGGAAGCTCTGGCCAGGGCTGTAGTTGTTGGAGACCCTGACGGCGGTTCCGCTGTCATCGGTGGCTGAGGGCTCGATCCAGGATACCTGGGCGTTGGTGCTACCTCCGGTGGCCTGGGCGACTGTGGTGGATGGGCAGTTCTGGACGACAGGTGGGACGTTGTCGGTCTCTGTCACTGTGGATAGAAAGATTAAAAAGGGATGATGTATTGCCAAGTGTTTTTAATTTAGTTCAGTCATGCCAAATTGCTTCTGTGCCATGGGCAACACATCCCATCTAAGAATATATCAACGGTGTATGTTTGCACCAAGAAGAGTAGACTTTAACTCCTGATTAAGTATCACACAAATATTTCTGGCCAAAAGATGGGCAGTGAGCTTTACCAGCTGTTTTTATTTTTTTATTGTGTGAAATTTCGAACATGATTTTCTTAAATAAATGTGTACAATCAGGAATTTTCCACTTACATGTGACAGTGACAAAGAAGGAACATCTAGCCAGGTTTGCGCTGTTATCAGAGAAGACGTAGGTGACAGCGGTGTCTCCCAACTGGAAGAAAGATCCAGGGACGTGAGATCGCAGGAAACGCTGCGTGGTGCCGGCATCTGTAGCGGTTGGCTCGAGCCATGAGACTGAGATACCGCTTCCAGATGAGATGGTACGGGTGATGTCCTCGGGACAGTTGGTGATGGTTGGTGGTTCATTGTCACCTGTACATAGATGATGCAGTAGTTGGTCAAAATATGTGTGTGCCACAAGGTGCTTTTAAAGGACCTTTATATTATCATTTGTGGTCCCATAAATAAGGCATGTCTTCTTTCAAGAATTCTGCTTTACCATCCTGTCAAGAAGTTTAAATAGTCAGCCTCTCCATGGTGTAAATTATTATTCAAGTTGTTCAATTCAATGTATTAGTGGCTCCACATAAGAGGTTGATGGCAAAGGTCAATATCAAAGGCCTGCAACAACAAGACCGTTGTTACAAAAATGTATGGTTCGTGTCCAAATCACCAGTATACCAGTATTCATGCCATCCGAAAAATATGACAAAACTCTATAATAATCAGGGCCAGTGTCCAGTACAAAATACCATCTTCATACATAAATACACCTAAGGACCTTAGTTATGCCCACCTTTTTCTTTTTCACTCTCCATTCATATCCGAATAAGAAAATTGTGCAGCATTTTTAGCCGATTGCCATTTCATGAGGGAACAAGATGTAAAGCATGGTTGACTTACCCTGGGCGACCTCGCAGGTAGTTCCGAAGAAACCGGCTGGGCAGTCACATTCGAAGTAGGTGTTGGAGGGATTGCAGATACCACCGTTCTCACATGGACCACTGGCACATGGGTTGGCAGCTGGAAAATACAAAGATAATCTTATATCATTGCATGAATTTCAAGGCAACAGTACAGCATACTTAGCGAAAAAAAGAGCAAACTAGCTCCGATACGCCTCAATATTATTGAACAATTTCCAAAAGTGTTTTCAATCAATTTTTCCCTTTTGTATATGAATGTAGTACTAGCTTGATTTACGTCGTTGCTGAATGAATACAAGACAATTTAATTATTTTCCTGAACAGTGATTTCTCCTTTCTGAATAGAATCTTTTTCAAAATGGTAAAGATACAGAGAAGAAAAAAACAGAAAGCATAAAAAGAAACCAAGGGAAAACGGATAATATCAGGAGGTAAAAGAAAAGAATGTGAGGAAAGGAAAAAAAGATATGTAAGGAAAACAGAACAAAGTGGGATAAAAAAAGAGAGAAGAGGAGAGAGAGAGAGAGAGGAGAAGAGAGAGAGAGAGGAGAAGTGAGAGAGAGAGAGAGGGGAAGAGGAGAAAAGAGAGAGGAAGAAAGAGGAGGCAGAGAGAGAGAGATAGGAGGAAAGCTGTACTTACATGGCGTTTCACAAGTATGTCCAGTCCATCCAATAGGGCAATCACAATAGTAATCCATGTCCTGTGAAAAGCTCTGATACATGTTCTTACATGCTCCACCATTCTGGCAGGCCAACTCAGTACCAATGGTACATACATCCAATAATGGATTGGCAGCTGTAGAGAAAACAATAAAACGTAATGATTAATCCATTAAAACCTGCCTTCATTGGTCTAGGTCTGTTTGACTAAGGTCTATCATGTCTGTCGCTTTGTCACGCAGTGACACTCCTGGCACTATCCTGGCATTATTTTCGCCCGTCGTTCATAAATTAATACACTGCAGATACGAACAGCAAGACTTCAATAGATTAAAAATGATATAACCAAAGGAACCAAAAATATATAACAATGCACACAGAACCCAAGTAGAACTTGGGGTCTGCTTTATGCTAGCACTTACGCATGTGCCAAGTAGTCTTTTATCTTAATTGAGAGCATATTTGAAAACTCTCTTCACAGTAGTAATATTTGAAGCTCGTACATGTATTTCAAATAAAGTATTACGACATGGAATTACTAATAACATACAACACAAAATGTTTCTTTCCGATTGGTAGACTTTAATGCATTATTCATACACAAGTGTTGTATATGGTTTTTATGGCGCAGAGGAAAATATATTGATTTACTATTACAATTCAATAAATATGTAGCAACGAAAATAATAAGCAAATACTTTTGGTTTATGTTAAAATACAGACTAGAAGTAGAGGAAAATAAACTAAGACAACAGATGTAAATACTACTAAGTGGAGGAAGATAATTACTGATTTACAGGAAATATTATTTGATCTCATTTAAACATGTGATTAAGTATTAAGTATTTATGTATGATGTTATCTGGATAAATATTTATTTCAACAAAAAATAGAAAAATACACGTCTAATCCTGTCCTCTCTAGCTCTTGTGGTAGATTGGACAATGTCAATGCTTACCTGTGGTAGATCCACAGTTTGGTCCAGTGTATCCTGTCTCACAGATGCAGGTGTACTGGGGTAGATAGAAGTTAGTTCCGGTGTTGCTATCGTAGCTGTTCACACAGGTGGCTCCGTTCTGGCATGGTGAAGAGTTGCATGGGTCCTGACCTGGAGCGTTGGCTAGATTACAACAGATATAGTAGAAAGAATATTAGAAACTTGTTGGAAGAGAGGAAACGTTCTCAGATTACTGGGTTAAACTAAGAGCAAATGCAATGTACGTAAATTTTGATCCTCGATAATCAATGCCTAGTACAAAACCTGATAAGATTAACAAAACAATATGGGTGGTATTCCATACTCTTTTCATCAAAGTCTTTGGTAGATTATCTTTGTCATGAATATTGGAGGAAGATGAAACCAAGCATTCCAAAAAAGTATGAACTAAAATTTTTGTTTAGTCTGGACTTAGTCCTGGCACAATTTAAAGAACACCACCCTATATTGCTAGGTGGTTGCGTTCAGACAGAGTACCAAGGTACAACTGTCAGCATCTTACCTGTAGGAGTCTGGCAGTTGATTCCAGTGTAACCACTTCTACACAGACAGGTGTAGTCGTTGGAGTCAATGTTGACGCACGTGGCACCGTTGGCACATGGGAAGTTGTTGCATGGATTGGTGTTGACGATGGTGACTACAAAGAGAGGAAGGGATTTCAATTAGTTGAGCTTAACTTATTAAATCCAAATTGAAGAATTTATTATCCATTTGGTTTGATTTTAATAACTAACACATTTGGAAATTAGATCAATATAACCTTAGTCATTAACAGGTTAGTTCCAAGAAAAGTGTACATTGTAAAGTCTTATGCCTTTAGAAAAAGATGGGCAACATTGGAAAATATGTCCAAATGATTGAAAAAGTATAAACAGTGATAAATTGAGGGGAAGAGGGAGGGAGAGGAGAGAGAGAGGAGCAGGCAGGGAGGGAACAGAAAGAGGAGAGAGAGGGACAAAGAGAGGGACAAAGGGAGGGGAAAGAGAGGGAAGGGCCCTGAGAGGGGAAAGAGAGAGGGAGAGAAACAGACAAACAGAACTGTCAGACACTTACCATCCTCACAGTTCACCCCTGCGAATCCATTTTGACATGTACATTGGTATCCAGAGCACACTCCAGCAATTGCTGAGCAGACTCCGCCATTCTGACATGGGCTGTTCTCACATGGTGATGTGATAGCTGAGGAAAAATACAATGGTATATAATTTAAATATAATCATTAAGGAATATTGAGGAATATTGATCTTATATTGATCATGTTTAATAATTTGATTGTAACAGTAGATGGTGGCGTTTTAATTGTAATAAAAGATTTATTAGATGCCAAATCCACATGAAATCAGATCAAGGTGCATCAAAAGATGAAATATCACATAATTGTTAAGTAGGGCATTATCTACCTTCCCTATGCTTTCCAAACTATTACAACACTTTGACAAAACGTTTCTAAGTCAAATTCAAGAACGTTGAGCCAAGGTTTACTTACGATCTTCGCAGTTGAATCCAGTAAAGCATCCAACGCACTCGCAGGTGTATGAGTAACAGTTGTCACCCAGGACGTTACACTGAGCATTGTTCAGACATGGGCTGGGGCTGCATGGATCACGCACTGATGATAAACAAAAGTATACATATGTGAAGGGAATGGTTCATAAATAAAGTAAATTGTATAATATGCCAATATTGCAAAATTATTTTTCTCGTTCTAAAAACTTTTCTTTTCTATATTCAAACAAGGAATCTTACATTTCATATTTATTATGATAAAGCTATTTACTGTAACAAGCCTTGCAGAGGAGCATCAGATTCTCAATCAATAGAACGCTTAACTAATTAACATGTTCAAATTTTATGTATAATTTTGTAACGAAGGGGTTCTTAACGTAAAAGTTTCCTTGATGATTGCCTGACATAGCAAGAAGTAAACCGATCTATTAGGTACGAATCTAGAGGGGTTGACAAAGGTTCTTGATTAAGGCGTCGACATTCTTACCTTCATCACAGAGATCTCCAGTGAAGCAACCGGAACACTGACAGGTGTATTCAGTACACAGTTCTCCTACAGCCTCACAGGCAGCGCCATTCTGACACTGGTTATTGTCGCATGCATCTACCTCTGTACAAAGAACAAGGTGTTAAGATATGGTGTTAAAAGCCTACACTGGAGTGTTCGTACAACATCACAAGAACAGATTAAAGCATAACAGCAAACAATCTCTGCCAAGTTATGCTTATAATGGAAAGATCTTTACTCTTTATTCTATTTTTCTTTTCTTCTCAAATTCACTCTCCTTGTACGTCTCTAGAATCTCATACTATACTACTCCGTTTTCGCCTCTTATAATACCTTTTAAATTCAGACCTGGTATATTGTGTTAATCAGTACGGGAGCCTTTTCACATACAAGCTATGCTTTTTATTTAGGCTCCCCACAATGTGCATTGTTTTTGTGTGTGAAATCTATATGCTTGTACAAAAAAAAACTGTTTTCGATGTAAAATGTGGAACAAATCAACTTCAAACTTACTGGCCTGACAGTATTGTCCAGTGTAGCACAGTGGGCAAGAGCAGGTGTAGGTCAGACAGGTGTTATCATCCAGGACGCAGGCAGCTCCGTTCTGGCATTGGTGATTGTCACAGGCATCCACAGGCACGTCGCAGTAGACACCCACGAAGCAGGACGGACACTCGCAGAAGTAGCTATCGCAGGATCCCTCGTAAGCCATACAGGCGGCACCGTTCTGGCAGAGGTTGGCGTCACAGGCGTTGAGCTGGGTCTCGCAGTTGGTGCCGGTGAAGCACTCTGTACAGACGCATTGGTACTCGGTCAAGCTGTTGACTACGCAGGCACCACCGTTAAAGCAAGGGTTGGGTGCGCATGGAGTATCTGTGGTGGATAGGGAAATGGATTTAAACCACGTTCAAAGCTGATCTACACATTTCTTTGATTTTAGATGATCAATAGGAAGATACTAGCGATACTATGGAGTGGAGGTTTTTATCCTCACATGAAATGCAGAACAAGCGAGAGGTTGAAAATGATTTAGATTCCATCCCGGAATGTTAATTCTAACGGCAACCTGCACTACACATGTGTATAACCTATGACGACTGCGTGTATAAACGCTCCGGTCTGCACAATACCTATTTGAATAGGTAATCAAGCTTGAAAGCTTACACTCATACAACTATTATTAAAAAAAACAGCACTAGCATAAGCTTGTCAGTGTGATCAACATGAATAGAGATAACAGTGATAGAACTAGGTGGGAAGTGATCACAGTTACTTGCCGAGGACAACACCATGTTGTTGCCAATTTGAAAAACTAATCAAGCTTGTTTGATCGTACTGATCCCTCCTGAAATCAAATCTCACCTGTAAGGACAGTGACGCTGAAGCTACACGATGCTTCGTTGTTATTGGTATCGGCATAATTGAAGGTCACGACTGTGGTACCGACAGGGAATGCATCTCCGCTGTTGGCCGTTGACGACACAAGGTTGGTGGCGCCGTTGTTATCCGTCACAGTTGGCAGGTCAAAGGTTACGTAGGCATTGTCGACTCCTTCAAGGACAGTCTGTACACTGTTTTCAGGGCAGACCACGACCGGGGCAACGTCATCAACTGAAAGAAAGAATTAGTGCATTCATTAGTTAAGAAGGGCCGACCTGTCATTGGTTTAGCAAGGTTCTGCACAAAAGATATATCATAACCCAGTTCACACATGTCTTTAAGAATTGATGATATAAAAAACCAGTTGGGTGTGTTCACAACTGATGTCGGGAACCTGCCTTTTGAGAATGCAAAGTGATTCATGCAGGTGCTGTAAGCCCTTTGCACACACACACACACACACACACAAGTCCTGCGATTCATTTTTAAAGAAATGGCAATTGCATTTACATAGGAAATCGAAACATCTCTGATTTAGCTTCTAAATAATTATAATACTAACAGAATTTTAGTTCATTAAACGCTTCTAGTAAAAAATAAAAGCCAAAGTGGGATTCAAATCCTAGGGAGAAATGGTCTACTGAATAATAAGTGGAAGCACACAAAAAGGAAGATATAGTCGAACCTGCTTTAGTGACCACCTGTCTACAAAAACCACCTTTCTACAACAAGCACATTTTTTTTGTCTCCCTTGAAAATGGGTTTCTTATTGAAACATGTACTAAATGAACCTGTCTACAAAGGCCACTTTTTTGTGTTTCCCTTGGCCTGTCGCTGTAGACAGGTTAGACTGTAGCTTGTAGCAATGGTACTCACCGGCAATGACCGTCACAACGAAGGAACAAGACACCTGGTTTCCAGAGTTATCTGTGAAGGTATAGGTGACCTGGGTGGTACCACGAAGGAAGAAGCTGCCTGGGATGCTGCTGCTGGTCACAGTCGGGGCAAGGCCAGAGTTGTCAGTGACCACAGGGCTGGTCCAGGTGACTGATGAACCGGAAGCCTCCACTGGGACTTCGGATACAATGTCGGATGGGCAGGACAGGATCTCGGGTACAACGTTGTCAACTGGGTGGGTAGAAGAAACAGAGGGAGAATGGGTTATGTCCAAGCATGCATTTGTGGACTTCAGGAGGGGGTTTCACGAAACTTCATCAGTGACAAATTAAAGTTTTTGTTATAAGCTACTGAAATCCTTGCTTCCGATTGGTTACTCAGCAAATTTGTCGCTGATTTTTGTCATTTGTCATTGAAAAAAGGCTTTGTGAAATGCCTCCCAGCATGGTACACTGACGCTGAACTGCCACTTTATGACCTAATCACAAGGAAATACAAGTCAGCTTTTGCTGCTTGATATAATGCAATACAACAATACACAAGACCATGACACCTCTCTGTAAACTATGCATAATGGATTGTACAACTGAACCTTTCTCGACTGAATAAGATTTTGATAGTTACCTTCAGTAACGATGACGCTGAACTGACACGTATCGGTGTTGGAGGAAGGATCCTGATAGATGATGGTGACTGTCGTCCTTCCTGGTGGGAAAGAATCTCCAGAGGAAGCCGACTGAGACTGGACGGACGTCTGTCCGGAGTTATCCGACACCTGCAAGCTTGGCCAGTTGACTGGGGTCAGGGCAGTTCCAAGAGGGGTGTTGACGTTGATTACCGTTGGGCAGTTCTGGATGACAGGCTTCTCTGTGTCAACTACAGGGTGAAACAAAAAGGGATTTTAAGGCTCGTTCAGATATGACCCAGCAAAGCGAAGAGTATTTTGTATCACACAAAGTGTAATACATTTCACATTTCTGTATCATATATAACACAGCTCGGTAAATACACACAAGACCTTTTGCTATGCGCAGTTGCCATTCATTTACATGTTAAAATACTGGAGCAATAGCAAATAAGTTTCTAGCATCCAAATGTATGAATGAAATAAGTTGTAATCTACCTAACCTACTATGACGACAACACTGAAAAAGACTCCAACATGGTGAAATGCTGCATGTTTTATGACTGTAAAGGCCAGAAATCAATCTTACAATTAACATAACACGCTGGGTCTAAAAAAAATCATGTAACCGAAACCTACCTTCAATGACGGTGACAGTGAAAGAACAGCTTGAGGGGTTGCCGGCCTGATCGGTGAAGGTGTACGTGACGACAGTCTCTCCAGTTCCGAAGAAGGTGTTGGGTTGGTTGGAGATCGAGACAGTTGGCTCCTGGTTGGAGTTGTCCACCGCTGTCGGGACGATGAACGTGATGACGGTACCGCCGGAGTTGAGGGGTGTGGTCTCGGTGATGTCAGCGGGGCAGTTCAGGACGACAGGTGCAGTTGTGTCCTCTGTAAGAGCCAAATATTCAAAGTATGTTATTACTGAACTGTATATGGAGGGGTCAGTGACACAAAGACGTAACTCCATATTTTGCCAAAATGAGTATTTGATATCAAAATGTTCAGAAAACTGTTTATAAATTATGATTGCAGCGTGAGCTAAATCCCGGATTTTGTTTCAGTATCTGAGTATCTGTTCTACCTAGCCTGTTATATATACATATTTTGACTGAAATTTCGTACTTATTTTCTGTACATTATATTTGTTTATAAATATACATAGGGGCAGGGCTCATTCATACAGATAGAAAAGCTGCTTACCAGTAAGGATAATGACATTGAAGGCGCAAGGGTCGGCATCGTTTCCTGAGGCATCGGAGAAGATGTAGATGACCTGGGTTGTTCCAAGAGGGAAGGACTGGCCAACACTGTGGGTCTGCGAGCTGATGAACTGTGTTCCTGAAGTATCGGTGGCTGTTGGTGGACTCCAGGTGATAGGTACCTGAGTAGCCGAGTTGACCTCGATGGTGCGGACGATGTCAGCTGGACAGTTCTGGACGGATGGTGAAGTCGTATCCTCTGCAATTTAAAGGGGGTTTGTATTCAGTTTTAAAGTTAATGGGCACATAAATCAATATTTCAAATCACAAGTGGCCTCAGGTGACCATTTGGTAGCGGTTCTGGACGGTTCGTGGAGTCGTATCCTCTGCAATTGAAAGGGGGTTTGTATTCAGTTTTAAAGCCCCACTGCTTCTACTTATAGCTACTTGCGCCCTCTATATAATAAACATGCCTCATCGGTCCCGCATCTTAATTGAGAGCTGAACCACATGTCCAGTGAACTTGCAGGGTGGTCTAATCCCTCCTATACACTGGTACAGATGGCCTTTAAATTTAATGAACACAACTGTGTTGCACATAAATAAATATAGCAAAACCACATGTGGGCTCGTGGATGACCATTTGGTAGGAAAACTCCCAATAGAGTAGACACATGGTGCACATATTGTTTGCATGAATGAATCCGATGACTGGAATAATATAAGTGATGGCACCAACGACTGTTTAAAACTTCTACATGTACTTACCAGTATTGACTGTCACGGTGAAGGTGCAGGGATCAGCCAAATTGTTGGAAGCATCAACGAAGATGTAGGTGACGGTGGTGGTGGTGCTTGCGCCAAACTCATCACCAGGTTGTCTGGTCTGGGACTGGATGGTGGCGGTTCCAGAGATGTCTGTAGCAGAGGGCGTACCCCAAACGACGGGGGTAGAGGCGGTGCCGAGCTCGACGGTGACGGCGACGTCCTGAGGACAGTTCTGGACGGTAGGTGGTGTGGTGTCAACTGCAGAAGAACAGGATTAAAAATACATCGGTCAACTTCCTGCATTTTTAAAAGTTGGCCTTCCACTAGTACTTAAGCTGTCAGGACTTAACTGACAACATTACAAGTACAAGTTCATATAAGAGACTATCCTAAATTTCTAACAGATGCATGTAGCATTTCTTCATTGGACATTGTTGAGGTTTTGAGACGTACAACCTATGTCTTAGCATTCGTATCTACATTTTCTAAAAAACTTGGAACTGTAAAATGAATTTAAAAAAAAAAGATTACACATAAAATTGTGACTAACGGCTCAAAGCATTGAAAATATCCAATGATGTATAAAAACGTTGCTCTTTACCTTACCTGTGTAAAACTCATTTAACCATCATGTTACCAAAAGAGCAACCCATTACAACATGTACCTGTCTAAATGCTACAGAAAAAAAAGCTATGCTTTCCAGTAGGTTCAAGTTTCATGTCATAATTTTGAACTTACTTTGTCAACTATGTTCTTTATTGTGCAAAAAATTGATATATGAAATGGAATAAAATCAATCAATCAAAATTCTGAATATCTTACTTGTATTCACAGTGATGAGGAAAGAGCATGCAGGAGCCACGTTTCCAGATTCGTCGGCAAAGACGTAGGTCACCGTGGTTTGACCAACGGGGAAGATATCACCGGGATTGTTGGAGTTGCTGATGACCGCCTCGGTGCCAGAAATATCGGTTGCGGTGGGGACCTGGTAGAAGACCTCCACGCTGGGGTTCCCAAGCTCGATGGTGCGTGTGACGTCGTTGGTACAGACGACGGTAGGATGAGTGGTGTCATCTAAAATAGGGAAGGAATGAAGGCAGATATATTTATTTTGTATGAAATTGAAAATCCACAAAGACAGACAAATACTGCATATAATAATATCGGATATTTATATAGCGCACATATGTATATCCACCATGCAAGGTGCTCAAGGCGCTCTAATATTACCCCGCTCTGCTAGGCAGCCGATTTCGGCGCTCACAGCATTCAAGGAATTCCTTCCTACCGGTACCCATTTAACACCTGGGTGGAGAGTGGCAAATGTAAATTAATGTCTTGCAAAAGGACATTAGTGCCGCGGTGGAACTCGATCCGCGGACCCTGTGATCAGTTATCAGTCCTATGACTTATCCATTAGACAACAACACCTCATGGAAGATAAGTAATCATTCATTTTTGATGTGCACAGGGAAGTATTCTATTCAAGAGGTGAAACATTATTCATGGAATACCTCCATCACTTTGGGAATGATGATTCTAAGAAAGGATTTCTCCTTGTTCAAAACATCTGTGAATTGGGGGGGGATGAAAAGCAAGAATCTGCTACTTACCAGCGATGATGGTGATTACGAAGGTGCAAGGGTCGGCCTCGTTGCCTGCTCCATCGGCAAAGATGTAGGTAACGGTGGTCTGGCCAACGGGGAAGAGGTTTCCTGGAGAGTGGGTCTGACTGGTCAGAATGGCCACACCAGAGATGTCTGTAGCAGTGGGTTCCTCGTAGGTAATAGGTACCGACTGGGTTCCAAGCTCCACACTCTGGATGATGTTCATGGCGCATGTAACATCAGGTGGAGTGGTATCAACTGGAATATAAAGATTCAGAAGTTTTAAAGTCACACTGTCATACTTGTAGCTACTTGCTCCCTCTATATAGAAAACTTCCCCAATCGGTGCCTGTTGGTCACCCATGATCCTCTTTTTCTTATTTTCATTGAGAGCTGATTTGATGAGATAACCACCTGTCAGTAACCTTGCAGGAGGATCTAATCCCTCCTGGCCAAGCTAGTGCAGATAGGCTTTAAGATGTGTTTGATAAGATGGTGGTTGCAGTGGTGTTGGCAACATACTACCAAGCTTTCAGAATATGGTGGCTATTTGTTTTGTTTTGTTTATTTCCACTTTTTCATATCAATACAAAGAAACATACAAATAAATATGATGAATAACATGTAAGTTTGACAAAATTTGTTTCAAGTTAAAATAAATAATTGTTTATTACACAGTATCAATTGAATCTATTTCTACTATTGTCTGATTATAATGTATCGCTTTGTGAATATAATTTATGGTCCCCTTGACCCAAGGTTCAATGATTTGCATCCGTTTTGTATTTGCATATGCTTTTCTTGGAATTTGAATATTTCTGATTTAAATTAAAATACAACTTTGTATTTAAAATCCAGCTTATTGGTTGCAATAAATAGAAAACTTACCAGAGAAGATAGTGACTGTGAAAGCACAGGAGGTATCGGTCAGTCCACTGTTATCTGTGACAGTGTAGACGACCTGCCTGGTCTCGCCCACGGCGAAGAAGGTTCCGGACTGGATGTTGGGGACGATGGATGCGATCCCTGAGAGATCCATACCAGTGGGTGCGGTGTATGTAATGACTCTACCGGTGGTTCCAAGCTCCACGGATTGGGAGATGCTGGAGGGGCAGTTTGTGACCGTGGGTGTAGTCGTATCGGCTGGATTGTGGGAAGGGATAATACGTTTTTATAAGATGAGGTGGATCCTAACCAAATGATTGGTTGAGAGCGTACACGTGACCAGGCATTTATTTTGCCTAACCCGTAATTTTGATAATAACCGGTCATTGGTAAAATCATGTTATAAAATATAATTTCAAATAATAAACATTTTGTTCGGGGAGATTTTGATAATAACCGGTCATTGGTAAAATCATGTTATAAAATATAATTTCAAATAATAAACATTTTGTTCGGGCATTAAAAAAATTATCCACACTCGGTACCTTCAAAACAGTCCAAACACCCTCTGCAATCGCCTCTGGCATGTTTAGACTGTTCCAAAGGTACCTTGTGTGGGTAATCCTTACTAATGCCCTCACTGTGTGTATTATTTGTATATTGTATTCTTCTCATTGAACAGGTTCTATTTATGAATATTGGTAAGACAATAAAAAAATAAACTACTCACTGGCCGAGATGGTGACAGTGAAGATGCAAGGAGGAGCATCATTGCCACTGGGGTCGGAGAAGATGTACGAGACGGTGGTGGTTCCGATGGGGAAGGCATCACCTGGGGCGCTAGTACGGGAATCCAGGAGAGGCTGGCCAGAGATGTCGGAGGCCGAGGGCTCGGAGTAGAAGACAACCAGACTGGGGGTTCCAAGCTCCACGTTTCGGAAGATGTTATCTATGCACTGGACAGTAGGTGGGGTCGTATCAACTGTGACACAAAGAGAAAATTTATTAATTAGTCAGGGCTTCTAAACAGGACACATGGGGCCCAGAATGGTCCAGACCCCAAATACATAGGGCTCATGCATGCAGAGTCTCATGCATGCAGAGTCAATTTAAATAAATAAAGTTAATGTGCAGTCCTATATCAACGCATACAATAGTGACTTTTTTATAACTTACTCATAACCTGAAACTATACACTTGCATTAATGATTTTAAAGTTTTTTATGAAAAGCAACGTATTCCTAAATTGGTGAAAGCAAAAAGATTCAGAATCCTAATTTCTATTTTTTTTTAAAGATGAGTGCTGATGCTAACTCTAAATAAACGGATCTCAATTTGGCAGTGAAATAATAATAGATTTGAAAGGCACCGATTACACTTGAAATCAAATGCTGAAGGCGCACTTGTGAAACAAAACCCCCACAAAGAGATCACATAAAAGCATGATCTGCATCATAAACAAAGGAGGAGAAGTACAAAAAGAAACACAAAAATGACAGAACAATTAATTATATGCCAAATTAAACAGATACGTAATACAAATATACAGCTCCTTCTTACCAGTGTCGACAGTCACAGTAAAGGTGCATGGATCGGCCTGGTTGCCAGAGTTATCACCAAAGATGTAGGTCACTGAGGTCACGCCAACGGGGAATACATCACCGGACGACGCACTCTGGCTAAGAAGGTTCACCTGGGAAAAAATAGTTATTATCATAATTATTATTAATGCTACTCATTGCGGATATAGTATCCAAAATAATATTGCTAGTGACATTCGTTTGTCTCGCAATGTATGGTCAGCAAGGGATCTAAAAGATCACGACGTTTTGTGTGCCGCTGCTACACTTTGTCAGGTGGTATATTGTAAAGCAGGCGTGTTATTATTATTATTATTATTGTTGTTTAGTATTTGGTGATGCCTTTGACAGGAGGCGAAAAAGCGTATTGATTCACTTTGATCGCGTCTCTCCTTCTGGTTATAACTCACTAGGGGTGTGCAGGTGGACCACTACACCGGGGTTTCCCTAATCTCGTACCAACATTGTAATGGAAAGGTGGCGACAGGGCCTCAAGCAACCTTGACAACTTGGCCAGTAAGAAGTCGCACTTCGGTATTCTATTACAGGCACTGTGCACTGATGAAGAATCTGATTTCTACTATGATTCGATTTGATTTATTTATTTCTGTTTGATTTTCTTTTTCTTTTGCAGCTTTACATATATATATATATATATAACAAATAAAACGATAACAGATAAATCAAAACAATATGTGTAGAATAAAGTAAGGCTGGTTGTAACTAATAAAAAAACATCAAACAGGAGGGTTGATAAAGTAAGCAAAGTTTGATAGCATGACTACCCTCAATGGATACACAAATACAAATATGGAGGAAACAATATTGGTAAGAGAAAAAAATGGTGGAAGTTTGACTCACCTGCCCGGAGATATCCGTTGCCGAGGGTTCATTGTAGAACACTTCCACTCCGCTGTTACCCAACTCAATGACACGTGTGATGGCAGACTGACAGGTTACAGACGGAGGAGTAGTATCAACTATCAAAAATAAATTAAAACATGGCTAATTTAGCATGGAGTGGTCAATCTAGTGCTATAAGGTCAATGGTACACATGGTGGGAGTGGTATCCTGACAGGACTGCTCAATCTAGGTGTTATAGAGGAAATAGTAGTAGCAACAATAAAAACATCATGTTAGGTAACGTGTATTACACTTGTGAAGCCTAATGTTATTCACAGATATTAGAACCTTTCATATTTGTCATCTATTCCTCTAATCTAGATCTTTAATTTGTTTCATTGGTCATCATTCATTCACATATTTCTCTGCTTTTTATAGATCTTGATACTTTTCAAAGACAGATACAAAATCAGAGAACTTATGAAAATTTGTTCACATAACAAATAATATTGCATTTTGGACCGATTTGTAGAATGTTGTGCATACTAATGTAAAGCAAAAGTAAAAATGTAGTATTAAGCGCTATTCAAATGTGATTACAGTGGATCACGGTTATAAAGAGCTCAGATATAACAAGGTTTCTGTTATAACAAAGTGATTTTGCTGGTCCCAGCTCTTAATATTCTTGTTTTTTCAACCTGATAACAAGATTCACTATAAAACAAAGTAATTTCCATTGTCCCGAGGTTAGACTGTATTAGTATATTCTATGGTTCCATTTCTGAATAAGCAGCTATACTTTTAAAAGAGATGAAATATCACACGAAAGATATGCTGCGAATACAGATTGTTAACGCAGCGGTCATGATTACAGATTGGTCAAGCAACAGTCGGGAATAAGGATAAACACATAAGGTGTGAGCAGTCTTACCTGCAGTGACGGTGATGGTAAAGGTGCATGGGTCGGCTTCGTTCTGCGAGGCATCGGTGAAGATGTAGGTCACTTCCGTCGTTCCAACAGGGAAGAACTCCCCGGGAAGGTTGGTACGGCTCACCAGGGTAGTGGTGCCAGAGATGTCACTTGCGGTGGGCTCGGGGTAGTTGATCTGAAGCGAAGGAACTCCAAGCTCGATGATTTCATTGATGTTCGAAACACACACCACGCTGGGCGGGGTGGTATCAACTATAAGGAAATCGAATGCGATTGTGCAAATTTATTAGTACCGGCATATGGGTAATTTGCTCAATTATGGATGGATCTACATTTGCCACTCCATGCTCAGGAAAGCAAATATAAATATTCAACAAACCATGGCCAACACTGCTTTACCCTCAAAGCTCATGCAAGTCTGTTGAGTATTATTACAGACAACTGGCCATACCCCCATCTATTTTTCTCAGTGAAGGACGGGAAGAGAGCATACTGCACATAGTTGACGTTATCACAATTTAGAGTGCTACTCCTTCACCTCTTTGTGTAGTAAAATCATGGTGATATAGATAAAATTGTAACGGGAAGCAAGCTTATAAGAACTCAGTAAAAGAATCAAGTCTTACCGTCAATAACAGTTACTGTGAAGGTACAGTCAGTATTGGTGTTGCCATTGTTATCCGTCACCGTGAACGTGATCTGCTGGGGCATGTTGACGCTGAAGAAGGTACCGGACTGAACGTTGGAGGTAACGGATGCGATACCGGCAAGATCTGTCGTTGTTGGGGTGGTGAAGGTGACGCCGGTTCCAGTGATGCCAAGCTCAACGGTTTGGACGATGTCTGATGGGCAGTTCGTGACTGTCGGGTCAGTGGTATCGGCTGTGACGGGCAAGAACATATTTTATGATCATAGCTCAGTCCCTTTTTTTTCTCCTTCTCTGACATCTCATTGTTATAATTCATTGTTTCTCTTAATTACTGCCATTCATAATTTTGGTCTAAAGCTACATACACCAATACATCCAAAGAGTTGACTTTGCGAAGAAAGTTAAAAATTTAGCGTCAGAAATGAGTTTGGTTCCAAAACATGATACATCATACAAACATTTGAGAAAAAAAAGAAAACAAATTTTCTTTGGAAAATGTAGCAGAACTTACTGGTGGTGACTGTGACAGTGAAGACGCATGGATCAGCATTATTGCCACTGGGGTCAGTGAAGATGTACGATACAACGGTAGTACCGACTGGGAAAGAATCTCCAGGGGCATTGCTACGTGAGGAAAGGAAAGGCTGTCCAGAGATGTCCGATGCTGAAGGCTCCGAGTAGAAGACGACGGTGCCACTGGTTCCCAACTCAACGGTGCGTACGATGTTGTCTACACAGGTGACACTTGGGGGAGTGGTATCCACTGTATATGTCACAAGACAGAGGGGTCATCAACTTATATTCATCATTCTACCGATTAATGCAAGTCAATTTTGCCTATCTGCCTGGTTGCTCGTTTGTAACACATGCAATTTTGCACAAAGCATAGGCACCAATTGAAGGAAGATTACCTATTTTTAACACCATCTAATCTTGCTCTCGAAATGGTTTCTGTACCCCTATGATAAATACAATGTGGCCTGGCAAGATTAATTGAACGGCATATAAAGTGCTAAAAGTTGATGCAAGTGTTAAAAGTTGATGCAAGGCATAAACATTCGTTCAAAATCTGTATTAACAAGGTAGATGGTCCAAGGTCTACATTTTCCTTCGTTAAACTAAAACTTTGGGCCAGGTTCAACTAAATAAGCCAGTTCTTAGATAATATATGTGCATGGACAGAAAAAGGTCATTTGTACAAAACTGAAACCCATCAGACAAAATGCTGGATAACTGCTCAGCTGGAAGTGTTCTTTTCAATTACCTGCCAACCTTTCACAATAAAAAATAAGGATTACAAACCATTTTACACAATTTTTTTTGGAAAGAGCAGAATCTTGGGTTCATAACATTTAGTTTGAAGGCTAAAACATAATAGTTCATCCAGAATTGCAGCAATGTGTGATATGTACTAAACAAGAACAGAAAACTCCAGCAATACTAGATTGCATTCATGGTGGATACTATGCATACCTGTATCAACAGTGATGGTGAAGACGCAGGGGTCGGCCTGGTTTCCAGAGTTATCAGAGAAGATGTAGGTCACTGTGGTAACGCCAACAGGGTAGTTATCACCGGGTGCTGCAGTCCTGGTCACCAAGTTGGCCACTCCCGAGATATCAGAAGCAGTGGGTTCGGTGAAGAAGACGGGTACGCTTGTGGTTCCAAGCTCCACGGTGCGCGAGACACTGTTCGTACAGATAACCGAGGGCGGTGTAGTATCCTCTGTTCGAAGGAGAAGACCCAAAATTCATATTATTAGGATAGTCAGGTTTCCATGTGTAGTAGGATCATAATTCGCTGAAATCAGACTTGTTTTTAATACCATTAATAGGTGTACAAGTCTCACACAAAGCAAACCTGTGGTCCCATCTTGGGAGAGTCTTCAGGTGAGGGAAATGTAAGGCCTGTTGGTCATTAAACTGTAGGGCAAAGCTTATCCTGGTGAATGACAACACCTGTTCTTGGGTAACATCCAATTTAGGTCAAATATCCCATGACAGCCCACTACTAAGGGTTGTTTAGGTAACTTAGCAAATTGTGGCACAAACATACGGGTCAGACACAGAAAATGCATAATACTCCATGACATCTGTTATGAAAAGTTGTAATTTGGCATGCCTTGATGACAAATTTTGGAAATATCGAGTATTAAAGCAGAGAGAATATAGAATTTTCAACAATCATGCATTTACAGTTATGGACGCATCTTTTTGTGCCACTTCATTTCCTTAAGCTACCTAAGGTCATATAATCTTGTGACTTGATGTAGCCCACAAGAAGTATAATAAAGAGTACTTACCTCTAAGCCCACTGGGCATTGCTAACTTAAAATTGGCTGGAAAGTACGAGAAACTACAATAAAAACGCGATGGTCTCAAATGAATGAACTGCTAATGTTTGACCCACCACTTGATTAGGATCTAGGAGCCAGTTGCACAATACAAAAGAGACAAATGTGGAGACTTTCTCTGTACCAAAGTCTGGAGGCATACCTTATGGCTGATGGAACATGCAGAACTATAAACTATATTCATGGATATATCACGTTTTCAAAACAGATGCAGTCACTCATGACCGAACGAACGCCGTCACTTACGAGCTGTAATTGTGATAGTGAAGGAACAATCATCCGCAGTGTTTCCAGAGTTGTCAGCAAAGACGTAGGTCACTGTTGTGGTTCCAACTGGGAAGGATTCTCCTGGCGTGTTTGTCCTGCTTAAAAGGTTGGCCTGGCCCGAGACGTCCGAGGCGGTGGGCTCAGTGTATGACACTTGGACGCTTGCCGTGCCAAGTTCAACTGTCTGGACGATGCTGCTAGTACACACCACAGAAGGCGGTGTGGTATCAACTGGATATCAAAGAAAAAAAGTCATGTCGACGTGGTTCTTTTCTTTTAGGCAGTCGAATGCATCATCTGAAAACACGGCTTTAGCATTCGATAACTGCAAAACCAGAAACTTTCGCAAGAACAAAATGTTTGCAAATTTCGCGACCGGTACGGACAGCGTTCAGGCCAGGGTTGCCAATGACCAATCGATTACCATGGAGCGATTAACGCAGGAGCACGTGTCGCACAACCCGATCATGAGAAGGAAAAACTATGAGTACGAGAGAGGAGCTAAGACTTCAGAGAAGGACAAATACAAGTGCAACATGACATGCAGCTGAGCTTAATTCCGACAACGTCGTATTAAGACTTGACAAAACAGGATATTCTGGGACTAACAGATGTGCACAAAATCCAGAAAAGTAAGAACAGATTCATACAAGGACAGTTGAAATGTGAAGAAGATGCATGTACAGATGACAGCGAAAAAAGAAACAAAATCCATGGCTCATCACCACAGAGCAATTGTTGCAGGAGCATGTGCTGTACGTACAACCCGATTGCAAGATGGAAAAAAGAGTAGCAACAATGAGAGACGGACGAGCAGAGATTTCACAATAGGACAATTTTGATGAAAAAGTATCATGCTAGACAAAACAAACACCAATTACACTATTACATGAGGATATACTGTCTAAGAGGTTGAAAGAAACGTGAAAGAAAAAGATTCATGTACGAATCGTACACACAACTACATGTAAGAGAATTTGAAAGAAATCAGCAAGATCGTGCAATCATGCGTCAATAGAAAAAAAGTGGGACAAAAAGGTGCAAGACATTTACCTTCTATTACATTGACTGTAACAGTGCCAGTGGCTGGGTTTCCGGACGGGTCACGGAAAGTGTAGCTCACAACGGTCTGACCGACTGGGAAAAAGTCTCCAGATTGTGCGGTGCGGGATACAAGATTGGCGGTGCCAGAGATATCAGTTGCCGTAGGTTCCTGGTAAACTACGTTGACACCCGAGGTACCGAGCTCAACTACACGGGTGATTGTACTACTTGGCACAGTTATGACAGGAGGAGTAGTGTCAACTAAAGATGATAAGAGGGCATGCAAGAAGTGAAAGCAAGATGGATCATGAGAATAGAAAATGTTTATAGCTAAGGATGATATATATTACTGATGATCATAGGTTATTTCATTGTAGAATAATATAAAAAGCGTGTGTATATACATAGCGCAAGAGCAACCTTCGAGTGCGCGCAGTACAAAATGAAGCATCCGTCATAGAGTGATTTTGAAAAACCGAAACGAAAGCAATTTTTGACACCTGGTTTACCGAGTTCAACTACGCGGGTGATTGAATTGCTTGGCACAGTTATGACAGGTAGAGTAGTGTCAACTAAAGATGTTTAAGGTGCATGAAATAAGTGAAAGCAAGAGAGATAATAAGTGAAAGCAAGAGAGATGATAAGATAGAAATATGTCTTCAACAACAAATTACGAGAGAATCAATGATATCAAAAAGGTGCTAGACTTTTACCTTCTACAACATTGACAGTAACAGTGCCAGAGGCTGGGTTTCCTGAAGGATCTTGATAAGTGTAGGTCACAACGGTCTGACCAACTGGGAAAAAGTCTCCAGGTTGGGCGGTACGGGATACAAGATTGGCAACACCAGAGATATCACTTGCCGTGGGTTCAGGGTAAACTACGCTGAGTCCAGGAGTACCGAGTTCAACTTGACGGGTGATAGTATTACTGGGCACGGTAATAGTAGGTGGGGTAGTGTCAACTGAAGATATTTAAGGTGCATGAAATAAGTGAAAGCAAGAGAGATGGTAAGATAGAAATATGTTTTCAACAAAAAAGTATGACAGGATCAGTATTTTCAAGTTCAGGGTGATAATGAAATGCACACAAGAGCAACATGAAATGTTATTCAGAAGGACAAAAAATGAATACAGACAGCTGGTTTGCATTCAAAGAAATCGTTGACAATTATGTTAATGAGAAGCAGAATGCAAAAAGGTGCTAGACTTTTACCTTCTACAACATTGACAGTTACAGTGCCAGATGCTGGGTTTCCAGAAGGATCTTCGTAAGTGTAGGTCACAACGGTCTGACCGACTAGGAAAAAGTCTCCAGGTTGGGCGGTACGGGATACAAGATTGGCAACACCAGAGATATCAGTTGCCGTAGGTTCAGGATAAACTACGCTGAGTCCAGGAGTACCGAGTTCAACTTGACGGGTGATTGTATTACTGGGCACAGTTATAGTAGGTGGGGTAGTGTCAACTAAAGATGTTTAGGGTGCATGAAATAAGTGAAAGAAAGAGAGATTGTAAGATAGAAATATGTCTTCAAGAACAAACTATGACAGTTTCAAGGAGTTGCAAGTTCAGTGTGATAATGAAATGATATTCAGAAGGACAAAAAATGACTATTTGTCAACATAAATATAACTAAAAAAGAAACAAATTTTCAATTACTTTTTAGGAACAGAAACTGGTGTGGATTGTACAGAAAGCCGATTTGAATTTCAAAGAAATCTATGAAAACTTTGTTAATGAGAAGAATGATACAAAAAGGTGCTAGACTTTTACCCGTTTCAACATTTACAGTAACAGTGCCAGAGGCTGGGTTTCCAGAAGGATCTTCGTAAGTGTAGGTCACAACGGTCTGACCGACTGGGAAAAAGTCTCCAGGTTGGGCGGTACGGGATACAAGATTGGCGGTGCCAGAGATATCAGTTGCTGTAGGTTCCTGGTAAAATACGCTGACTCCAGGAGTACCGAGTTCAACTTGACGGGTGATTGTATTACTGGGCACGGTTATAGTAGGTGGGGTAGTGTCAACTGAAGATGTTTAATGTGCATGAAATAAGTGAAAGCAAGAGGATGAAAAGATATAATTTGTTGTTGAAAACATATTTCTGAAAGGATCAAGGATTTTGGATTTCAGAGTTATAATGAAAAGCACACAAGAGCAACATGAAATGTTATTCAGAAGGACAAAAAAATGAAAATTTGTCAACACAGGTCTAAAAAGAACACAAATATCACTAAAAAAGAAACACACAACTTCAGAAAATACATTATTACTTAATTTTCAGGAACAAAAGAAGTGTGGATTATAGAGACAGCTGCTCTGAATTTCAAAGAAATCTATGAAAACTCTGTTAATGAGAAGAATGATACAAAAAGGTGCTAGACTTTTACCTGTTTCAACATTTACAGTAACAGTGCCAGAGGCTGGGTTTCCAGAAGGATCTTCGTAAGTGTAGGTCACAACGGTCTGACCGACTGGGAAAAAGTCTCCAGGTTGGGCGGTACGGGATACAAGATTGGCGGTGCCAGAGATATCAGTTGCCGTAGGTTCCTGGTAAAATACGCTGACTCCAGGAGTACCGAGTTCAACTTGACGGGTGATTGTATTACTGGGCACGGTTATAGTAGGTGGGGTAGTGTCAACTGAAGATGTTTAAGGTGCATGAAATAAGTGAAAGCAAGAGAGATGGTAAGGTAGAAATATGTCTTCAATAAATTATGACAGGATCAAGGAGTTCCAAGTTCAGTGAGTTGATGAAATGCACACAAGAGCAACATGAAATGTTATTCAGAAGGACAAAAAATGACTATTTATGTGTCAACACAAGGCTAAAGAGAACACAAATATCACTAAAAAAGAAACACACAACTTCAGAAAATACATTTTCCTCATCTTTTACGAACAAAAGAAACTTGTGTAGATAGTACAGACAGCTGGTTTGAACTTAAAAGAAATCTATGAGAGCTTTGTTAATGAGAAGAATAGACTTTTACCTGTTTCAACATTTACAGTAACAGTGCCAGAAGCTGGGTTTCCAGAAGGATCTTGGAAAGTGTAGGTCACAACGGTCTGACCAACTGGGAAAAAGTCTCCAGGTTGGGCGGTACGGGATACAAGATTGGCAACGCCAGAGATATCACTTGCCGTTGGTTCAGGATAATTTATGTTGAGTCCAGGAGTACCGAGTTCAACTTGACGGGTGATTGTATTACTGGGCACATTTATAGTAGGTGGGGTAGTGTCAACTGAAGATGTTTAAGGTGCATGAAATAAGTGAAAGCAAGAGAGATGGTAAGATAGAAATATGTCTTCAACAAAAAATTATGACAGGATCAAGGAGTTCCAAGTTCAGTGTGATGATGAAATGCACACAAGGGCAACATGAAATGTTATTCAGAAGGACAAAAAATGATTATTTGTCAACACTGGGCTGAAAAGAACACAAATATCACTCAAAAAGAAACACAAACTTCAGAAAATACATTTTCACTTACCGTGTAGGAACAAAATAAACTTGTGTGGATTATACAGACAGCTGGTTTTAATTCAAAGAAATCTATGAGAGCTTGGTTAATGAGAAGACTGATAAAAAAAAAGTGCTAAACTTTTACCTGGTACAACATTGACAGTAACAGTGCCAGAGGCTGGGTTTCCAGAAGGATCTTGGAAAGTGTAGGTCACAACGGTCTGACCGACTGGGAAAAAGTCTCCAGGTTGGGCGGTACGGGATACAAGGTTGGCAACGCCAGAGATATCACTTGCCGTTGGTTCGGGGTAATCTACGTTGACACCCGGTTCACCAAGTTCAACTTGACGGGTGATTGTATTACTGGGTACGTTTATAGTAGGTGGGGTAGTGTCAACTGAAGAGTGCATGCAATGAAGATGTGAAAATGGAAATTTTTTGCTACAAGTTATGTCAGAAGGTAAAAGATTTTGTACTTGAGTAAAAACAAATGATACGCTGCTCAGCTCAATTTCTGTAAGGTCATAGACCCGACAATACAGACACTGACTCTCACAAACTTGAAGAAATACATTTGTATGTATGCACAAGAACAAAAGATTAACAAAACAAATTTGAAAATATGTGCTGATCGTATGGACAACGAAGAATTTAGAAGTAATGAGAACATGGTCTATGAAAGGTGCTAAAGAGGTGCTAAAGAAATGTTGTATACACAGAAACTATTAACAAAGCGGGTTCATGTCCTAATCATGCAGACATTATGGAGAGTTTACAAGAAATTAATTAGGATGTCATCAGAAAATTAATCATAGTACTCTTAATGCGAAGAGTGATAGAAAAAAGGGTCTAAAGTGGAAAATAATAGCTTTTTTAAGGGCAGTATAGGTTGACATTATACACATGTAACATGACATGTTATTCAGCTCAAAATGATGAAGACATGTTACAAAGTAAGACCTTTAAAAAAACAGACATCACAGACACTTAGAAGGATAAGTAACTACATCTGCATTTACAAAACAAACAAAAAAAGATTCATGTATAAATAGCACAGAGAAGTATGAGTAAATGTAGGTGAGTTTTAGTGAAGAGAAAAAATTTTAAAATGTGAAATGAAAGGTGCTACAACTTCTGTCTTCTACAACAGTCGAAAGGAGCAGCAGCTGGGTTTCCGGACGGGTCTCGGAATATGTACCGACACGATTTTTTGCATTGAGCAAAAGCTTTTCACCGCGAAAAAGTAGCCAGCGCTTATTGATACGTTTCAGGCTGCAAAAATGTCTGGTTTTGCATATTTAAAACAATTTAAATAAATAATTAAATTCATGATGTAAATTCAACATTGATCGAACCTAAGAACTCGGTGAATGAAACAAGTCTTACCAGGGATAACATTTACTGTGAAGGTACAGTCGGTATTGGTATTGCCATTATTATCCGTCACTGTGAATGTGATCTGCTGGGGCATGTTGACGCTGAAGAAGGTACCGGACTGGACGTTGGAGGTAATGGATGCGATACCGGCGAGATCCGTGGCTGTTGGGGTGTTATAGGTGATGCTGGTCCCGGTGGTGCCAAGCTCAACGGTCTGTACGATGTCCGATGGGCAGTTCGTGACTGTCGGGTCGGTGGTATCGGCTGCGACAGGCAAGAACACATTTTATAAATTATAATCATAGTTCAGTTCCTATTTTAATTCTTTGTTTCTCTTTATTACTGCCAGTCATATACAAGCTACATACATCAATACATCCAATGAGTTGACTTTGCTTCAAGAAAGTTAAAAATCTAGCCTTAAAAATGAGTTTGCTTCCAAAACATGCTACATCATACAAATTAATTTGATAAGAACAATTTTGCACAATAATTTTGGAAAACCTAGCAGAACTTACTGGTGGTGACTGTGACAGTGAAGACGCATGGATCTGCATTATTGCCACTGGGGTCAGTGAAGATGTACGATACAACGGTAGTACCGACGGGGAAAGAATCTCCAGGGGCGTTGCTACGTGAGGAAAGGAAAGCCTGTCCAGAGACGTCCGATGCCGAAGGCTCAGAGTAGAAGATGACGACGCTGCTGGTTCCCAACTCAACGGTGCGTACGATGTTGTCGATGCAGGTGACACTTGGGGGAGTGGTATCCACTGTATATGTCACAAGACAGAGGGGTCATCAACTTATATTCATCATTCTATCAAATCTCAGTCTACCATGCGTTCCATCTACTACACTTTAGCACATTGATCGCTTCTTTTGCCTATCTGCACGGTTGCTTGTTTACCACACATGCAATTTTGCACAAAACATAGGCACCAATTGAAGGAAGGATTGCTGTGTACAATATAACGGCTTCGGAAGATTACCTATTTTTAACACAGTAACAGTTTAATCTTGCTCTGGAAATGGGTTTCTGTACCCCATGATAAACACAATATGGCATGGGGAGATTAATTGAACGGCATACAAAGTGGTTAAAGTCAATGCAAGGTAGTTGGTCAGAGGTCTACATTTTTCTTTGTTAAACTAAGACTTTGGGTCAGGTTCAAGTAAATAAGGCACTTCTGAGATAATATCTGTGTATGGGCAGAAAAATTGAAACCCATCAGACAAATGCTGGATAAGTGCTCACGAAAGTTATGGAATCATCAATCATTCACAGTTGGTACATTCTGTGATTCACAGCTGGAAGGTTCTTTTCAACCTTTCAACTTTACTTTACACAGAAGTTTTCAGGTATTACATTTAGTTTGAAGGCTAAAACTTAGGAATAGTACCTCCAGAATGGGATTGGTTGGCAGTCATGTGTGATATGCACTTAACAGATAACTACCAAAATACTAGATTGCATTCATAGTGGATAATTTGCATACCTGTATCGACAGTGATGGTGAAGACGCAGGGGTCGGCCTGGTTACCAGAGTTATCAGAGAAGATGTAGGTCACTGTGGTAACGCCAACGGGGAAGGAATCACCAGGCGCTGCAGTCCTGGTCACTAGGTTGGCCACTCCCGAGATATCAGAAGCAGTAGCTTCGGTGAAGAAGACGGGTACGCTTGTGGTTCCAAGCTCCACGGTGCGCGAGACACTGTTCGTACAGATAACTGAGGGCGGTGTAGTATCCTCTGTTCGAAGGAGAAGACCCAGAATTCATAACATTAGGATACCACTGTTTAAAGGGAGATGATAGCCACGTTTCCATGTGTAGTAGGGTCATAATTCGCTGACACCACACTCAGTTTTAATACCATTAACGGGTATACAAGTTTCGCACAAAGCGAACCCGTGATCCCATCAAGAAGTACTTGTCTGTTGGGAGAGTCTTCAGGTGAGGGAAATGTAAGGGTGGTAAATATAGAGCATTATGTAAGGCCTGTTGGTCATTAAACTGTAGGGAAAAGCTTATCCTGGTGAATGACAATACCTGTTCTTGGGTAACATCCAAATGTCGAATATCCCATGACAGCCCACTACTAAGGGTCGTTTAGGTAACTTAGCAAACTGTGGCACAAACACACGGGTCAGACACAGAAAATGCATAATACTCCATGACATCTGTTGATGAAAAGTTAATTTTTGGTAATATCAAGTCCAATCAAGAAAGCAGATAGAATTACCGGCTGTGTGCTATGAAGAATTTCAAACAATCCTGCATTTAGAGTTCCGGACGCATCATTTTGTGCCACTTCATTTTGTTAAGCTACCTAACGTCATTATATGATCTTGTGACTTGATGTAGCCCACAAGAAGTATAACAAGGAGTACTTACCTCTAAGCCCACTGTGCATTGCAAACTAAAATTTGGCTGGAAAGTACAGGAAACTACAATGAAAACGTGATGGTCTCAAATGAATCAAACGCTAATGTTTGACCCACCACTTGATTAGGATCTAGGAGCCAGTTGCACAGTACAAAAGAGACCAATGTGGAGACTTTCTCTGTACCAAAGTCTGGAGGCATACCTTATGGCTGATGGAACATGCAGAACTGTAAACTATATTCATGGATATATCACGTTTTCAAAACAGATGCAGTCACTCATGACCGAACGGACGCCGTCACTTACGAGCTGTAATTGTGATAGTGAAGGAACAATCATCCGCAGTGTTTCCAGAGTTGTCAGCAAAGATGTAGGTCACTGTTGTGGTTCCAACCGGGAAGGAATCTCCTGGCATGTTTGTCCTGCTTTCAAGGATGGCCTGGCCTGAGACGTCTGAAGCGGTGGGCTCAGTATAGAACACTTGGGCACTTGCCGTGCCAAGCTCAACTGTCTGGACGATGGTGCTAGTACACACCACAGAGGGCGGTGTGGTATCAACTGGATATCAAAGAAAAAAAGTCACGTCGACGTTGTTCTTTCTTTTAGGCAGTCGAATGCATCATCTGAAAACGCGGCTTCAGCATTCGATAACTGCAAAACCAGAAACTTTTGCGAGAACGAAATGTTCGCAAATTTCGCGACCGGTACGGACAGCGTTCAGGCCAGAGATGCCGTGGAGCGATTGCCGCAGGAGCACGTGTTTCATGAGAAGGAAAAATGTAATTAACGACAAGAGAGGAGCGAAGACTTCAGAGAAGGACATACAAGTGCAACATGACATGCAGTTCAGCTTAATTCCGACGTTGTATTAAGACTTGACAAAACAGGATATTCTGGCACTAACAGATGTACACAAAATCCAGTAGAGGAATAACAGGTAGGTTCATGCATGGAGAAATGAAACGTGAACAAGATGCATATACAAATCGTACAGGTGACAGCAAAAAAAAAAAGAAACGATCTATCGCTCATCATCCCAGAGCAATTGTTGCAGGAGCATGTGTTCTTCAACCCGATCGCAAGATGGAAAAAGAGTAGCAACAATGAGAGAGGACGAGCAGAGATTTCACAGTAGGACATACACAAAACACCAATTACAATATTACATGAGGATACACTGTCTACGAAGTTGAGAAAAGTAATTGCATGTGTACATGTATGTATGAAAGAAACATGAAAGAAAAAGATGCATGTACGAATCTTACACAAAACTACATGTAAGAGAATTTGAAAAAAAATCAGCAAAAACCAGCAAGAACATGCAATCATGCGTCAATAGAAAAAAATGGGACAAAAAGGTGCAAGACATTTACCTTCTATTACATTGACTGTAACAGTGCCAGTGGCTGGGTTTCCGGACGGGTCACGGAAAGTGTAGGTCACAACGGTCTGACCAACTGGGAAAAAGTCTCCAGGTTGTGCAGTGCGGGATACAAGATTGGCGGTGCCAGAGATATCACTTGCCGTAGGTTCAGAGTAAAATACATTGACACCCGAGTTACCGAGCTCAACTACGCGGGTGATTGTATTACTGGGCACAGTTATGACAGGAGGAGTAGTATCAACTAAAGATAAGAGGGCATGCAAGAAATGAAAGCAAGATAGATTATGAGACTAGAAAATGTTTATAGCTATGGATGACATAATTACTGATGATCCAAGGTTATTTCATGTTAGGATAATACAAACAGCACATCAGAAAACACACATTAAAGGGAAAGTCCACCCCCAAAATAAGTTTGTTTCGATAGAGGCAGAATAATAAGAAAATCAGGTGAGTGAAAGTTTGAGCAAATTCTGAATGAAAATAAGAAAGTTATGAATTATTGAAGTTGTGATCAATCAAATACAAATTGGCAACTCTGTGACTTATTATATGAGCTCTCCTTCATTTGCTTTGTGCATAATATTCCATAAAATCATGTTTTCTTCGTTATTGATGACGGAATATATATTTGTTCCTTGCAGGGGGAGTATAGAAACATATTTGCAATTATTATATTTAGGGTGCATGTATGGTTGAAATTTTTCTTGAGGGAAAATGAAAATTTTAGATTTTTTTAGTACTGAGCAAATGGAAGTTGAGCTCGCATGATACGTCATAGAGTTGCCAATTTGTGTTTGATTGATCACAACTTCAAAAATCCTAACTTCCTTATTTTTAATCGGAATTTGCTCAAACTTTCACTGACTTGTTTCTCTCATTTTTCTACTCCTATTAAAACTAACTTAATTTCAGGGTGGACTTCCCCTTTAACAAAAAAGTACATGCGGCAGGTGCGAGTTATACAGACAAATGGGTAAAATACTATAAGAGAACAACATTACTGCACGTGTGGTACTATCAATGGTGTTAGAATTTTACCTTTCCGGACGGGTCTCGGAAAAATGTACCGACACGATTTTTGCATTGGGCAAAAGCTTTACACCGCGAAAGTAGCCAGCGCTTATCGATTCGTGAACGTTTCGGGCAGCAAAAATGTCTGGTTTTACATATTTACAATCATTTTAATAAATAAATTGAATTCGGGCGATTCCATGCAATGTGGCCTATAGGACACAAGGCAGTTATCCATATAATTTCATCCATGAAGAAAGCTGTCTTGATGTGCTACGACTATAAAAAGGGAGTTATACCAGAAAGCACCATTATTCAATTGTGCTTGAAATTACGGTATGTTGAAAAACATTATGTCCTGAAGGACACATTACACAGAATCGCCTTTGATCTTTACTACTTAAGCTGACAAGGAATGAACAATCAAATTGATGAGAGCAAGTAAGCCTGGATATTACTCAGAGATGCCAGTTACAATTGATCAGAGGGCCTGAAAATCACCTAGAATGAGCTAATTTGTACACAAAAATACCTTAACTATGGTCTGAAAATGGTATACACAATCAAATCAATAATATAAAACCGGTGCTTATGAAGCACTTACCACCGAAGCCTCCAAGGCATCCTTGATCTTATTAACCCTTTGCCTACGGGAACCTGGTGGTCTGTGTATTAAGCCTATTGGACTTTCACAATACAGTAGTGAACGGGTTACAGGAGACTGTGCAAGGAATTTGGTGATGTGAAGCTGCACTTGTTCTTACTATAGTCGACTGTATAGGGAATGAATTTTACAAGGTCAAGCTGATCTTACCAGAGAACACCGTGATGGTGAAAGTACAGGAGGTGTCTGTGAGCCCGCTGTTGTCCGTGACGGTGTATGTGACCTGCCTCGTCTCGCCAGTGGTGATGAACGTTCCTGATTGGACGTTGGAGACGATGGATGCGACCCCGGCGACATCCGTTGCGGTGGGAGGGTTAAAGGTCACAGTGGCTCCGGGCGTACCCAACTCCACAGATTGGACAATGTTTGAGGGGCAGTTGGAAACAGTGGGTGGAGTTGTATCCTCTACAGAGCAGAAATTTATTTAAAACGTGTCAGGACGTGTGAGCTAGAATGACCGCTCATTCACGTGTGATGGGATAAACCACTCTGATTAAATTTGTATTCCAGTCGCCTTAAATTTAATTTTAGAAACACACAGGGGTGTAACAATAATAAAGAAAACAAGAAAATGGGAGTACAGTAGCAAATACAATTAAAAAAATAATGCCTGGGGATCACCAAAAGAATCCAGGTATTAGTGCATTAGTTGTCAGGTTATCAATGCTTCATTTTGTGCAAAGCTAGAAAGACAAGTACTACTCACGACTATTGACGGTGACGGTGAAGGAGCAGACCTGGGCGTTGTTACCGCTCGCATCACTGAAGAAGTAGGAGACAACAGTGGAGCCAACAGGGAAGTTCTGCCCTGGGGTATGGGATCGCGAATCCAGGGTAGCGGTACCAGAGATGTCGGTGGCGGTTGGCTCCGTGTACGATATGCCGACGCTCGTTGTTCCCAGTTCCACAACGCGGGTGATGTCGCTTATGCAGGTCACCGTTGGTGGAGTTGTATCCTCTGCGAGTCAAAAAGCCAAAGGGGATATATTAAGTGATATCTTACATATCAGTATATGTCACACATGTCCTCATGTTCTTAGTTGACAGTTGTAGGATTGACTCAAAATCTACCAAAGCATCTGCCTCGTTTGCTCAAAATGAAAGTTTATGTTACTGGTTGCCTGAAACTACGCACACAATGTTGCATTAGATATCAATGTCGGATAACCATATGATTTAGAACCAAGAAGAAATAGTTTGACCACTGCCTATATTTGTTATAACTGTAATAACCACTAATGAATATCTCAATAGTTTGTATTTTAAAGCAAATGTTCTGAAAATATCTTTTAACATGAAATCATCTAAAAGGGACTAGTCGAGACATTCATAACACTCCAATATGCAATGATACATATCCTTTAAATGTATCATTTCTATTTTCAGGTAATCTTTAATGTCTTGTAATGATATACAAGTCTTTCTGTGTGTAATTCAATTGTTCCGTTAGTTTCTTTCCCCAATAGGCTATAGTGCAAACAGCACATGTACAAATCACCCCAAAATATCTGCAGATCTATTAAACATGGAGAAGTCCCACTTTGTGCATTTTAGAATATCCAATACCAAATAGAATGAAGTGTTTCCTAAATATCTGTGTATGCACCTCTTGGAAAGAACACTTCCATCTATGTATCATGGCATGTATTGCTGGTGCATAAATGATCAGTGATAACTTTCATGGATTGATGAAACTGTACCTACATTGAAGTTTTTAAGCAAGAGGTACAAGACGTCCTTCTTCATTAGAAGGAGATAATGAATTTTTAGCTGCACATATAATATTGTAGAAAGTTTCAAATGTGCACTGTACATTCACAACACCAGACCTGCCAAATAGTATGTGATAAACCAGATGGTGGACTGTACTCTTCCTGGAGGAAGAAGGAGCATACGTCTTGATGGGTTTTACAGTGTTTGTGCAACTGACCTCTATCACCATGTCCGGACTGGCTTAGAGCAAAATGACCAAGAGCAACAAAGGACAGTACTCACGTGTGTTCACAGTGATGGTGAAGGTGCAGGGGTCAGCCTGGTTGCCAGAGTTGTCCCCAAAGACGTAGGTCACTGGGTTCACACCGACGGGGAAGTTATCTCCCGGCTGGGCGGTCCTACTGACAAGACTTGCCTGGCCAAGATCAGATGCCGTTGGTTCATTATAGAAGACCTGAACACTGCTGGTACCCAACTCCACGGTTCGTACGATATTGGTGATGCAGTTCACGGTAGGAGGCGTTGTGTCCTCTGATCAAAGGAATTTAAAGCAACAGGATTAGTTCAGTGAAAATCTATCCGAATATAGTCTGCGTATATAGTCCAAAGCTGGTAAAGATACAGGGGGGTGTTTCACAAAGATTAACCCTAAGTTGGACTTATTTGTAGCTTTTAAATAAAATATATTCAACAGCAAACAATTTGAGTATTTTAGACTTTTCATAAATTCCACATCAAGATCTTGAAATCTCCTTGATAAACAAAAATATAAATGATTTGAATCAACATTTTATGCCTTTTAAAATAACTTTTTCAAAATATTTTCAAATATGCTAATGGCTTTCCATAACTGTTTAGTCCAACTTTAGTCTTGGGTTTCAAACTAATGTGAATGTAGAGGTAACACAAATGATCCATTGACTACAGAATTCTCTCATTTCTATTGGCTTAATATGGGAAACACCTGTTTTCAGAGTTTAGGGAACATGGAGGGATCATAGACCAAAGGGTTTATTCCAGGAACCTTAAACCAGTTAAGGTTAGAATTACAGAATGCCACCACCGTTTCAGTGGTCTCCACTGGAGAAGCACGAGTCTTATGGGACCCCCCTGAGAGGGGAAAATATCACCCAGGACACAAGCTCAGATTGATCAGTAAAAAGCTAGGCAAAAGCTGCAAAAGATTTTGTAAAAAAAGAAATAAGCTTGTCAATCCAACGCGAGTACGCTCGACCTAGTCGGGTTAATAAGAAAATAGACTTACGAGCTGTGACAGTGATAGTGAAAGAACAGGCATCTGCAGTGTTGCCAGAGTTGTCAGCAAAGACGTAGGTCACCGTCGAGGTTCCTACCGGGAAGGAATCTCCTGGAACGTTTGTCCTGCTTACGAGGTTGGCCTGGCCGGAAATATCAGAGGCTGTTGGCTCGGTGTAGAAAACCTGAACAGGGTTTGTGCCAAGTTCGACAGTCTGGAAAACATTGTTGGTACAGACCACGGAGGGTGGTGTAGTGTCAACTGTAATTGAGGAAAGAACAGCCATGCATGTCAGTTAAAAACTTTTGCATAATCAGGAAGAAGTGGTCCATGCACATAATAGTAGCACAAATAACATTGAACCTTACCTTAAAAGTTCCTTCAAATGTCTTACAAAATGATTTGCTAACCATAACGGTATCATCAAATTGACAACCTCACATCACGGCCGTCAGATGGTAAAACGGTCTAACTCGAAAATCGCTGTTCTGAGAAAAATGACTTTGAAGTTTAGAGGTTTCAGCTTTTTTAGGAAATGGGTATAATCCATTTTTAGCAATGGGACAAGAAGAAGCATATTAAACACTGATAACTGAAGAATATTGTGCTTATTTGGGGTTTTTATTATAAAATAAATGAGATTTTTGTGCAGATAGACTGTTTAACCACAGCACATGAATACAATCCCACTACACATCATAAAATGGTAAAATGGTCTATCTTCTAGAAAGACCATAAACACTATTGCCATACTACTAACTCGAAGATAGACCATTTTACCATCTGACAGCGATGATAAAAAAAATCTCAATTCAGAAGGTTAAAAGGTTTATGTAAAAGATAGCTCGTTTTACCCCAAACGATATTACCGGCAATGGGCTAACTCAGAGATAGACCGTTTTACCAACAAATCTGAAGGAAAAATACAAAAAGTACCAAGATAGCGGAAATTATTCAGAAATATGATTTTAGAATTTGTTATGTGGTTCTTTCATAGATTTTTCATCATTCTATGATTAAACAAATTTCATAATGAAATCAATTTAATTTGGAAGACTGACAAGCTTTTTCTTTTAATCTTAACGTGTTTCAAGTGAGATGGAAAGTACCCACCCTTCATTTTTAAGATATCCTCAATATGTACATTTGTTGTTTTACGAGACAATGCCTTCTGTTATCTACAGCAGATTATTGTTTGTAATGTTATTTAAATCGTGAATCATCTTTCCAGGGTAATAATCGGGGCAGCGCCAGAAGCGTCACAACGTGACTAACATGTGCGCTATATAAGAAGCCACCATTATTATTTACTGGTAAATGTTTATTGAATAGGTTCTTTCAGAGGTAACATGAGAATAGGGTCTTTCTTGGGAAAGTGTTCACTACAGCAGATGCGATCATACCTGCAAAGACGGTGACTGTAAATGAACAGGAGTTGTCGGTCAGGCCGCTGTTATCAGTCGCAACGTACGTGACGGTCGCCGACTCTCCGACAGTGAAGAACGATCCGGGTTGGAGGTTGGATACGATTGAAGCGATACCTGCGGCATCGTTGGCCGTGGGAGTGGTCCAGCTGATGACAGTTCCTGGGACTCCGAGCTCGACTGACTGAACAATGTTGTTTGGGCAGCTAGTAAACATGGGCATCATGGTGTCAACTAGAAAACAAAACAGAGGAGGTCAAAATCCAACATATATATTCACTGTACAAATCACTTCCATCTCTTTGCTACAGACAAGACGTAACGAACCTCTAACAACATTTTTCATTATAGCCGTTTTGTTTAAATGATCTCTTACCAGTTCCAATGGTGACTGTGAAGACACAAGGTGGTGCTTCATTGCCGCTCTGGTCACTGAAGATGTAGGTGACGGTGGTCGAGCCGATGGGGAATGAATCTCCTGGTGAGCTACTCCTGGACACTAGGAAAGCTGTTCCAGAGATGTCTGTAGCGGATGGCTCGGCATAGTTCACGACGGCACTGGTCGATCCAAGTTCAATGGTCTGAGCAATGTTGTTGGCGCAATTAACCGTTGGTGGGGTGGTGTCAACTGTAATAATGAATAATAGATAATTGTTATAATAGTGGATTGTTGTATAGTGCTCACGTCTAGCTCATCGCCACTCCTTACCCCGGCTTTAGCACGGCTGCCATTACAATGCTCAAATTAATTCCTGCCATGTACTAGCATTACCCGTTTTGTATCCTTGAGAAAAGTGGTTCATAAATCAACCTATTTTATTACATGTTCCTGTTCTTGACAATGCACAAGTGCCTTGAGCACCAGCAAGCATTCAGCTTGGCTAAGACCAGTATAATAATTGATTAACATGCATTGTATTCTCATGAACAGGTAATTTAATTACATGTCTTGTCTTGTTCTTGATGACTTTTGGCAAAGTCTGTACCCGAACTCTGCACAGGGTAACCACAATAACTCTAATAATATGTCTTTTTTTACCCAAGATAGCCTCATCAGTGTTAATTCTGTTCTCCACAAGGGCTCTGCAATCGTATAATTACACCAGCTTTAGCTGAGCTACCATGATAATGTATTCAAGCATACAAAGAGTTTTTTCTACTGGGTATCCAATAACTTCACTTGGTAGATTAATACATCTTGCCAAACAAGGCCGCAGCAGGATTACAACCACAAACCATGTGATTCACAGTCCAGCAACTTATCCACTAAACCTCAAAACCTCTACAACTATCAATGAAAAGACAAACCTGCATTGATAACCACATTGAAGGTACAAGGCTGGGCGTTGTTGCCTGAGGCATCAGTGAAAATGTAGGTGACACTTGTGGTACCCACTGGGAAGCTGTCCCCTGGAGCTGATGTGCGAGTCACCAGGCTGGTCTGTCCTGAGATATCAAAGGCGGTAGGTTCTGTAAAGAAAACCTGGGTGCTGCCGGTGCCGAGCTGGACCGTCTGAGCGACATTGTTGATACAGTTGACAGTGGGTGGTGTGGTATCGACTGCAGAGGAAAAAAGGAATGCAAGAACTTATTAATCTATTGCCTACGGGACCGGGTGGTTCCTGCACAGAGCCGTTGGGTCTAAGCGAATTCATGGGTCAACATCGCAACAGAGATCTGTGCCTTTGTCAGCACTGGTGACCATATTGGCCTGCAGAGTGAGGAAACTATGTCCCCAGGTGATAACAGGATTATCATGTACATTAGCTAAATAAAGAAATAAATGGGGTTTTATGCAAAGCTTTCATTAATTGGGATCTACTATTTGTGCTGATCTACACATTTAGCAAGTCTCTGCTATCCTGCCACTTGACAATCCTGGCAAATAAAAGGTTATAAAAAACATACCTGCGGAGATGGTTACTGTGAAAGTACAGGGTTCAGCCTCGTTTCCAGAGTTATCACTGAAGATGTAAGACACGGAGGTAGTCCCTACAGGGAAGGAATCTCCTGGGGCTGCTGTTCGGGTCACAAGGTTGGCTTGTCCGGAAATGTCAAAGGCAGTTGGTTCGGTGAAGAAGACCGGGGCACTGGAGGTACCGAGTTCCACTTCTTGGAATACGTTGTTAGGACAGTTGACGGAAGGTGGGGTGGTGTCAACTGAAGAGAATACAAATCAGGAAATATAAAATATTAATGGTTTGATGGTTTCTTTTACATGGCTGCTAAGAAAGCATATGTACGCTTGTAACTAAGGAACCAGAATACCGACTGCTTTAAGTCCACTCCAAAGAAATTGGTAAATGGATTTATCAAAGGGCAATAGCGCATCGACTTGGTCTCAAACGCAGAAGAAACCAGATCCTCCTGCTCACGAGACCACTGCTCTACCACTAAGCCATCTTGCTTCCTCAAATTAACTTCTCTTTCATACTTTGCACCCAATTACTGGACCCAGTTAGGCTACTATATCTAGATGCATATTTTTCTTTTATGTTTCTTTTGGTTTTTACTGATATGCATGCTAAATTAATCATTAGGTATGGATGCAATAGGAAAAGGTAACATAGGTTGGCTTCGCACAGCACATCCAGAAGCTGTTTGATCTTACAAATTCCTTCTGATTGATTGCATCGATCACTATGTGCAATCAATTGCAAAATCAATCGCACAATCTATTGCTAAGCTATGTGTTATTGGGCCCTGACCAGGGGGTGTTTCACAAAGACTAAGATCGACTTTAAGTTGGACTTAACTATGGCCATTCATGCCATTGGTTGCTCTCATCATTGGTCTCTGAATTATGGTCTTTAGATAATATTTTTTTCTTCAATAATGAATTATAAAAAAATGAAAATTCTGTAGATTTGTGACCATGATTTCTACGTCCCTTGAGAAACCAATGCCAGTAAATAATGAGCAAACAGTGGCATGAATGGCCTGTCATAGTTAAGTCCAACTTAAAGTCGATTTTAGTCTTTGTTAAACACCCCAGGGCCCCCGTTTCACAAAACTTATCAGTGACAAATGCCAGTGTTTGTTATAAGCTCCTGAAATCCTTGCTTCTGATTGGTTAACAGATTTGTCACTGATTTTTGTCATTTGTCATTGAAAAAGGCCTTGTGAAACGGGCCCCAGGTGTCGTACAAATAACACTTACCAGCAATGACGGTCACCGTGAATTGACCTCTACCCTCGTTACCAGCAGGATCCTGATAGACGTACTCCACGGTTGTGGTGCCGACGGGGAAGAGATCGCCAGGCTGAGCTGTGCGGCTCACCAGGTTGGCTTCCCCAGAGTTATCAGTAGCGGTTGGCTCGGTGTAGATCACCGAGAGACGGCTCTGGCCAAGCTCCACGGTTCGTACGATGTTTCCTCCACTGACAGTGACTGTAGGTGGGGTGGTATCAACTGCAAGAAAAGTGACAAATCAAAAACGATTTGTTGATTGAGAGCTGAATAAATAAACCTCCCACATGTATCTCAAAAAGGAATTATTTTACAGGCAGAACTCTATGAACTGAAATTCAATGAGGCAAATCAAGTAAAATTAATATAAAAAGGAAATTCAAAAGTTGATAACGAAAAACAGAATTGTCCACAATTAGGTATGATGTTCTGGTAGAATCACAGAACTAGTAAATATATACGGTAGGTCTGAGGTCATCATGTTGTACTTGTAGATGCATTAAGGGGAAGCGGGTGCAAATAATTTGGACAATGGTCCATGTTAAATACATGTAGTCCTATTAATTTCTCATGGTCTAGACCATTTGTCCTGGGCTCAGGCATTGGTTTGGATCCCCCATTTCAGTATTTTTATCAAAACTTTCTTCTAGTAGATGAAAATGAGATCTGTTCCGTTAACTTACCCATAGATCATTGTAATTTAACCTAAAATATGGTAGATTCATGATAAATTTCAAATTAAAATGTAACTGATTACACTAGATGTTTGTATGGAAAAGCTACATGTAAATGTAATTAATGGTATCTGGTATGGTAATAACTATTATTATGCACATGTTTATTTATTACTGCATTCTAATATTTACTGCTAAGCAAACATCAAATTCTAAATCATATGGCACCCAAGCATCTTTATAATCACCATCCAGGGTGTTGTCTTTAACAGCTACCTCTACCATGAAACATTTAATGCAACAAAAGAATTTCAAATATTTGTGCATAAAAATTTTAAGAGAAAATTATAAATGCTTAAAATCAAGCAAACAGTTTTTGATGAATGTTCAAAGGTTGATAATTGGTGATGGGTGATGTGTGCTAACCTAGGGGTGTGTGAGAATGAACTACCAATGAAGCTAGTTTTCTCTCGTGCTATGAAAATTCTTGTGGAATATGAGAATAAGTATTTCTAATTTATTGATTTTGATGACAAAATGGACAGACACACAAATATGAATTCTAGTGGAAGGGACATTTCGCTGAATGCAGGTAAACATAGGAGATCAGCTTGTCCGTCCAACAGCTACAATATCAACCATGCATTACCAGGATTCCCACATTCAACGTTTTTGCTTTTTTTCAACAATTAGACAAGTATCATTTTGGTATGAAATGCTACATCCAGGCGGCATAGGAATACCACAAAGTGATATTTATCATTTCATGTTGTGACATTATAACATTTTCTTTTAACCATGATTTTCTACGACTTTCATCAAGAATTTATTTTGCCACGACTTTCCTGTTTTTTCCATGATCATGGGGAACCCTGATATGATATCACGCGATGAAATACATGAATGGAAATGGGCCTAATGGGTGTAATCTATTTGGAGAATACATAGGTGACAACTGTCTATTCTGCTAAGGTCTGTCTACTATTTAGCACCTGCAACAAACACAGTGACGGAGAAATTTGCAATGGCAAGATTGCCAGAGGGGTCCGAAAAAACGTATTCCACGACTGTCCTTCCGACCGGAAAGAAATCGCCAGGTTGGGCAGTGCGATTTAAAAGAAACACAATGCCAGAGTTATCCGTGGCATTGGGTTCTGTGTAATTCACATCTATGCCAAGTTGCCCTAGCTCAATAAGAATCACATTGTCTTCAGTGTATACAACGGGTGGTTCGGTGTCGGCTGAAAAATACGTTTAATTAGGGGGGAAACACAAATGAAGCAAATTATAATGCAAATAAAAGAAAACAAAAATCATAATAAGCATGAAATATAAGCTTACTCAGTTATTATTACTTTTGCAAATGCAGCAAAACATAATGCAAGGATTACAAGAAAATATCCATGGCATATACAGGTTAACATTATAAGCTTTATATAATTAGCAATCCCAACTTGTTACACTGCAATACCATACAATTGTTTTAGTAAATAAGACCAAACTATTACAAGAATATGTTGAGAGAAGTACAACAGGGTAAGGGTTGAAATTAGGCAAGAAAATCAAAATCTGGTGAGATAGCATATATATTGTTGATTTGTTATAGCATGCAAGTACATAGAAATTTGGAAATACGTTCACAGAGTCCAAGATATAAACGTGCTAATAAGTGATTACCTCATCATTAGCACTGCTGGTTAAATAGATATTTAAAAATGCCATAGCGGAATTTGAGCGGCAGGGCAATTGCGTGAAATCGTTTGAAAAACACGTCAAGAAAAATAAATTCTGTAACACTTAGAAAATTATGGAAAGGTTGATAGTAAAAGAAGCCCCATAAATGTGCCTTCACAAGAAAGGGATAGAAACGTTATTTGGAGATATCATGGAACCAACAAAATTGATGTATACCCATTTCTTCAACGGTGACAGTGAAAGTGCCGGTAGCTTCATTGCCCGATGCATCTCGATATCGATAGGTTACCACAGTGCTTCCAATTGGAAAGAAATCGCCCGGCTGAGCCGTTTGGCTCACAAGGTCTGCGGTGCCGGAGTTATCAATAGCAACTGGTTCGGTGAAGAAGACATTTACACCTGAGGATCCGAAAGGTGCTGTGCGAACAACTTCGCCGGTGGTCACAAAGACTTGAGGTGGTGTAGTGTCCACTGGGGTGATAGTGATGGGGGAAGATGGAAAGGAAACAAACATACAGAAGGGGATTGCACTCAAACAGGCAGCAATCGTGAACAGAACAGACTGTGGTGAATATATACGTGTAGGCCATAGATACCATCAAAGATATATAGAGGTATGTGATATAAATATATATGTAAGAATTCATGAATATATATTTATGAGTTTGTGGAACAGATTGATGTGAAAAGCCCATTTTTTTAAAGGATGATGTACAACATGAGCCTATCAAAGAAAGTCAATAAAGAAAGCAAACACAACTCAGCAAACACAAAACTGCATTGTCTAAACCATTGGCTACAAGAACAAGGTGTTTCTGGCCTAGGAAAATGGAATGTGGTACAAAAAGTGCAAAAAAATTACCTTCTACAACATTGATAGTAACAGTGCCAGAGGCTGGGTTTCCAGAAGGATCTTGGAAAGTGTATGTCACAACGGTCTGACCGACATTGAAAAAGTCTCCAGGTTGGTTGGTACGGCTTACAAGGTTGGCGATGCCAGAGTTATCAGTAGCAGTAGGCTCAGTGTAAAACACATTGACACCAGGGGTACCGAGCTCAACTTCACGGGTGATTGTATTACTGGGCACAGTTATGACGGGTGAAGTAGTGTCAACTGAAGTAAATATGAAAAAAGGCATGCATTAGATATTTCCAAGATATTAAAAGTAAGAGAAGATGATATTAAAGGGACTTGGTAACAACATTTGTCAGATTTGAGAAAATGGTGCTCAGGTAGCGACTTCAATGCTAGTTGGACAATTAAATATATTCAGTTTGAGTGATAACGAACCATTATTCATGATACAAAGTGGGAAAAACTGATCTGATCGAATTCTCAACGAAATTATAATTTAATTTATTTAATGTGAATGTAAATCGTCACAAAGCAATGAATTGGCTCTATATACCATTCCAGTCATTCAATTGTTGAAAGATTGTTTTATGTCTTATTTTCATGGAAAACGGTTGGGAAAATTCAAAAATTGGTTGTGAGAATTTACTATTGGGTGTCGCACATTGACGCCTTCAAAGAAAACCATAACTATCTTTATGGTTTGAGAATTTCTGATTTGTTAAGGCAGTAGATAGGTCCAGGAATGAAAAATGATTTAAAGAAAGAAAAAGATGATTTTCTACAGATGTGTTTAATTCTATGGTGCTACAATTACTTCAGAGCAAATTCTTGGTTGCTTTAATACTTTTCTTTGCCAGACACTCCTGACAAAGGAAATTTAAAAGCTTTAACAATGTTGGAAAAATACAAGGATACAAACACAATAGACAGAATATCATGGGAAGTAATACACATGTATGAAACTACTATGTTTTCAACCTTCCTATATAAGGAGTTGAACAGAATACAAAAGGTAGAAAGTTCTGTAAAGAATACCTTCTACAACATTGATAGTAACAGTGCCAGAAGATGGATTTCCAGAAGGATCTTGGAAAGTGTAGGTCACATCTGTCTGACCGACTGGGAAAAAGTCTCCAGGTTGGTTGGTACGGCTTACAAGGTTGGCGATGCCAGAGTTATCAGTAGCAGTAGGCTCAGTGTAAAACACATTGACACCAGGGGTACCGATTTCAACTTGACGGGTGATTGTAGTACTGGGCACAGTTACTACGGGTGGAGTAGTGTCAACTGAAAAAATATGAACAAAGGCATGCTTATGTATTTGATAGACCAAGAAATTAAAAGAAAGAAAAGAGGATATTAAAGAAAGCAGTAGATGCAAGCAGATATATCAAGGAATGTGAAATGATAGAGAAAAGATGAGGCAACTATCCATAGATGAACTTAATTCTTTGATTCTACAAAGACTCGTGAGAAAATTCTTGGTTGAACAGTGACAAATGAGGTGGAAATGAATTTAAAGGTTTAAATAATGTTTGGAGAAGCACGTAAACCAACAGAAAAAGACAAAAATACAACACCAGAAAATAATAAACATATGTAAGAAATTATGAATACAAATGGTAGAAAGTTCTGTAAAGAATACCTTCAATAACATTGATAGTAACAGTAGCAGACGCTGGGTTTCCAGAAGGATCTTGGAAAGTGTAGGTCACAGTGGTCTGACCGACTGGGAAAAAGTCTCCAGGTTGGTTGGTACGGCTGGTAAGGATAGCTTGCCCAGAGTTATCAGTAGCAGTAGGCTCAGTGTAAAATACATTGACACCGGAGGAACCAACTTCAACTTGACGGGTGATTGTAGTACTGGGCACCGTTACGACAGGTGGAGTAGTGTCAACTAAAGATGAGAGGGGATGCAAGAGGTGAATGCAGGATAGATCACAAGATGAAGAGAAAAAAGCTTCTAACTTTGGCTCATGAGAGAGGAGCAAAGATTTGGGGAGAGTAAATTGGATTTTGATGTAGGATGATATGCACGTAAATGGATATGAAACACGACATGGCCTACAAAGGTGTTGACAAAATTACATCATGTATGCACAAATGAAACAATAATAAAAGACAAATCCATGATGGAATCTTACAGGCAGTAGCAATGTTTGACAGAAATCAATAACAGAAAGATCGTTATAATGGTATTGTTACCATGTGGAATAAAAGGTGCAAGACCTTTACCTTCTATAACATTGATAGTAACAGTGCCAGAGGCTGGGTTTCCAGAAGGATCTTGGAAAGTGTAGGTCACAGTGGTCTGACCGACTGGGAAAAAGTCTCCAGGTTGGTTGGTACGGCTGGTAAGGATAGCTTGCCCAGAGTTATCAGTAGCAGTAGGCTCAGTGTAAAATACATTGACACCGGAGGAACCAACTTCAACTTGACGGGTGATTGTACTACTGGGCACCGTTACGACAGGTGGAGTAGTGTCAACTAAAGATAAGAGGGGATGCAAGAGGTGATGCAAGAGGTGAATGCAGGATAGATCACAAGATGAAGAAAAAAAGCTTCTAACTTTGGCTCATGAGAGGAGCAAAGATTTGGGGAGAGTAAATTAGATTTCTATGTAGGATGATATACACGTAAATGGATATGAAACACAAAATGGCCTACAAAGACAGCAACAAAGATGTTGACAAAATTACATCTACATGTATGCACAAATGAAACAATAATAAAAGACAAATACATGATGGAATCTTACAGGCAGTAGCCATGTTTGACAGAAATCAATAACAGAAAGATCGTTGTAATGGTATTGTTACCATGTGGAATAAAAGGTGCAAGATCTTTACCTTCTATAACATTGATAGTAACAGTGCCAGACGCTGGGTTTCCAGAAGGATCTTGGAAAGTGTAGGTCACAATGGTCTGACCGACTGAGAAAAAGTCTCCAGGCTGGTTGGTACGGCTAACAAGATTTGCGATGCCAGAGTTATCAGTAGCAGTAGGTTCAGTGAAAAATACATTGACACCGGGGGAACCAACTTCAACTTGACGGGTGATTGTACTACTGGACACCGTTACGACAGGTGGAGTAGTGTCAACTAAAGATAAGAGGGGATGCAAGAGGTGATGCAAGAGGTGAATGCAGGATAGATCACAAGATGAAGAAAAAAAGCTTCTAACTTTGGCTCATGAGAGAGGAGCAAAGATTTGGGGAGAGTAAATTAGATTTCTATGTAGGACGATATACACGTAAATGGATATGAAACACAAAATGGCCTACAAAGACAGCAACAAAGATGTTGACAAAATTACATCTACATGTATGCACAAATGAAACAATAATAAAAGACAAATCCATGATGGAATCTTACAGGCAGTAGCCATGTTTGACAGAAATCAATAACAGAAAGATCATTATATAAAACATGTGGAATAAAAGGTGCAAGACCTTTACCTTCTATAACATTGATAGTAACAGTGCCAGTGGCTGGGTTTCCAGAAGGATCTTGGAAAGTGTAGGTCACAATGGTCTGACCGACTGAGAAAAAGTCTCCAGGCTGGTTGGTACTGCTTACAAGATTGGCGATGCCAGAGTTATCAGTAGCAGTAGGTTCAGTGAAAAATACATTGACACCGGGGGAACCAACTTCAACTTGACGGGTGATTGTACTACTGGACACCGTTACGACGGGTGGAATATTGTCAACTAAAGATAAGAGGTGAATGCAGGATAGATCACAAGATAAAGAAAAAATCTTGTAACTTTGGCTCATAAGAAAGGGCAAAGATTTGGGGAGAGTAAATTAGATTTTTACGTAGGATGATATACACGTAAATGGATATTATACAGGTAAATGGATATGAAACGTGACATAGCCTACAAAGACACCAACAAAGATGTTGACAAAATTACATCTACATGTATGCACAAATAAAACAATAATAAAAGACAAATCCATGATGGAATTTTACAGGCAGTAGCCATGTTTGACAGAAATCAATAACAGAAAGATCATTATAAAACATGTGGAATAAAAGGTGCAAGACCTTTACCTTCTATAACATTGATAGTAACAGTGCCAGTGGCTGGGTTTCCAGAAGGATCTTGGAAAGTGTAGGTCACAATGGTCTGACCGACTGAGAAAAAGTCTCCAGGCTGGTTGGTACTGCTTACAAGATTGGCGATGCCAGAGTTATCAGTAGCAGTAGGTTCAGTGAAAAATACATTGACACCGGGGAACCAACTTCAACTTGACGGGTGATTGTACTACTGGACACCGTTACGACGGGTGGAATATTGTCAACTAAAGATAAGAGGTGAATGCAGGATAGATCACAAGATGAAGAAAAAATCTTGTAACTTTGGCTTATAAGAAAGGGCAAAGATTTGGGGAGAGTAAATTAGATTTTTACGTAGGATGATATACACGTAAATGGATATGAAACACGATATGGCCTAAAAAGACACCAACAAAGATGTTGACAAAATTACATCTACATGTATGCACGAATAAAATAATAATAAAAGACAAATCCATGATGGAATCTTACAGGCAGTAGCCATGTTTGACAGAAATCAATAACAGAAAGATCGTTGTAATGGTAGTGTTACCATGTGGAATAAAAGGTGCAAGACCTTTACCTTCTATAACATTGATAGTAACAGTGCCAGTGGCTGGGTTTCCAGAAGGATCTTGGAAAGTGTAGGTCACAATGGTCTGACCGACTGAGAAAAAGTCTCCAGGCTGGTTGGTACTGCTTACAAGATTGGCGATGCCAGAGTTATCAGTAGCAGTAGGTTCAGTGAAAAATACATTGACACCGGGGGAACCAACTTCAACTTGACGGGTGATTGTACTACTGGACACCGTTACGACGGGTGGAATATTGTCAACTAAAGATAAGAGGTGAATGCAGGATATATCACAAGATGAAGAAAAAAAGCTTCTAACTTTGGCTCATAAGAAAGGGCACAGATTTGGGGAGAGTAAATTAGATTTCTATGTAGGATGATATACACGTAAATGGATATTATACACACATAAATGGATATGATATACACATAAATGGATATTATACACACATAAATGGATATGATATACACATAAATGGATATGAAACACGACATGGCCTAAAAAGACACCAACAAAGATGTTGACAAAATTACATCTACATGTATGCACAAATAAAACAATAATAAAAGACAAATCCATGATGGAATTTTACAGGCAGTAGCCATGTTTGACAGAAATCAATAACAGAAAGATCATTATAAAACATGTGGAATAAAAGGTGCAAGACCTTTACCTTCTATAACATTGATAGTAATAGTGCCAGTGGCTGGGTTTCCAGAAGGATCTTGGAAAGTGTAGGTCACAATGGTCTGACCGACTGAGAAAAAGTCTCCAGGCTGGTTGGTACGGCTTACAAGAATGGCGATGCCAGAGTTATCAGTAGCAGTAGGTTCAGTGAAAAATACATTGACACCGGGGGAACCAACTTCAACTTGACGGGTGATTGTACTACTGGACACCGTTACGACGGGTGGAATATTGTCAACTAAAGATAAGAGGTGAATGCAGGATAGATCACAAGATAAAGAAAAAATCTTGTAACTTTGGCTCATAAGAAAGGGCAAAGATTTGGGGAGAGTAAATTAGATTTTTACGTAGGATGATATACACGTAAATGGATATTATACAGGTAAATGGATATGAAACGTGACATAGCCTACAAAGACACCAACAAAGATGTTGACAAAATTACATCTACATGTATGCACAAATAAAACAATAATAAAAGACAAATCCATGATGGAATTTTACAGGCAGTAGCCATGTTTGACAGAAATCAATAACAGAAAGATTATAAAACATGTGGAATAAAAGGTGCAAGACCTTTACCTTCTATAACATTGATAGTAACAGTGCCAGTGGCTGGGTTTCCAGAAGGATCTTGGAAAGTGTAGGTCACAATGGTCTGACCGACTGAGAAAAAGTCTCCAGGCTGGTTGGTACGGCTTACAAGAATGGCGATGCCAGAGTTATCAGTAGCAGTAGGTTCAGTGAAAAATACATTGACACCGGGGGAACCAACTTCAACTTGACGGGTGATTGTACTACTGGACACCGTTACGACGGGTGGAATATTGTCAACTAAAGATAAGAGGTGAATGCAGGATATATCACAAGATGAAGAAAAAAAGCTTCTAACTTTGGCTCATAAGAAAGGGCACAGATTTGGGGAGAGTAAATTAGATTTCTATGTAGGATGATATACACGTAAATGGATATTATACACACATAAATGGATATGATATACACATAAATGGATATTATACACACATAAATGGATATGATATACACATAAATGGATATGAAACACGACATGGCCTAAAAAGACACCAACAAAGATGTTGACAAAATTACATCTACATGTATGCACAAATAAAACAATAATAAAAGACAAATCCATGATGGAATCTTACAGGCAGTAGCCATGTTTGACAGAAATCAATAACAGAAAGATTGTTATAATGGTATTGCTAACATGTGGAATAAAAGGTGAAAGACTTTTACCTTCTATAACATTGATAGTAACAGTGCCAGAGGCTGGGTTTCCAGAAGGATCTTGGAAAGTGTAGGTCACAATGGTCTGACCGACTGAGAAAAAGTCTCCAGGTTGGTTAGTACGGCTGATAAGGATAGCTTGCCCAGAGTTATCAGTAGCAGTAGGCTCAGTGAAAAATACATTGACACCGGGGGTTCCAACTTCAACTTGACGGGTGATTGTACTACTGGACACCGTTACGACAGGTGGTGTAGTGTCAGCTAAATTCGGAATGAAATGTAGCAAAAAAAGCAAGATGAAAGATGGAAAGGAAAAGAAATGGTGATTGATTACATTTTCAGTAGGATCAAGAATACAACTTGCACATGGCGGAAAATGTGTAATTTGATAGATTCTGTATCAAAGATGCATACCAAGAGAGGCTATAAATTCACTAATAATATTTCATAAAATGAAAAGAAGACAATTCGGCCCTTTTTTCACGAAGTGACGGTAGTGAGGAAAATCGTAACGCAAAGTGAATGTAATTTTTTTCACTACCGTCACTTCGTGAAAACAGCGAAGAATTTTGAAAATTACCCTGCACTGTACATGACACAACCTGACAGCCAGTTAAAAACATTGGCACACATATATTGGTCACACAATATACTTGGCACACCTAGAGGGCAGTTCATACATGACACAAGACATCAATGTTCAAATTCAAAAGTACATATGTTGTAACTAAGGCTAAAGATGAAAATAATTGATACAAATGAAACACAAAGGGTTTAATAAAAAAATGTAAATTTTTAAATATTGAATGGATAGCAGATACAGTGAAAAAAGGGCTTGGGCCGGAATCCATGCTACCAGGTAACTTTTTTGGGAAGGGTCTGGAATGAGGTTATCAGATTCTATCAGGTTTTGAAATTTTTTAGGGTTGGAGTTTTGATTTTTGTTAGGCGCCTCTTATCTCTGAGCCTAGCCTATAGCCGTACTTAACTGTGTTGGAAGATAGGAAATATGAAAGACACCGTGACTAGGTCATTTCATTTTGCCTGGGCAGTGTTATTAAGCCAACCTTTCACAGCAAATATCTCTGAAGGCAAAATTAGTAATACAATCTATGTTGTATACTTTTCACACAGAATATTTCAGAACAAGAGGAATCTAGGGATCAAAACAATAGCTTGAAGGCCAAAAAATGGGAATCATTCCTAAAAAATAGTACAGAGGGCTCGAATAACAGCACTTTTGTAGTAAGAAGCTTTTATTACTGCAGGAATTGGTTAATGCTGAAGCCACATTAATAGCAGAGGGCTAAGAAATATTAGTAATAAGAGCGATATAAATATTACTAGAATGCAAAAATAAAAAACCCAAATGAACATGCAGTACACATTTCTTACTTGCTGTGACGGTAATGGTGAATGCACACTGCCCAACGTTTGCAAAAGCATCCGAGGCGGTGTAGACGACTGTTGTGGTTGTGCCTGTGGTGAAGGATTGACCAGGGTTATGGCTGGATACTGTGGAGACGCTGCTGGCATCAACAGCAGTGGGAACAGTCCAGGTGACTGAGGCACTTGGGGTTCCGATCTCAACGTTGACCCCAATGTTGCTTGGGCAGTTGATGAAAACAGGTGGGGTATTATCCACTGTTGGAAAAGAGTAATGTAATTATAGCCTTGCATACAAAGAATGGGACATCAAGGTCAAGTGACCATAATGACTCTAAAATACCCATTTATTATCTGTGTTCTTAATATTGATGAGCCTTGACGTTACGGATATGTGTGCCTTATCAATTTATAACATCAACATCACCATTATCATTTCCATTATCACTATCGTGACCATTAACATCATTCAGTATCATCACCACCATCATCATCTTCATTGTTATCAACTTTTATCATTATTAAGTGTCATTATCAATATTTTCATCCTCATCATATCCAAAGATAGCCTGACCATCATCAAAATATAATAACTTATTGTTATCTACCCAACAGTTACTGAGAGTCAAAGCTTGTGCAGGGATAACAGTATTATTTGATATCATTATCAATATCACCAGTATCACCATCATCATAATCAGGGGTGATAGTGAGCACTTTAACAAAAATAGGTTGTTTTTTCCTCACTCTCCCCCTTTAGTAAAAAAAAAAAAAAAAAAAAGGATCTGAGGGGAAAAAAAATGGCATCTATCAAAAAATTCCCCCCTTTTGAGTAACAAAATTGTGAGAAAAAAAATCAGGAAAAATAGGGGTATAATCAGAAGGAAAAAAAATTTAAAAAGGGAAACAGATCACCATCATTATCAATATCACCAACAATAACATGTAAACTTTACCTAGAGCATTCCAGGAGACCTCGAAACCAGTCCTCTGAATGTTCTTGTCAGTTCCAAAGTACATCCAGGCCACATCACCCTGAATAGTGAAATCCTGGGGTCGGATTGAACCCTCAAAGAAGTGCCAATCAGGGGGGCTACCAAGCCCATCAAGCTGAACATCGTTGTACATCAACCCTGGAGGGAGATAGGATATATCCAAGGTTAAATAAAAATGACCATATATTTAGGGTAACTTTATTAGCAAAATGTAGTGGGACAAAAACACGCATCCTGAATGCAAAATGCATAGTTATGGACAATAACAATTTTATATCAAAGAGGTAGATTGACTTTGATCGAAAAAAAATATTTTGAATCTCTATGTGTTGCCAATTTCAGGATCATAAAGCTTACTTTACTCTTTCAAATTCCTGGCACCAAACGCAATTGATTAGGTAATAATACTTGATGCAGTTTGTGCAGAAATGTTTGCCCAGTCGACTTATACATCTGGGCTCTGTCTGAGACAGAGTTGCGATTGATCCAAATTGATAGCAAGTCCTCTATCAATCGCAAGTTTGCAATCCCTCATCTCTTTTGTACATAGATGCTATTGACATCAATCACAAATAAGTTGCAAATAATAACGGCTCTCTATAAGACAGGGGGGGGGGCCTTGTAAATTTTATAGGGCTCTGAACCCTAACGTATTGCACCAAACCACAAAAATGTGGAATATACCGTCACAACTTCTACTTACCAGAACCGATATAGAGTTCATCCTTGAATTCCTCAATATCAAACTCGACACTGAAGGAGAATGTGATGCTCTGAGCGCCTGGTACATACAAGAGATACAAGGCCCTGTACCTGTTGTTGTAATCACTGGGGTAGTTGATTGACCTGAAGATGCCGCTCTGGCAGGAATCTCCATAACATGTAAACACTTCCTGGTTGTCTGTAAATAATCACAAGGATGGAGATTGAAAATGTTTGTTTTTTTGCAAAAACATTTAAAGCTAAAGACCAGTTATGGTCATGCAATTGCATTGTGAAAGAAACGTCGTGAAATCGATCAGAAAAGGTTGATCATCTAGCATAGATGTACTCCAAGGTTCTGGAATCATAAAAATGATAAGAAATTTGGCCAAGTCTTCATAAAGTTAGAAGCACTGTACACAGAAAGATGTATATGGGACTACACACACGTGCATGACACATGCATTTCATATCTCTCAACAGGCGAGAGATACAGTTTCTCATCAAAATTGTTATCATGTAATATTCAAAACATATTCTTTCACATGATTGGTAATAAGAGCTTCCATTTCATTTTTTGAAATTGGGGCGTTTCCAATACTGGTCTTTACCTTTAATATTACGATTAAACTTGTCTCATGCAAACTGATACAATCCCACTTGTATCAAAAACGTGTGCCAGGTATTCCAATGTTCGATTTAAAAAATTTGATGAATTTTCAAATACCCGATTTTCATATTTAACTGCCAAAATATATATATATATATATTGCATCCAATAAATAGTTACATGTATTACATTAGATATCATGGATATTTCTCAAAATATAGAAATGAACTATAATGTACAGCTTGGCTGAGGACCCCTTTTAAAGAGGACTATACTTTTCAATTTTACTAAATCTCTTCTTGAATTTTTTGTTGCAAAATCTTTTTTTTTTTTTTTTTTTTACAGAATTCTTTTGAAGTTTTCCAGAGCTTTTTGCCACAGCCCCGGACATGTCAGAAGAACACATTGTGGCACTATGTGGGTTAATAATAGCCCCTTTATACGTGTACTTACCAGCACTTTCTGTACATTCAATGCCTTGCGAAAAGGGTACGTTACATTCGCAGACATAAGGTAGCTCTCCAGGAACATCCCTATCATAGCAATTGAGACCGGAGGAACACTGATTCACAGCACATTCTATATGGAAAAGAAACAAAATTAAATGTTAAAGATTTAGCTCATCAAGAATATTTCAACAAACATGTAGACTCTATAGCGAAGACCTAGATCTACATACTTTACAATTTGATAATTCAATTTTTTGGGGTGTATAATATTGTGCAATTGCGCACAATAGCCAATTCAGATATCAACAGATATGACTGATAGTCCCTGTCATTCTGCAAGGAGCCGAGACTCTAGAGCTCTAAAAGCTAATTCCAAATAGATTCTAGGTCTAGGCTAATCATAATTGGTTCGCTGATGGTCAGTGATGGTTGGTATAATAAGTAACGGTTTAATCAGTTACAGTAACCTCGTCTTTAATACACAGACTTGAGATTGATTGCTTGCAAGTTCTCCAATTAGATCCTCTACAAACTTTTTCTGTCAAATTCAATTTTCATAGTCAGACAACATACAAACTCCATGGAGCTCCACCGCCGTACGCGTCGCGTTAGCTCCCTGGAGTTAACTACATACATGGTTAAAGAATACACACACAAATAGCGATAGATGGGACCACACGTACACTTTTCAACAGAATTTGATCAGTTTAGTTTAGACTCTAATTCGTCACATCGCTCTCTCAAACGGAACTCGGGAGTCTCAATACAACTCAATTAATATGACATACCGACAATTTAGAATTTCACTGGACATTGACGGGTATTGGGTATTACTATTATCTGTTACTAATATTAGCCGAATGAGTTCAAACGAACCGCGAGTCTTGGCCTGGATTATGAACACGCCCCACACCCACCCATCCACACGCACATACACATACACCAACTACTCACGCACGCACACTTTTTTCTTATCTTTTCCGGCGTCGGCGAGCCTTTGAAATCTGCCACTAAATATACAGCAACTTAAACAGTATATAAGATGCTGACTAGAGGACGAATTATTTCATAGATAATTATGCACATAATCTAAAAGTTTCATTCAATTACAAAGTCGAATTTCTTGGCAGATATGCGCAGATAAAGAAATCGATGACTAATGATGAATGATGAAAACAGGTTAGGCCTATATGATATTTATGTTTCATAAAATTTAAAATCGCTATTAAACTAACAAATGTTAGGAAATCACTTGGACCAATAATCCGATTTCATAATATTATAATTTAACATATGCTACATTTTTAAATGTGGACTGATCCATGCACTTTTCGTTAAGTTTTAAAATGGACATGTAGACTCAAGAAATGAAATCCGACTTTTAAAAAAAAATCTACTATTCAACTGGACATAAAGTGTATTGAACGCCAAGGGTGACGATTCGTGATCCGCAGGTACTTTTTTTATTTTTATATGACCTGTTCATGATCGAATTGGTTCCACTACGGTGTATGCCTACATATTTAAGAAAATCACCTTTACGCATAAAAAAAAATGCAGATTATTCTCGCAGAAGAGCAGCGCAAACCTTTACAGCCAATAGAATAAGTAGCAGAGCAAACACGAGCTGTAGACCTAAGTCAAGACATCTTCACTAATAATCTTAACAAACCAATTGAAATCGAAGCAACTCTAGCAACTCCTGTCAACACAGTGTAATGACTTTCGCAAACTCTCAACCCTATACCTCAAAAAAAAACCAATACAAAGACTTTGGATGATTTCCTTAAGACACTTTTGACCAGAGAATGAGAGAATGGCAGCTAAATTGAGAGGGAACACCCTGATTCCTAGACGGGGCATCTCGATGTATGGGGGAGAGGGAGTTATATCACACGAAATTTCAACCCACCAATTTAGTCAAAATATGGCTCTGGATCCATGCATGAGCAAAACAAATCAATATTATTCTCGCGGCTTGCCGACTGCAAGGACAAATCTAAAATAAATTCTCGAAAAAATTGTTTTAAGCATTTTATAAATGGAGTCGTGTTGTCACCTACACTTACATGCCCCCAACCCTTTATATGCTTTTAGAAACGTTCCTGCATGTGAGACACACACTAGGTTAATAAGGGTAGTTAGTGAGAGTATTATAATGAGAACCAAGCAGAAATTGAAAGAGAACAAAAAATAGACAATAGGCTTATTTGAGAAAATAAGATGTGGCATTTTCAAAGTGACGTAAACTTTTCAGCATCGTTGGATTTTAAGTGTGGGTTAGATAATAAAGTTTTTAGAAAATCCGAATGGGTCGTCGTTAATCACGGGACTATTTTACCAAGCACTTGCTAACAGTTTTGAAAAATCTAACGCTTGCATGTCTAATGGATATACCGGTCCTCAAAAAAAACGATGAACTTCACAACCCCTTACACATATTCAGCTAGTAAAACTAACGTCTGTTTTTTGTCTTCGCTTTAAAATCATTACACCAAGGGTACATTGTTGAACCCGAGCGTATTATCATTGGTGGAAGAGTTCAGCACTTGTTTGCGATCGATATCATGATGAAGGCTATAGTTTTTGGCTTCGGGTAAAGAACACAAAAGTTCCGTTACCAATTATTCACATGAACAAAAGAGACCGTTTAAACAAAAGATGCGTAATCAATGCTTGGAAACAAAACATGATATCAAGCACGACATCAGTGGGTATAATGTCTCCACACAATTGCACATGTTACATACTATTCGACATGGTCTAATCAAACTTTCTTTTTTAAACAAAATATGTTTGCAGGAAACGACGGTCAATATTAATAGCTTAATTCTAGAGTTCCAAATGGATTGGGAATTCATTGACATGATACGATTATTTTGTAATAAATTTATATTGGTGAAAACTTTTATGTAAAGAATACCGGGTGAAAAAAAATGAAGGAAAAAGGAAAAAGTTGGTAAATATCGTGGAGTTGCGAGTAACTACTGAGCATGCTAGGCTATTCCCTAAAATCATTTGCATGATGCAGATTATTCAAATAAATATTTAAAGTCCAACAAAGTCTCCCCCCCCCCCCCCCCCCCACAAAAGGATGGATTTTTATGCCTACCTATTGTACTTTCCTTGACGATAAAAGGGACAAAAGAGAAACTGGAACAGGAATGTGAAAGGTTGTGAGAGGAAGAGACATAGAGGGAGAGAGGGACGACAGACGGACAGGTAAAAAAATTCACAGAGTCCGATAAAGAAAAGGATTGACATGAGAAACACACAGAATGGGAGTTAGAGAGAGACACCGAAATAAAATGAGGGAGGATGAATAAAGTGAACGAGGGGAAAGAACAGGATAACGCGAGAGACGGAGGCACGGGATAAAGAGAGAGGAGCTAGCAGGAAACTCTACCCCATCCCCTCTTTAACATTTTTTTTTAAATAAATAGTAATAAGAGTGTAACAGAGGTTTAAAATAACCTATGAAGTGGTACGTACAATTTAATTCAGACCTTTCCAATCTTTTATGTAAACCTACTTATTCAGGAATGAGCATGAGTGATAATAGGTCATTTATATTCATTTTATTCACAACCCAAGGACTAATGCAAACCATTCCTTTGTTAAGGATAAGAACTATACAAACTAGAGACAAGACTCTTTCAATCTGTCAAGCTGAAGGAGAATAAAATGGCACTTTTGGCAAGGCAATAGGGGAAGAAATTGTTTGTTACGTAGTTCATTCAGCTCTTTCAGTCTGGTGAGTATTTGGAGCGCATTTTCATAATATGAATACAATGTACAGATTATATACCACCTTTTGCAATCAAAACTCGACACTATTATACAGGGGCAGAATCATGATTTTGTAATAGAAGGTAGCACAATTTGGAGGGATGTGGGCAAGAGATAACAAAAGAGGCAATCAGGATTTTCAGAGTGCCTCTTTAAATTTTAACTTCTTACAAGGAAAACAAATCGAAAGGGCATTTCGATGCTTTGTTACTCAACGAGAGGGAGACCGGGGGTAGATTCTTATTTTAAAATAAAATTTCACAATTGTAGTGTAACCTAGATAATTGAGTGCAAGAGTAAACATTTAACTAAGTTGCATACAGGTCGTACGACCTGTATGCAACTTAGTTAAATGGGTACTAAGTACGGTACGCGTCTTAGTGGGCTTTGTGAAACTCCCGCTAAGAAGCATCTTACACTAAGTCCTATAACGGGACTTAAGGCCGCTTAAGACGCATCTTAGCGCTTAGTGAGACAGGCCCCTGGTGTCGGTACCGTGGGTGTGAACGGGGTTTTGGGGTTTTGGGTATGAGGGCCATCTTGTTTCTCCTCAGTAGACTGCTTTTCCTTTTATCATCCTATCTCAGATTCATAAAGAGACGATCCCAAAAATCGAGCCCGATTTGAATAAAGAGAACCAATTATGACAGTCCTTGAAGCGACTTTCATATAAAATGTAAAGGAGGGGTAGAACTATTCTTCCAGAAGCCTTTTTGAGGCGCACTTTTATTGACTAAACTCTGAAGGGCCATTTCACTTTATCGCTATCTGTTATGCTTATGCAACTAGAATCTTATAATACTTTTGGAATGTGTTTGCGTTTATTAGGCAGCTTTCTTATGCCAATGAGCTAAACAAAAATAACTTAGTCCAATGTGATTCAAGGTATTCGTTTTTTGTCGGGCGTGGTAAGCTTACGATATATCTATATTTTTTTGCTCGTTTTAGAAAGCAGTTTTATCGTAACAATACGAACATGGCGTAGTCTTATGTCATAAAGAGTTGTCGGTTAAATTATATAGGGGTGGGTATATTAGAAATTTGGTGATTTAGATTTTTCGTCCCAAACAAACCAGTTCAAATAGATTCAAATTTTATTCAACATTTTACAACAATGGCAACAACTATCGAGATAAAGCTTGCCAGAGACTTCTATGACATAGCAACAAGATAGAACATACATACTTCACATTGAAATGCAATACTTTTTCACAAATAATTGCATTGTTAGCATCCAGAGCCTCGGAGAAAAGAAATGTCCATACATTTGTATTTGCGACCTTTCCTATTCAGCTCTCCTCCGACGGGAAACCTAGCTTTTTAAAGATCAAAAACAATTCGCACTATTTTTACTGATGCGTCAGACAAACCTTTTCCTGATTTGAATAGTTTCGCTTTTCTAGAATATTTACCTATGGTATTATTCAGTCCTGGTAAACAGGGAAAGGAATTCCGAGTGGGAATACCAGAAATAAAATGTGCTAAGAGGTCAAACATATCAAGAGCATTTAGTAAACTTTGGATGCTTCTAATTGTGTAAATTCTCGAGTCGCCAAACATTCTGCAATTGTTATATTGCGTAATTGTTGAAATGGAACGCGGTGGTGTCCACCTGAGCAACAGTTTGTAGGCACAGACCCTTGTCAGAGCCTCTTACAAATAGTTTCATTCACATATTACAATATTACAATTTCAGTAGTCAGAATGTAAATTGCATATATTACGTGGTGTTAGGTAGGGGGAGGCATAATGTTTATCCTACCTAGAAACAACTTATGTATGCCATTGTCATTCTGATTATTAAAATACATTTATTCGTAACATGCGAATGAAATCATTCGTATGGGGCACTTAAAAAAGATTCGTTCATTAGATTTGGTTACATCCCGAGCATTGCCAATCCGCAAAAGATATTTCTTCAGCCTTTGAATAATTTACTTTACCCTTTTCTTCATGAAGTCATTTATTAAGGGATTAAGGGAGTGACGACCCCGAACGATATATTGTATAAATTTGATGTATAGATTTGTATTTGAATGGAAAAACTACAATAGTGAAAAAGGAAAGCCACACAATCTAAAGAGCTCGGGTATTTTTGTTCAGGGATTATGAGGAATGCAATCTTCTTAAAGTTACATAATGTCTCTTTGGCATTATTGAAGAATGTGCAAAGTCTGATCAACTAAACTTATGACCTTTATGAGACAATCTTTGTATCTCTTGATATGTTTGACCTCTTAGCACATTTTATTTCTGGTATTCCCACTCGGAATTCCTTTCCCTTTTCACCAGGACTGAATAATACCATAGGTAAATATTCTAGAAAAGCGAAACTATTTAAATCAGGAAAAGGTTTGTCTGATGCATCTGTAAAAATAGTGCGAACTGTTTTGTTTTATCTTTAACAACGCTAGGTTTCCCGTCAGAGGAGAGCTAATACGTCACAAATACTTTCAAATTTATGGACATTTCTTTTCTCCGAGGTGCTGGATGCTAAATTAACAAGGCAATTACTTGTGAAAAAATATCCATGAATCAAGGTAACTGTTTTACAACTATTGGGAAATGGAAGTTCTAAGAGTCATTCAAACATCTTCAATAATCATCTAACTTTATCCATCTAATCTATGTAAATTTGTATGAAAAGCGATGCTTGTTTTATGATGAAAGCTCACATAAAAATGCTTTTACTTGTAAAAGTGGAGAAAAAAATACTTGTGCTGTATACAGCATCATTACCATGATTGCGTTGCATAATATCTGGGACTCATCCACTAGTGAAATTCGTGCTTCTGATTGGTCATTGGCAGATTTGTCATTTATCATTGGAAAAGGGCATTGTGAAACGGGTCCTTGAAAATGGACATTCCCTGCGGACAATTTAGTGGGCCTTTTACTCTGATATATCTTTTTTCTCGTATAACTCTACAATCCATACATTGTTATGCAAACTTTAAAATCACTCAGCCACACTCTGATTATTTCGATTTCTAGCACTTTAAATCCGGTAGACCGTTACAACAAAAGACGTATTGATCATTTTCTCTATTATTTTATTGAACGCATTTAATAATCTTTCTGGGAAAGTTTACCTTCGAATGCCTTTCTGCATCTCCCAAGAATACTCTCAAAAGTCAGCAACTTACCGAACAAAGTATGTTCACTCGTTAAGAACTAAAATGTTAAATCACTATTTATTTAAAAGGTCCCGGGAGTGACCACTTTTTTAAAATGTCACATCAAAACTTTTAACGCTGTACATTAAAACTATGTTGTGTCGAATCGAGCATGTTCAAAGTGTTTATCTAGCATTTTGATAAAGTAGTCGATCCCCGGTTCTCATAAATGGTGATTTAAAATTTTAGTCCTTAAGAGTGTACATACTTTATTAACGCTGTCAAGAGTTTGATACTGTAAGGCTCCATTTGACCCGAATTTGTTTAAACTATTAAAAAAAATAGGAGGCCTAATAACTATCATCGTATGCATACTTAAATAAACCTTTAAAAACATAACTTAGGTTAAGTTATAATTCATAGATTTAGGATGACTGCAATAAACTTTCATCGCAAAAGAACTAAATATTTCAATAAGGATAAAAGAAACGCCTAAGATTTTTAGTTTCACAATGCAAACACTTCTTAAATAAGGTGTGTCGAGTCCACGAACTTTAATAAAAGCTCAGCAATGGGGATGGGAAGTAAAAGAAACGTTTCGCGCCAACTGACAAGCAAGAAGAAAAGACGCCGCACTGCCCCTACAGCCACACCCTTTTCCCATTGACTCCACACAAAAGTTACGCCATACTAGCATACACACACACACGCACACACATCACGCACCCATTTGTAGTAACACGTGTAAATTGACTTACCCTGAGCGACCGTTATATGCACAAGAATTAAGCAGCCCAGGACGGTCGAAATCATCTTGTACTCCATCTTGAGTATATTAACGAAGACGATAAACGTCTACAAAATCCCTCTTCGAGGGTATACTACTCCTGAGAGAATAAGTTTGAAAGTATTTCAGGCAATTATTGCATATCCGGCGAGGGGTAAAGATGAAGTGGCGTTGTGGTCCCAACGTCTCCGGTGAGGTTCTTGAAGTCACGTCCTAGCTGGGGAGGAGTCAAGAAACCACTGATGATTACTTGTGAAGTGGGGAAGAAGATGGTGCGAGTATTCTGACGAGCTCACGCCTGAACTACTCGGTGTGCTCATCCGTATCGCTGCAACGCCGGCTCCTGAAAGGATGGAATCCTGTGATACAATGGCGACTGTTCAAGAAAACTCTCATTGCCTGTGTTGAGGAATAAAAGGTTCGGCTGTCTCTCAAGGGCTTGCGGACAATGCTAAGAGTTACCGCGATCCACACAGAATGGGACGAGCATTGTCAGTTTACCCCCTATCTATAGAATTGGGATCGCACCACGCCCCGGCTGATGCATTCTCAATGGGGAACTCCAGGACCAATGAGGGACCGCGTTTCATTTATTGCTCCCCTCTTTCGTAAGGGGGGACGGCCCATTCTGTTCTTATTCATCTCATCATGGCTTAAACCACAGTGATCTGTTATTCAAGCTTAAACCAATAATTACCATTGTGATTCAAAACAATTTCACTCCTTTATGTCCGACATATATGGAGAGCTCAGGGCCCATTCAAAAAAGAATCTTTCGCCAATAGGACAAATAATTATGTCATGCAGATTCGAATGAGAAAAGGTTTGTCTAGGGTTGCATAACTGAATGTCATCAAAAGACGGGCGCGCCGGTTTAAAGAGTAGCCACAATTGAAAGGAGTGGTTAGAATATGTATGCGGACATGATGAATAACCCTCGCCGGAGATAAACGGACACCCGACAAACTCAATGTAATGAATTTGATTTATGAGAAAATGGGGTGCAACTAAACAGGGTGCGATGGGAATGGGGATATGACAGGTAGAAGGAGAATAGGACTGACTTTCTTAATCCATTCTCATCATCTAAGGGAAATGTAAAATAAGTGAAAGGGCTAATTTGCAAGTTATTTCTATAATTCATCATTATCTCACACTGATTTGCAATATAATCTTATACGGACTTGTCTAGATGCTGAACTTGCTTTGACAAGTAGCAGAATAGAAATAGAAATAGACTGTCACCGAATTGAAACGAAATGATGAAGGGGAATGTTAAAATTGAACTCTGTTTTCTCAATTTCAAGGTACCGATCAATTTTGTGTGTGGTACAATGGGCAATTTTTTCATGTAATCAAACTTAGTGCATAAATCTTTGTGAAGTTACAAATTATTTCATTCAACTGTTACGAGTAACGATCATGTGCAGATAGCTCAGTAGGTACAGTAGTGGTCTTGTAATCCGGCGACCCGGGTTCGAAACCAAGGCGATGCGCTAGTGCCATTTGGTAAGGCACTAATCCTCATTATCTGCTGGTCTCTCGGAGAGAACCTAAAGCAGTCGGTTTGTTTGTTAGGCCAGGTAAAAAAAAAACATACATGTTTAGCGTCCCCGCCCGCTTCCTTTTTGGGGGCCGCCTCCTATTTTTTTTATTTATTTTTTTTTGGAATTTTTTTTTGGAATTTTTCTCGAAGAAGAAAAACACTGCTATAATGGATCTATTTCTGATTTAAAAAAAAAAAAAAAAAAAAAAACGTCGGCGGCGGCCATCTTGAAAAATAGCTCCGAATGTTAGGGAAATTGTACTGAGCGGCCATTTTGAGTGGCCATTTTGAAAGAAAAAAAAGGACTCTAAACATGTTTTTTTTATTTTTTTATTTGGCCTTATAGCGCTTGGAGACTTCAGTGGAAAGCGCTTCATAAGCACCGTATTTATTATATCATCATTATTCAAATTTGATTGTATTACGAAAATGGCCTATGCATTACAATTATCAAATTAAGGGCATTGTAACTGTATTTGTTTTTACTTGTTTTATTGCCCAGGAACATAATAAATACATTACAAAGTATACAAAGGAACAAAAACATAAGAAACAGTCATCTTATTTTAGATTCTCAATAATCCATCCACAAGTTGAATTTCTAGCTTGATTCTTATGTCTATTCATTTTCGCGGGGGAGTACGGTCATTGTGTTGCGATATTTGACATGTACGGCCATAAACTTCTCACCCAGTAACAAACGTGTCATTTACCATTAACACTCTTCATCTAAAATATCCACACACAGCCTTAGATAAAGGAATAGACATGATTGAATTACTGGTGCCGGACATTATTTTAGCGCCGTTACTTTAATGCCAAAGTCACCCAGTGCGGTAGGTAGATATAGAAAGATGGGTGGATGGATAGATAGATAGATAAGGCGTCATTTCAGAGGTGGCGTGGTCGAGTTGATATGTCACCGGACTGTGGATCACAAGGTCCGCAAGACATAGATCTACATTTGTCACTCTCAACCCAGGTGTTAAATGGGTAACCGGTAGGATGCGAAAGTTAATATGGTTGGAGTAGCAAATGCGCTTGTAAAATGGCGACTGACTAGAATGCTCCCCAGGGAGTGGAAATGTGCATACATTGCGTTGGAAAAATTACAGTAGTAGTAGTCCCATCCGATGAATACTTAAACAGGTGTACTATATAGTATAGATATATTTCAAGTTTATCCATATTTCTAAGAAAGTTATTGTTTTGGACGGCTGGACTAGACCTAGACTGCTTTGTAAAATTAGATCTTGAGAACAAAGAGAATCAACGATGAGAGATATATCAGTTTAGGGATAGTTCCTAATTGTCGATTTCTGATGAATGATTCACCGGATTATTTATTTTTTAAGGGTGACCTCATTTCAAAATATTGCCATACTATAAAGGTGTGTCCATTTAAGAATTGATTCACCATTTAAGTCTATTTGGACGTCTGCCTCTGTTCATTGTTGATTTGTCTGGCTGTTTGATGAGTTGTATCATCCTGATGGGGCTACTTAATTAAACCATGGATGAAACCCTTCTACTTTCGCTTTTGTACTTCGGTCACACGGACAAGACCGTCACCGGTCAAACAATGGACCGAATAAAACCTACCATTGAATGTCCTTTTTAACTAATTTGGATTTAACATTTACAAATTTACTAATAGAATCAGTCTACACACAACATCTTTAATTGATTGTAATTAAGCTATGGTAATACAAGAATACTCTACTATTTCGTAAAATGAAGACTGTTATGGAATGTTCTAATATGTGCACACTTGTGTAATGAAGGAAATATAAAATGTTTTGAAAATAGAAGGGGGATAAAAGAATAAAATAAATAAATGAATTTTAAAATTGCGCAAATGACCCGGATTTTGTCGATCATCGGTAGTTTCGGGGTCGCGCTGGCATGGCGGTGTGACTGGGATACTTTACTGTAATAAAGTATTATTGTAATTGGAACAATCTCTTTGCCACCCCTTTCCCTGTAAATGTAAAGGTCAACAAGAAGCAGATGAAACAAGGGACGCTGCATTGCTTAAATGTTTTTGCTGAAGACGACTCATTTTGAAATTCATCTTAATTCAATTCAGCGCTCATGTAACAAGGATCCACAACATCGCCACTCCCTTCAAAACTAAGGCGTAGACCTATTGTGCGATGAGTAACGCCACGGTCATATATTGACCAATCAGCGTGAGGGACATAGACGTTTACGATCGCTTCCACATGACCTCGTTTTTCATCGTGACGTCAGCGGTCAATAAGAAGCTATTATTCATACCATCATATTGTTTTAAAACAAACATCTGACAACTGCCACTGGTTCAACCCGTGTTTACTTTACATGGAAACCTTGACTTGTGGTGTTTAGGTTGTATGGGAGGGGGGAATTCTTACAATAGGCCGTAGAATGGGGTCATCGCGTTCTACCCCTGCCCTTCGGCATTACGTAATCCATGCACTTCATTTCAGAAGAAGATCATTATTCATGCAACCTTTTTATTTATAAACAAACCTGATCCTTGCTCTTGGTTCAAACCTAGATACTGCACTTTACTGTATGTAGCCTTAATGTAGTCACGGCGCCGTATATTGAAGCTATATAGGAAGGCAGCTGGCAAATTATTATTAGAAGTAGAAGTAATAGTACTAGTACTACTAGTAGTAATAGAAGTAGTAGTAGTAGTAGTAGTAGTAGTAGTAGTAGTAGAAGTAGTAGTAGTAGTAGAAGTAGTAGTAGTAGTAGTAGAAGTAGTAGTAGTAGTAGCAGGCGCGTACGCAGGATTTTTCAAGGGGGGGGTTTTAACATTTATAAATCGGTCCGAAAATTTCGCAACGACTCAGCCAGCCGCTGAATAAGGGGGGGGGGGGGGGGGGGGGGGGGGGGGGGGGGGGGGGGGGGGGTAAAGAGGGACACATTTTTTTTTTTTTTTGGTCCCAAAAAAATCGCAACGACTCAGCCGACCGCTGAATAAGCGGGGGGGGGGGGGGGGGGGGGGGGGTAAGAGGACCCTTTTTTTTTTTTTTTTTGGTCTCGAAATTTGGAAATTTGACATTTTGCTCCGTTGGGGGGGGGGGTGAGGTCACCTTTTTTAGGTCGGCCATGGGAATAATTTTTTTTTTTTTTTTTTTTTTTTTAATAATAAAAAAAAAAAAAAACAAACAAACAAATACAAAAGGGGGGGGGGGGGGTTTTAGGTTTTTTTAGGGGGGTTTACACACAAAAAATTTCCAAAGGGGGGGCTTTAACCCCCCAAACCCCCCCCCCCCCCCCCCCCCCCCCCCCCCCCCCCCCCCCCCCCCCCCCCCCCCCCCCCCCCCCCTGCGTACGCGCCTGAGTAGTAGTAGTAGCAGTACATGTGGTTTCAATTTTGTAATAATCGGTCGTAATGTGGCGTCATCGTATTCATGACTTTCTAGTGTCCCCAACTGCATAGTAATGATATTCCTTACATTTCCAACTTGTAATGTACGTTGAGTCAATGAACGTTTAGACCACTGACAAAACAAATTTCAAGTTTCTTGTCCCCCCTTTCGTATTTATTAGATGGTTTTATCCTGAAACGAAAACAAATAAGAATCGGTCTATGTAAGAACATCTGTTGAATGTGAAAAGGAAAAAATCCACAAATATTGTGCAATTTCTGTTTGTTTTAAGCCCCTGAAGTGCAAAACAAATTGTATTTAATAGGCGGTTTTTATTGAATTTTTACCCAGTTCCGTAGGAAAATATCAAATATCGAATAACATGGAACCCCTCCTCCTCATTTTTTTGAAAAAAAATCCCGACGAGAAAATAGGAATCAATCATTCGTGGCCTAAGGTTTTCAGTCCACGCTTGCGAAAAAAACAGTCATTATCTCCCTGGTCAT